GGTTTCTTTGAGGTTTCTTGATGAGGTTTTGAACCAAAGTGACTTTTGATCGCACAGTTTTAGAGCTCAGAGACACTTTTTCCATCTTAACTCTGACTTCATGAGTGGATCCAATTTTTAGCTCCCTTTCATGGAGTCGACCTGAGGAGCAGCAGGTTTTACAACAAGATGACTGACAGCTCACTCACTTCCCGTCAACATGAACCCTCCACTGCTCCTGATTGGATGAACTCACCTCCTACTGGGCTCTCATTGGCACTTGATTTCAGTATTTTAACGTAAAAATATGACAGTGAAAGCTGTGGCTCAGTTGGTAAAGTTGGTCATCTCTCAACTGGAAGATGGGGTGGTTAGATCCCTAGCTCCTGCAGCCCCATGTCCGCTGAGTCCTTAGGCAAGACACTTAACCCCAAGTTGCTGCCGCTGCTTCGTCTGCGGCATATGAATGGATAAGTTAATACTGATGGACTTTTTACACAGCTGCCTCTACCATCAGTTGTGACCTGCAGAGTGAGAGGGCTTTGAGAAGTCAGAAGAAATATTCAAGCTGGAGTCCATTTACCATTTAATGACTTAAACTATAAGTTTCTGTGCCACATTCGACCATCTTCGTTGTCTTTCAGGCAAATCACCACTTCAAATGGTTAGCTACCCCTGCTCTCTTTAGTATTTAGTTGTCTTCTGTAAATTGAATCTCATGAAGTGGGAAAAAAACAACCTGCTGTGTTATTCAGGGTCATGTGATGGACACACCTTCCTTCCAGCCTGAGGGGAAGAAGCTGAAGTTCAACCAGATGGAAAAATGTAAGATTGAAGCGCTGCTACCCTCAGAGCTCAGGAGTCACATGAGGCCTCCTCGTACCTCTGCATGTGTGTGCAGGTGGACAGAAAGCCTTCTTTTTTGAATGTTTGCATAGAAGTGGCATCAGAATGGAGCTGACAGATATCAGTTAATCCGCAGATTAAATGGTGTAAAGTGGGTTTACATTGTGATGACACTGGATTTATTGCTCTCTGCTGCAGGTCTTGTTGCAGAGGGACATTTGTGTTTCTTTGTCACTAAAATGCACGCTGAGTGTTGCTAAGGCTAAATGTTAAAAAGGTTTAAATCTGGACCCTTGCTCCAGAAGTTTGCTTTGGCCAATAACTGGGACACACGCTGGTATGACTGCGGTTTAATGATTCTGGACAAATGCTCCATTTGACATCATTACAGAAAGGATCCAGAGAAAGATTTTCCCTACGTCTGAGCTGGACTTTTCTGAGCTCGATCACGAGATACCAAAGAAGAGGATGAGTGTGCGTGTGTGTGTGTGTGTGTGTGTTATCAGTCTGTTTTGAAGGACAGAGATTACTTGTAGGTTAAGATGACCCACAGGAATAAAGCGTACCAACCACACACAGCTTAATCAGCCTCGTGCTTCATCATTTTGAAGATCATCCAAAGTTTCTGACTTTATAGCAACCTTTGTGTATGAATGTATGTGTGTGTGTGTGTTTATGTATGTATGTGTGTGTATGCATGCAAAACTGGTTATGTGTTCACACTTACAGCTCCTCATAAAATATGAGAAGTTTTTCAGGATTTATCTGCAAGTGTGAAAGCCAATGATACGTTTTCATGAGTATGTCCCAAATACATAGCTTAGGTTGGCTTTGTGAGAATCAGTGAGTGTGTGTGTGTGTGTGTGTGTGTGTGTGTGTGTGATTTACAGCCGGGGGATTTTTCCTGCCACACCCTCGTCTCCTTGATTCACACACACTTAAACACACAGGTAGGCTAATACCGAGTCTGCCAGCATTTTTTAAGAGAACTCTTGCTCCGCTCAGTGATTGGACGGTTTAAAAATACACACACCCTGATTGGTCGTGTCATTGCGGTCAACTAATCACCTGAAGCCTCTTAATTAAAAACACAACAAAGACGACAAATTTAGGAAAATATTTCCACTTTTATAACAGTTAGATCGATTTCACCAATTTCATCAAGGGGACATTTTTATTTTATCTTTTTGAGTTTTTACAGGATCCAGAGACAGTTTCTGTAAACTTTAACAACACATAGGAAACAACAACAAACATTTCTGAACAAATGAATCAGAATATAACAAAATAAACCCACATATTTAGAAAAAAAAAGTCACACAAAATAGTTTACATTGTCTCTGTCTCTTGTTATTTACAATCAGGGCAGGTTGTGTCTTTTTCCAACATATAAACGTGTCTGTTCAAGACAAAGAAAGGTCATATGTACACATTTGTATTCATACATTCTGCACTGTGTGTGATCATAAACTGGAGACGTTAATATGTTGACCAATCAATTTAAAGAGAGTATTTCGGGGGGGGAACAAACTGCAAAACACACAACACAGGGGGATTGAGATTATGAACGTGTGATCTGCAGACCTGCTATGATCTTCAGCTCCAATTATTTAAGATTTCTAAACAAAATAAATACTTTTCTCACTGGAGGTCAGTGCATGATGAAGTCTGAGATCACATGGAGCCACAGGGGGGTCGGGGGGATTGGACCTCAAAATACCTCGGTGATCCGACTGAAAGCGGAACTTAAAAAGAATAGAACAAGGGGTTTTCTGTAACTGACATTTTAGTGTATACACTTATGTATTATTAACCTTTAAAAACTGTCATTTTCAATCAAAATGTGGTAAGTCAACAAATGTGTAGCACCGCCCTGAAGCTCACCAAGCATTCCCTCCAAAATTCAAAACTGCCAACACAAACCTTCCCGCCTTTTTTTTCCCGCTTTCATTTCCTTGCTGTTTCACCTTCCCCTTGCTGACTCGTCCCTGCGTGTTGGATCTTGTCCTACAAAACTTTCACCTCTTCCTCTTTGTACTCTGACACACCCCCAGACGTTATAGGATGATTTAAACAAACACTGAGGAGGATCCTGGACCGGAAGGAAGGGCTGTGTGGCCTATATGTCACATGCAGACAGCAGGTCCTAAGTGGTGTTGAAGATCATCATACATCATCTCACCAGACCACAATGACGGTGTCAGCGGTTAAGCTAACGTGCTGCAGCTAAGAGGCTAAATAGCTACCTTGCCTGCTAAGTTACGTTAGCTGTAACTTCTCCAGACTCAGAAAACGTGTGTTCGTGTTCTGATGTTGAAAAAGAAGGAGGCTTAAGCAGCAAGCTTACTTTGAACTTGTAATCCTTATAATCACATTTTCCCCCTCAAACTGTAGCCACAGTTAAATGAATTATGGCTTTCACTAACAACTGGGCTAATTTTGAAGAGCTAAAGTTTTAGATAAGTAAAAAGATTTATCGTGTGATGAATAAAAAAAACAGCAAAAGTACACTGCTCTCAAAAATATTGACCCAGATTTACAAAGCTAGTAAAACATCAACACTGGGTTTAATAGGCCTATTGCTAAGATTTATTTTTTAATCGATATTACAAAAGTTTTTGGTATTAATAAAACATATCCAACATGGTGGTATGCTAAATAATTTTGCCTTCAAGTGGAATTTGTTATCTTGCAGTTTGAACAAGCGGTGACCTGAAGTGCAAAATCCTGCAGCTCATCAAGTGTCTACTAGAGGCTGGCTGCAGGAAGCACAGGAAGTCACATACACACCCATTAAAAAAAATGTTTTACAGCAGAGATTAACATGTTTACAGCCTGGGGTTCAAAAAACCAAATATCTCTGATTAGCTCATGTCTCGATTGGCACACACTGTACGGGGGGTGAATGTTTTGATGACTCATCCGTTTTGATTTGATGAAGTTATTCACAAAAAGGCGTGTAGCTGACCTGATTGACAGGCGGGCGCGGTGTAACGGTTTGTCAGGAGGCTTAAAACCCGCCTCAGCTCCAGCTCTCAGCCTGTTGTTAGGTTGACTGAAAGTTAGGGGACTCCAGCGCCCCCTGCAGGAACACTCAGGCTTCGCCCGTTAATATTTACAGATTATCAATTTGAACGAGAATGACGCTCAAAGGAGAACGCAACATGGACACCAAAGGACTAGCTAGCATCAGGTAACATAATAAAGGGAATGTCAAGGAATAAAAGGATAAAACATAAAATAGTAAAGGCCATTTTCAGTACTGACACTTCCCCAGACTGAGGAATAATTATTTTATGTTCTTAATGCTGACCATCTTTTAAGAAGATCCCCCTTTTAAAATAAAGCCTTTGCTTCTTTTTAAGCTTCGTTAAGTGTCAGAAATAAAACGTTTTATCAATTAAGAATACATTATTAATTACTTTAAGTTATTATTATGAACTCTACTCTTTTCTAAAGTTTTATATTTCTCACAAGGCACTTTCTAGCTTTGGTTCAGCACATATAAAAACAGTTGATTTTAATTTAACTTTACATGAACCTGATGCTTCACAACGGCAGTGAGACAGAAGAGGTCAAATCACAGCTCTAAAACAGTCTTAAATAAATGCCCAACATGTGTTGTTCATGTGTTTGAAGCTCAGCTCACAGTTTGTGTGGGATGAACAGCAGAAAAGCACGCTGAGCAGCTGGACAGGAGGAGGCGGTAACGAGAGTAAAAAAAGCTTGTTGCTAGAATAGAAACAAAATGTCATCTGGTGATATGTTTGTGTGTGCTGAGTAAGACCGTTCAAAGAGAAACTGAGGTATTTTAGATCAAGCTGACCTCCAGTTACACTGTCAGGGGCTGAGAAGCTTCTCAAAACCTTACTTTGAAACCCCCCCCACCACACACCCAGAGCCCTCATCAGCTAAACTCCACCCGCCCGGCACAGACAGTGAGATAAATCAAACCACAAAAACTTTGTAAGATATTTTAACCCAGAGTCCTGAAAGACGATGTGTGTGGCCTCCGTGTGTGTGATCATCCAGGCATCACAGCCATCTAATGTTCCAGTGTGTGTGTGTGTGTGTGTGTGTGTTCCCTACTCGGGTTTCCAGCAGGATAAAGAGAGTCACTCATCAGAACCGTCAGTCCGTCAGCTTTAGCCCAGGAAACGTCTGAGTTTTTCTGCTTTTTTTTTTGGTTTCCTGAAGGAGGAGGCGAGGCGGACAAAAGGTGAAAGATGGCGGGGGGGGGTGTTATAACAAGGTGAAGAAGAAGGTGAAGAAGCCTGAGCCGGAGAGAGACGGGGAGATAAAGGGATGATGGGAAATCTTGTGTGGGGCGAGGGCTTCACAGGAAACCAGCTGGACCAGATTGGATGCTCCTCCATCCTCCTGCACAGGTGGATCATGGGAAACAAAACGGCGGGATGTTTGGGCCGGTGTCTGTTGAAGAGAGAAGAACATTTCACCTCTTTTATACGTATACATTTCTCTACATGAAAAACACACTGAGGTCCCATTTACACGACGACCATTTCAGTAACCTTCTGTTGCGTTTTTTCCAGGGTGCAAACGTTTGAAAACAGCACCGTCTGTGTCGTCCTGTAAACAGGAAATGTTCAGTTCCTCTGAAAACGGAGACTTTTCACATCACGCATGGCACTTCCACACAGCAGCCATGTGCGAGCATCTGGACGACAACAAGAATGACGGACCCCGGAGGTTCTGCTTGTGAAAATGTTGACTGTCATGACTCCAAGTCGACGTTTTCTCTAAATGTTCTCTTTGTAGTTTAGGGTCACTTGGAGTATTAACCACCTCATCGTCCGTCCACATGAACATCTGTGCCTTTGCAATTTTTCTCCGTTTACACCTCACCGCTCTGTAGAAGGACGAGTATGTGTGCATGCATGTAATCTTTTTCTGACGGATGTTCAGACAATCAGTGAAAATAAAACCATTAAACCCTGAAGGTGTGAGACGTCTGAACATCTCTGCAGCTCCACCGGACTTTACATTAAAGTCGTTGTTGAGATTTGATCTGGACCGTATTTATGTCAATAATATTTGGATTAAATGAGTAGCCCTACCATCTTTCTGTTTATTTGACGACGTACGTTGAGCACATAAACCAGAGACGTTCCTTCAGGATTAATGGAGCTAACTTTTACGTCACACGTGTTTGTGTCTTCTCGTGTTTGTCGTCAGTTTGGGGGTCTGGTCTGTGTGTGACAGACATCAAAGAGGAACACATTTGACCTGTTTCCTCCAAAACACGGCAAAGCGCTGCTGCAGGGCTCAGACACACACACGCAAACACACACATGCCCACAGGTGCAAACACCACATAAAGACACAAAGACTCTGTGTTACTCCACCTTAAATCAACCATCTTATCTCAAAGCAACTGCACACCCACTCAAAACACACACACACACACACACACACACACTTAATCTCACATGGGGAGCTATGACCCTGCTACAACACACACACACACACACACTCTCTCACTCAAACTCTGAGCTGTGTTTGTTCACTCAACCAATTGGAGACAGCCTTGGTGGCTACTGTTTCAACACTGAAACATAGACACACACGCTCACACACAAAGATGCAGCTCCTTCTTTTCCATCACTCTGACTACAGGGAGACACTGAGGAGGATTATCTACGGTGAGCCAAAAGGGACAAACAGCAGGAGATTCTGACCTTGATCGCGTCACCACTCATGCAGTGACGTTGACAGCCTGATAAATATATTATTCTGATCATTATTCACAAGAATTATCCTGCTAAATAAACGTTTGATTTAAAAACGAACATCTGACATATTCATTAACAACACCATCAATGTACATGCATTCGTGCGTGCGTGCACGTGTGAGTGTGTGTGTGTCTGCATGTGTGTGCGTGTATGTGTGTGCATGTGTTTGTTCACTCACCAGCAGCGTGCAGGACGTCTTTAATACGGAGACTCGACCCTGGAAACAGAAGAAACGCTGGAATCAGAAAGTTTATAGTTTCAGGAAAAACATACTCTGAGAATAAATCAGATTAAACATAAAAAGAGACATCATGAAGTGTTATCTTCAAAGAAGAGCTTTAACCTCACTCAGACCAAAACATCTCAGTGTTTCTTTAAAAGCTATGAAGTCGTTACTACTGACACACTCAGATTGTCTGATCGGAGGAGAAACCACAGAGGAAGTAGGTGAAAGGTCTTGAACATGTTCTCCTTTAACATCAGGAAGCCTTAGGTTTGTGCTGCAGAACAAAATAAATGCCGTCTTATAATGTCCAAATCAAAGCGGTCTATTCTGCAGACAAGAATCTCACGCATCCTCAGTGAGACGCCTGTTTTTATACGAGGGAATAAAATGACTTGAGTGCAAACTTTAGGATGATGTTTAAAAATATAGGATAAGTTTGAGTCTTCATACAGTCGTAACACATTTCGGTTCACGTTTTGGAGGCTTACTTTAAATTCATCTTGCAAAATGCTTCTTCATGCTTTGTCGACGTCTTTAACAGAATGCAGTCTAATCTCTGCAGACTTCTATTCTTTCTGACAGATTAAAGTGTTGATTCAAATGTTTGACCTGCTCGTGAAACGCCTCAGAGGAGCTTTCAGGGAGCCAGGCAGCGACGGCAGAGCAAACAGCTGCAGCCCAAGAACCTCTTTCTGAATCTTATCACAGAAACTCAGATACATTCTTTTTAACCTGCTGATAAGAGCAGCAGAGCAAACATCACGTTCAGATGTTTGAGACGAGAAACCAGGGCAGGGGAAAGAGAAGAGATCAACGGGATGAAGACTCAGTGAAAAGAGGTCAGACTGAGAGAAAAGGTGAAACGTTGAGACTATCAGCCCCGCTGGAGAAAAAAAAACATCTTTGATCTGAAAACGTCCCTTTGGCTATTTATCGACTTTACGACCCGAGCTTACGTCAAACAGCGGCAGAGAAGAGACACCTGAGAGGCTCCGTCTGGTCGCTCAGGGCGGAGCCATGTTTGTTTGTTTGCCTGGAGTCAAACATGACGCTGAAAGTGTAAACTTCTTCGTTCATTTAAAAGAAAGAGGAAATTGTTTAGGGTAAACATATAAAGGTCGGGGGGGGGGGGGGTTAGAGCTACCAGAGTCGATAAAGAATCAAATTCAAATAAAGAACTTGAGCTTGTATATTTCTGACAACTCAAAGCGCTTTTACACCGCAGGTCACACCTACACATCCACACACTGATGTCAGAGGCTGCTGAGTAAAGAGTCCAGCAGTATTAACATTCATACACATTCATACTCCGCCGATGAAGTAGCTGAAAATCCACTATTCACAGCACCCAAACATTTTTAGTCAAGCTCCCCCTTCAGCACCGGGAGAAAAAAAAATCCTAGCGCCATCCCTGTGGCTACAGAAGCTGGGAACCCCCAACCTTCTGGATAAGAGACGACTGACTCTACCAAAGAGTGGTCCTCAGATTATGGGAAAGTAAATCTGTACCAGATATTAAAACATAGATGGAACTTCTGTTGTGAATAATATCGTATGAAAATATGTAAGCGAGGGTCAAAGATGAAAGTGAGGTCATGATGGGTTCATAGCTGGGTCACTGGTTAAAGTCTCTCCTCTCTTAATGAAGTTTTTACAACACAAACATTTACTTCAAAACAGCTTTAACTTTCACATTTATCTTTGTGGAAATGTCAATTCAAAAGCGTCAACAACCCGACGCACAGGAGGAAATGAGAGGAAATAAGGACGGATGATCCGAGGTGACGGAGGAAAAGGAGACGTGGACGGACACTCAGAACAGGTCGATAAATCAAACGAGAGAATCAAAAGAACAAAAGTGGGTTGAGAGAGAGAACGACAGAGAGGAAGAGGACACAAACGTGAGCGGCAGAAGACGAGTGCAGACATGACAGGGGCATTCCTGAAATTCTCTCCGTAAGTGCGGCCTCGCCCCGACCAGGAGCTCAAACCTCACGCTAAGAAACCGTGGCTTCATTCCCAAGAACAGGACAAAGGCTGAGACATAGCAGGTAGATGAGATGCTCATGCTACAGACGTTTATCTTGAGAGGTCATGTTTACTCGTTCATCCCGATGTGATTTAGTTTCCTTCCTTCAGAGAAAATCGGGCGATTCAGCTCTCAACATCTCAAAACTCTGACCTGGAACACAATCATGTTGGCCTACTGCCTTATTTTTTATTTATTTATGTTGGGTGGAATATTAGCGGGCAGCCTCACACTTACACCACATGTTTAAATAATTAAAAAACACGTTCATTTACCGAGTTTAAAATCAACTAATCAAGCAGCAGCAAAGGTTTCATCGGTTGATGTTTTTGCACTTCTGTAGATAAAATCAGTTCATGTTTCTCTGAAGCTGATAAAGTTTTGCTGGAGAAGTCGAGCCTGCAAAAAACAAATCCTAAAATACAAAAAACCCCAACGTGTAATTATGAACGAGGGGTGTGACGTGAGCGGGTTTTCCCAGTTGGCAGCTTGTTTGTGATCGCAGCGTCAAGAGGAGATAGAGGACGGGTTTCTTTATTCAAGGATGAAGGCGAGGTTTTTCATTTTCATTTTCTCCGACTTCTAATCTTTTTGAGAACATTTGCTGTTAGACTTATATTTCTACTTTTAAAAGATCTGAATATAAATACATAAATCGATGTGACAGCCCTGTCCTGATGCTGACACACATGCTGCACTCACATGTTCCCTGTAATTATAATGAAGTGAATGTGTTTTAATTACTAAACGTGCACAGAATGAACTCATTAAGTGGATTACAGGCTGAAGGCAGACGTGTTTTTATCTCTTTCCTGTTTCCAGATCAAATCTGAAGTTTGCATGTTCATGTATGAACACAGACCCTCGGAGTCAGGTGACCTCCGAGGAGGAGACAGACTCAGCGGTGGAGCTGCAGGGTCGCTGGTTCAACTGGTTTCCCCACTCACAGTTACCTTCTTTAAAAAAAAAAAGGAAATTGAAGGTGTTGTGCAAAACGTTACTAATAAGAGAATCAGGATGAGAGTTTCTCTATTTTATAACACAAGCTGAGCACATAACCAAACAGAGGACACATCTTTTGGTTTATAACTATGTGCATGCAGCTCTGTATTTATATTTAGTTCCTGTTCTGCACTCTGATCGCTTTACTCTCAGTATTCGTCTTCTTGCTTACAGCTGTGTTTACATCTGTCTCCAGCTGTTCGTCCGATCACTGTCCACTTACGTCTTTAGTCGACTTTATCGATTTTCTATTTAACTTCATATTTTTTAGTCTACCTTATGCTGTCTTTGCTGTTTCCTTTAGTTATTTATGTCCCTTTGAATCGCCTCCAGGGGACAAATCAAGTATTTTTAATTTAAAGCATAATAAATAAAAAAATTATAGTTATGAGTCTTAACATCTTAAATTCATAATACATACAATACATGCATTTTTATATCCTCATTAAACTACAAAGAAAACGTTTTTTTCTGATGTGTAAATCATGAAAAATGATAATGAACGTTGGACCTCAAAGATCAATTTCCAAAGCCAAGGTTGAAACTTCAAGTTCAGAGTTCAAGGCCTCAAAGAGTCTGAGGAGGACGCAGGAGGACTCCAGAGACACGGAGTGACTTCTGCACCTCTGTACAATGAGACTATGTACTCAGATCACATTACAACACCTGATCTGCACTCGCTGAAACACGCCATGAGGCAAGATGAAAGCCACAGCTTCATATTTTGTTCCTGATGTTAAACAATACTTCCAGAAAAACTCAGAATGATCCCTTTAATCTTTCTGATTCTGATTCTGAACTTTCAAAATAGAACTATATAGTTACACTGATATCACAGTCATTTAACTTATGGAGCCTCTTAATGTTTGTCCTCAATTAAGTTCCATAAAATCAGATCAAAACACTGTCTCCTCTCCCATTAAGAAGCCGGAGGAGGCAGGCCTTCCTGCCTGTGATTGACAGCTGAGAACGAAGGAATGCAGCCAGACTGTTTTCAAAACACCGAAACCCACACAGACGAACTTAATCCTAGTCTGTGTGTGTGTGTGTGTGTGTGTGTGTAGCCTTTGAAACTAAACAACCAGCAGAACTGAGAACCTAAAGATGCAAACTACGTCCTCACATTTTGCTCGATTACTGTCTTTGACACGGTCTGTATAAAAAAAAAGAGGACACCGCGTCTTGGATTCAAAACTGAAGCCAAATTCTTAAACCGACATTTCTCTAATGTCCAGCGACTCAACTGGCATTGGTCCTACTTCTCAGTTGATTTAGTCCTTCCTTAACATTGTCTTATGATTTTATTAGTGGGAGGGGGTGGTGACGTTTATTCCCTGTTTATTAGACTGTCTGCACGCCACCTCTATGATCTCCGTGCTCTAATGAACCTGCTGCATTATGTTTCCTGTTCTCCAGTATGTTCTTCTCCACTCTTTAGTTCAGATTGTGATTCTGTTCAACTACACGTAGCACTGATAGAAAGACACATATTCTCATTATAGCGTCGTATAGAGGACTCTGTTGCTTCGTCCGCTATTTCTGCATCGTTCTTTTTCCATCACATCTTACCTCAGGAGACCCGACCCCCCTCCAGTTGGACAGGGACACTATCCCGCTGTGAGGTGCATGTGTGAAAACTTCTTTAGTATATTCTGACCCTTAGCTCCTCTGTAGGCGCTGTTTGTCCAAAAATGGTCACCTCCAACTCAAAATAAAGTGATTTCTAGGCTAAAATACCAAAAACAATCACTTAGTTGTAGTTGTTTTTCTGCACATGTCCTGATGGATTTTGCAGAACATTTTAATTTTAGACAGTAAAGTAAATTTAGTTGGTTTTGCTTTTTTTTTTGGAAGATTTTGTAATAAATTTGGCTCCTGACTGTGATGCTTGATCTATTTAATGCTTTCAAGTCATGCATGGCAGCGTATTTTTCTCAGACACAGATCAACGGGTGGTTAAGTCCGTTCGATAAATACTCCTCTAAACTTCCTGTGAACACCTGCACGAGCGGCTCAGTCTGCTGATACCTGTGTTATAAAGTTCATACTGCTGTGAGATTATCAGAGAAAGACATCTTTATTTTGATTTGTGAATGCATGTGTGTTCCTCTCCCATGCCCCATTCAACAGGTGTGTGTTTGTGTGTGTTATTCTACCCCGCAGAGAACCGGTTTCTGTTTAACACCTTCAGGATGAGCACATTGTTGTGCAGTGAGCTAATTTTTCTGTGTTTTTTTTTTCAGCTCAAACCTGCAGCTCCTCCTTCCTCTTTACAGCTTCAGTGTTATGAAACTGAAGACCTGCATGGATTTAGTTTTTCACTCAGATGAAAATAAAATAAAAACTACAACTACATTCACCGTTTTTTTTTTTCAAGCAGAAACATGAATTTGCTGGTTCCAGCCTTATAGAAAAGGTCATTTTACGTTTTTCCTCGTCAGTTATTAAAGTTTGGACTGTTGGTAGGACATAAAAAGCCACTTTTGGCTCCTCAGAAAAGACAATATTCTACCTGTTTTTGTAATTTTATAGACTAGAACATTTAGCAGTTAATCTATTAAAACTTAAAACCTTAGCCGCAGCCTCTGTTTCCATGTTAGACGAGGAGACTTAAAGTTTAGATAAAAGTGTGACCTTCCTCAAAAACTGGATAAATAAGGTTTAATAATCAGGCTGTGATGATGAAGACATTGGAGCCTAAATTACTGCTCAAGGTTTTAAAATTAAGAGAGAAAATGTGGGCCAAAGTGGTCGTCCAATCGACGCTGTCTGAACTCTGTTGGACAAGAAATCTAACTCCTAAAAACTACACAGAGATCTACACCTGTTCATCAGAACTGCTGCTACAGCGTCTCCACTTCCTAACATCTGTCTGTCAGCAGCTGAAGTCGTCCTTCAGCTTTGTCTGAGCTTACGACACTTTAAACGGCTCCTTGTCTCCACGCGTCTCTGAAGTCTGACAGGCTGCGTGTGTGTCTGAAGGTTATCACAGAAAAACAGTTTCATATCTTGTTGTCATTAAAGTCCTGTCTTCAAGGTCGGTCCCTCGTTTTAACTGACTTCAAGCTGCAAAAAGAAACGCTCTGTTGTGATGACTCTCTCGGTAGATCAGATTGAAGCATCAGATTGAAGCTGTTCTCACATCTGCACTCCTGAAAACATCGAGATAACTTCAGGAGGACTGCTCCGGATATTCTCCTGACTTGGCTGTTCACACATGCACCTCAGTAAATGGGTGGAGGAAGCAGCAGAGTCCTCTATACGACGCTATACTGAGAATATTTGTCTTTATATCAATGCTACGTGTAGTTGAACAGAATCACAACATGAACTAAAGAGTGGAGAAGAACATAATGGAGAACAGGAAACACAATGAACATGTCTTCTAAGAATCCCAAACTGTTGCCTCAGGTCAAAGTCTGGATCATTCAGCCCCACCTCCACCAACAACACCAACATGGAGGCCCGCCGCAGAACAAAGGCGTCCTGTAGTCAGTGTTGACACCTTCTACAGGGACGATGACGGTGATGTAGATGAAATGACAGAGGACGGATGCTTCAATCATCCTGAAGCCCCGGGGCCAAGAGAGCTGCTAAACAACTCCTCCACCTGACCGCTGATGACCTCTGAGGCATCACGTGACCGTCAGGCCCAGACAGTGCTCAGCCTCAACGACGACGAGAGTTCGTTCTAGAAGAATCTGAGAGGAGGGGGCGGGGTTTAAGATGTACGGTGTCCTGCATGTTTTCAACCTTTGTTCAAGTTCAAAAACATAAAAGGCTGAGGGAAATATCTCCTGTTGTCTCTGATAAAGTTAAACCAAATGCAAAAGTGATTTTTGCATATTTTCTTCTGGGGAAACACACTCAGCAAGTGTTCAACATCCTAAGCACCATTCGTATCCATAGCAAAAAACATCAGCACTCGGGATGAAGTTTTGAACTTTTAAGAATGAAGATGAACAGAAGCTGAGAAACTAACGCTTTACAGCCCGAGGCTTTCATCAACGTTTCCACAAGACAACAACGAAGAAGAAGAAGAAGAAGAAGAAGAAGAAGAAGAAGAGGTCAAAACCAAGTCTAAATCTGCTTTAAATTCAAAACTTCTTTTTAAAACTTCTGCTTCCACAACTGAGCGTGTCAGGGCGGCAAAATCAAATTTTCAGAACGTGGAGCCGCGTTTGTTCTTCGTTTCAGGATGGCTGCATTCCTGTTGGGCGTCTCCACCCGATGTTGAAATCTGACAGGATGCGGCGCAGGATTGCATCACTGCAGTGTTTTGGGATAACCGTGGCGTTCAGGTGTTTAAAGACAACCCACGCTGCTACATGATGTAACTGTAGCTGATGCTTTAGGACATGTCAGGGTAATTCTCCGTCGATGTTAGTCCTTGTTTTAACGGAGAACAGGTTCTACAAAAGGTCAAAACATGCAGGGTTGTTCCAGGGTTTTCAATGGCTGTAAAAAGTCTCCAGTCTTGTGTCGAGGGGGTCGAGGCTCTTTCCTTTTTTTGTGACTCAAATCAAACTGCAGTCTGAGCGACATGACGCTCTGGAAGACATCAAATCTCTTCCCAAGCTTCATGTAGTTGATGGAGCAGCTTTAACGGTTAATAGTGAGCTTTGGACATCGTTCGACACTGACAACAAGTCTCTTAGGTGCAGAGAAAAATAAAAAAAATACTGATGATATTTGCATATCTTCATTTCGACCACATCTGACGATCACAGGATTTAAATATACGTTGTTGTGCTAGAGGGACCTGTTCGGATAGTTTCTGTTTACAGTCTTTGAACTCTAAAGAAAGTCCTTAAAAAATGTATACCATAAGGCCTTAAAAAACAACGCGGGTAACCAAAAACAAAACGCTTTGGCACTGTTGGGAAAAGTCTTGAAGGGCGTGGCAGTGAGTGTGCCAGTGTTCGTTTGTATGTGTGTGAATAACTGTGTGTGTGTGTGTGTGTGTGTTCATTTGTCTGACATGTTGCAAGACGTCAGGGCGTGAGAGGAATGAGGAGAATTTCCAGGAAGGTCATGAAGTGACTGACTGACGCAGAGAAAGAGGGTCAGCACACACACACACACACACACACACACACAGACACACACACACAGACACACACACACACAGACACACACACACACACAGACACACACACACACACACACACACACACACACACACACACACACACACACACACACACACAGACACACACACACAGACACACACACACACACAGACACACACACACACACACACACACACAGACACACACACACACAGACACACACACACACACACACACACACACACACACACACACACACACACACAGACACACACACACAGACACACACACACACACACACACACACACACACACACACACAGACACACACACACACACACACACACACACACACACACTGCACGGCCACATCAAGACTTTGAATATTAGAGTACTTACGGTACTTTCTGTCTGCAGTACATGATAAGACCGATGGCGGCGGCAAGAGCGACGAGGACGGCAATGACGATTCCAGCGATGGCTCCGTCTGAGAGACCGTCATCCAACGCTCCCTCCTCTGAAAAAACAACAACACTAAGATGAGCGGAAAATATCTCCTACTAAGAGGTCATGCTTTCATGTAAAATAACTTTAAACTTGAAATCATGTTTTGTTTGGATGTCTTGCAATGGATGGGGACAAATCTAAACTTGTAAAGTGTTTCTTGCAGAACTATTTCATGATTCTCTGCGTGTTGCTCCTAGCTGTGGTGGAGACCCACATTGTGTGTCAGACAGAAACCGAAGACAGGAAGTGAGTCGCTCTGGTTTAGGTGGCATGTTAGTGAGTCGCTACATGTGGAAGTGAAACTGAACTTACCAACATGAACATGATCACACAACTTCACATATGTGATGTAAGAATGAATTTCACTTGACAATGTCAACTACAATGTTGTCATGGCAACAGGGAGCATTGTACTACTAAACACAACATCTGTTGCAACAAATCAAATCTGAGCAAGTGTATTTATCCAAAATCTAGTCAGAAATACCTAAATACATTTACTGTTAACCACATTTACCTGACTAGTCCAGATAAACATCTTATTTCAAGATGTAAAAGACGAAAAATAAAGCCTGCATTGCTTGGAATGAGTAAAAACATCTTCCAAAGGGGGCAGGCAGATGTTACTTGTCAAGTGTCTTGAGATGAGATTTAAATTAGTAACGCAGTGTACCATGCATGCAATACAAGGAAACTTTTCAGGCTGAAAAATCAACAAAATGTAATTCTCTAACTGTCCACTAGAGGCTGTCTCCAATAGTGAGTCAATCGCCATAGAGCATGCTGTCTAACTTTACAGCAGATATATACATGTTTATGAGTTTTGGTCACTAGAGCTCAGGTCTGTTGATGATCATCATCCGGCTGTTGTTCTGTTAATACATTTTGTCTGCATCATTTGGCTGTTAATCTTAAATACAGGTTCCTGTTTCCGACGTAACTCTCACCTTTGACGGACAGAATGTGGTTGGCCTTCATGGTCTTGCCTGTAACAGCGTTGGTTGCCTCACATGTGTATGTTCCAGTGCTTTTGTAGACGGCCTTCTCGATGTCAAACTGGGCCGTCTTAGCTGAGGTCATTGTGCCGTTAAACTTCCAGGTGAAGTTGGCGGCGGGGACGGAGGCAGCTGAGCATATTAGCTTCACAGGGTCGTTCACCTCGACCGCAGTAACACCTGTCACCGTCACCGGTTCAGGACCGTCTGGAGACCAAACAGAAGGAAAACAGGGTTTATTATAAATAGCAGTTTTACCTTCTTGTAAGGTTCACTTTTGTGTTGGTTTACAGTTTGTTAGTTTGTAGCGGGTCGTAGCGGTAGATGTAGATTTGAGGTATTTTTTTGCAATTTAGACTGTGCGAGAAGAGAAACGTATCCTTAGTTCCTATTACTTTAGTCAAACACGTAGTTAGTAATGTTTCTATTTGTACCCATGGATGTACAGTCAGATACCACGGCTTCAATACTGACTACATTCAACCTTGGCCTTGTTGTTGAAAAGGTTTAATCCGGATAAAAAGGATGAAACCGGAAGTAAATGTTATCGTCTCCATTACCTTTTCACAAAATCTTTATATCTGCTTGGATCAGGATAATCCACTTTTTTTTTTTTTTAAATCAAAGTTATCTCAATCCTACTGACATGTTTAAAAACAAACTGGAGGTTTTATCAGGATAAAAAAAACAGGATTGGAATACCTGAATTTATCTGATGAAGTAATCCTTCTTTTCTTTTAAACAACCTGTTTTCAAGATTTAATCTGATCCTTTGCTTTCATCCTGTTGGCCCTGATAAGTTATGGAGCTTTATTTGCATGTTAATATGTCCTCAGAGGGTCAAGCTGCATCTTGAAGTCTCAGTTTAAACCTTGAGTACTGCATGTGTGTTTATAACAAATGGACAGTAAGCCAGAGGATGTTATAACCCGAATTGTGAACTCGTTTTTACTACATATTTTCTGTAAACATCGTTTTCTAACATGCGTAGATATACTTCAGTTTAATTAGAATTTAAAGGCTTTTTATGAAAGTGCAGTAAGGGTCTAGTTGTAAAGGGGCAACAAAACAAAGTGATCTAAAACCATAAACCCTGACGACACTGCTGCATCAACTCAAGCCACATGTTTTAGTCTCTTAGCAGAAGAGGCACTCACAGTTGACGACCATCTTGTGGGAGGCGACTTCTTTGCTGACCGGGTTGCTGATCGTACACATGATCTCTCCGTTGTCCTCTTTCTGCAGAGGCTTGATCATCACCGAGGTCATGTCGCCGGAGAACACCACGCGGGAGCTGGCGGTCAGCGGTTTGCCGTCTTTGGTCCAGGTCAGGCTCTTATCGCTGCCTGACTTCGCCTGGCAGCTGATGTTGGCAGTGCTGTTGCCGGCGATGAGGGTTCCAGATGGACCGCTGATTTTAACACCCACGATGGGCTCTGAGAACATTAAAGAGAGAGAGAGGGGGGGATGTCACATTTTAACGTCCTTTAATCCCACTGTAGGATACTTTAGTAAGTTCACCTCACACTCTGCTGCAGTGATGTAAACACCTTAAAATAAGATTATATTTAAATAAAATCACAGAATCAGCAGCTATCATTTGATGTGTATTCCACTACAGTAGAGACTCAGCAGGCTACAACGAGAGAGAGAATATCGTCACGTCAGAGGTCAGAAGAAAATCAAGCGACGTGCATTTGTAGATCAAATGGCCTCGTACTTAAGAGAGGAGCTCTCTATGTTAGTCATACGGCTCTTTGAGCTGGGACAGGAAATGAGACAGGAAATACATCAAATCATAACTGGACACATTCAAGCTTTGCTCTACTGTTTGAATCCACCGAACACCTTCAGCCATTGAAATATTAAACACCCGTGTCACTTCCTGTCTCATGCAGACTCCTCCTCCTGCTCTGTGTGATCGCCCAGGAAGAAAACAGAAATGCTGCAGGGCAAAATGTAAAACCATCCTCCGACCAAGCCTGTTTCACACACACACACACACACACACACACACACACACACACACACACACACACACACACACACACACACACACACACACACACACACACACACACACACACACACACACACACACACACACCTGTGCACACACACACAAACACACACCTGCACAGTAATGCAGCCAACTGCCGCCAACTGAAAAACACCCTCCTCCAAAAACAAGAGGTGAATTCCTGGTCGGTAATTACAGACAGCACAGGTTCCTTGTGTTATTCTCGACGTTTCGACACCTCGCGGGTAAAAACCGTGAAGAATCTGCTGAGGGTCACTACAGCCTGTTTGTGCTGAAGAGTCACGAGCGGCTTGTCTGACTAATGCGGGTCTTTAGTGGTTTGACGCATAGCAGGGAAAAGGTTACAGTCTGCTGCGCTTCATCTTCCAGTCCATCGAGTTTCACTAAACTTCTTTTTAAACAATCACAATATTTGTACCCATCAAGCTGAGCTGCTGAATTTATTTGTTTTGAGCCTTTTTGCTTTCATTAGATGGGACAGCTGAAGAGGGACGGGAGGGAGGAGAGAGTGGGGGCGACATGCATCAAAGGGTCAAGGCCGGATTCGAACCCAGGGCCGCTGCGATAGATGGTAAACTGACTAGAGCTTGTGTCGCGCTTTTCTAGTCTTCTGGCTACTCACACCTGCACATTCACACACTGATGGCAGAGGCTGCTATGAAAAGGGATTGAACCCCCGACCTTCCTGTTGAAAGACGACAGACTCTACCAACTGAGCCACAGACTCCATGCATGCAACACAACCACTAGGCCTTAGGCGCCACGAGCTGTTGAAATGTAATGTTTCATAAAATACTAAGTGTGGTAAAAACCCAAGAACATGGAAATAAACATTTGAGGGAATACTCAACTTTTAAATCAATGCGGTGCCTATAAAGAAATAACTGAGGGATTCATTTCAGATGAATTGAATTGCATTTCCAGTTCTGGAGAAACAGAGAGCACAGCTGAGGCTGGCAGGTGTTATGGGACTCATCCATGAAAAAAGACTCACAGACTAGGCTCTTAACCTCCACAGCATATCCATCAAATAAACATCGAGGACAGCGTTCAGAAATGTAGCTAAATGGGTTCTTAGAGTGTCATATTTTGAAAACGTGAAACAAGCAAACAAAATGACTCGACTGGATCCAGAACGGGAGACAAACAGACCGTCAGGAAAAACAAGGACGACAAATGGAACTCATACGAGAACATATTTCAGCTTCTGCCGAGGAAAAGAGTTGAAATCTTTCCAAATGTTACGCATCAAACTCATCCTAATAATAATCAGAGGGGCTCTGTTCAAACGCTCCAAAACAAAGTTCACACAGCAGCTGAAAGAGCTGAAAGGAAACAGGTTTTCTGCCAGGTACATTTACAAAAACAAAAAACTATGAACATGAAAGCAGACTAAAGATGGAGAATGATATTAAAAAGACGCACTCTTAAAGAATACAGCCACCAGACTCCACCTGGCTGTGGCGTGTTTTTCGTGGAGCTCGATCAGGTAACTCACCCATCACAGTGAAGGACACTGGAGAAGAAGGGAGGGAGCGTCCTGTTTCAGAGTTTTGGGCTGTGCATGTGTACTCCCCAGCTTTCTTTCCTAATCCAAGTTTTTCTATCGTTGCCAGTGTCAGGACGGGCCCTTTGTTCTCAATCATCTTCTTGCCATGGTACCAGGTTAAGGTGGCGGGCGGGCTGGAGACGGCTGCACAGGACAGGCTGAGGTTGGAGCCGGTCAAGACGTATTTGGGAACCAGCGGAGGAGTGATGGTGACTGTATCTGGTCCGTCTGTGGAGAGGAAACAAAGGAAAAAAGACTGTTTATCGAGGTCATTACCTTCAAATATCATCGTAAGAAGTCCACACGTTCATAGATGAGAAGTTGCTGTTTTTTCTGGCTTTAAATGAGAAAGTGTTCGAGTTCCTTTGGCCCTGATTCAAGTTCTTTAAAGACTTTGTAAACCTGGGTCTGCCTATTAACATCTGGATTATAAATTAACCAAAAGACACATGAAGTGTTGGAAAAGCCCAGTAGATTGCTTCAGACAGAAACATGATGTTTACATAAATGTCGTTATTGGCCATTGTTCCTGTGTTCACTAAAAGTTGTTTGAGGCCCAGAATGGCATTCTAAGTGTCTGACAACATTACAGAGAGGATCCCTACAGATACAGCTTTTTAGTTCCTTTAGCCACCAGACTCGCTGGTTTACTGCTGCCTCCATCTGTTTGTTTGTTGTTGTTGTTTTGTTTCACTCTATTTTTGTGCTTGAGCCGAAACAACAAACCGTTTAAAAACACCAAACTCACACAAAGCTGGTGTCCTTAAATGTTTTTGAGGGCGACATATTATTAAAAATCCACTTTCACAGTGTTGTTGAACATTTATTTGTGTAACCTGAGTGTCTACAGATCCACAAAATGTGAAATAAACCCATCCAGTCCTTTGTTTGTGGTCTGCAGTTTTACGACACAGAGAAAAATGCTCCTTTTCAAATGTGCTCTCCTTGTGATGTCACAGTGGGATTCTGGTTAAAAAAAATCCCCTCCTCTCCCGTGGTTTCTCCACCCATGGACTCCACCCCCAGCCTAGATCAAAACTTTTGAGCAGGTCCGCCATTTTTATTCCTGCTACAGAGGAGTGATGTCTACGGGGAAAACTTAGGGGGGGCTCATTGCATTTAAAGAGACACACACACCAAAACGGAGCGTTCTGAGAGAGCTGGTTTATACAGGGTCACAAACCTCCTCTGGTGCTTGATTCATGTTATATTTTCTCCCTTGGGAAAGAGGTTCTTAATCTCAATGGGACCGACCTGGTTACATAAAGGTTTAAAAAAAACATTATATTTAAAAAAGAGGTTTCACTTTTAACTGCCTCAGAAGCATCTTTGGATAACGAGCTAACAAAGTGTTCCCGTCAGATCTATCACAGCAATTACTGGCCTGCTTTTTTCGTGATTTGAAAATATATTTTTTCCAATTGCTGAAGACGTTTAAAAGAAGCGAAATGTGGTTTCAAAAAGAAACCAGTCCTCAAAAGTTTTGATCTAGGCTGGGGGTGGAGTCCATGGGTGGAGAAACCAGGGGAGAGGAGGGGATTTTTTTTTAACCAGAATCCCACTGTGACATCACAAGGAGAGCACATTTGAAAAGGAGCATTTTTCTCTGTGTCGTAAAACTTATGCAGACCACAAACAAAGGACTGGATGGGTTTATTTCACATTTTGTGGATCTGTAGACACTCAGGTTACAAGACTGTGGTTCATTAAGACTGCATATACATGTTTCTGTTGTTTCCAAACATGAGTGAAGTTTTCACGGACTCCAACATGAATCCAGGCCAGATAAGCAGAAGCTGTGAGCTCTGCTTTAATTATAACAGGGTATAACAGGGTTAACCAGCGGTCGGTGCGGTCTTCCTGCCTTTCAGGTTAGTCATGGGGAAGGAGTGGAAGTGCGGGCCGCTGTGTACACACTGGGCTCTAAGTGCAAACACACACCATGATCTGAAATGCACGAGTCACACGGCAGCAAGACGACTCTCATTTACGCTCATGTGTTTTAAGGAACCTCACCGCTCAATCCTTCAAGAATCATATTAAAACAGGAGGTTTAAAAAGTGTCAGACATTTTCACAGCGTCAGTCTACACAGAGCTGGATCGAGTGATACTGTCACAGTCAGAGAAGCGGCAGTGAAACTGTGTGTGTCGGGGTGTGAGGAGTGACACACACTGACTCACGTCTGGACTTTGTTGTCCAACAGGCGTGGAGCTCCAAGAAACACACATTTTCAAACAATACCAGTTAAACCTTTAAGTAAAGAAATGAGCAAACTAACGGCTGTGGTAACAATGGACTGCTCAGTAAAATCACCTGGATGATTTATCTGAATGTTGTAATTACAAATATAAATTGTGCAACAGCAACAGGTGCAGATTTGATCTTTTTTTGCATATTGTGAAGTCAATTCTTGGAGCATCTTCAAGTGCGTCATATCCCTCGAATCTGAGCAACCCATGAAAAGAAATTATGTCAGCTAATGAAGAGAAACGCTCATACAAAATATCAAACGGCACGCACATCCGAAAAGTTGAGTGCTAGGTGCCGGACAAAAAACGTATCCCAAGACAGAGAAAGACGAAGTCAGCACACCAGAATTATCACCGCATGAAACGTTTCAGGCCCTCGCCCTTCATCAGACATGAAGAGAAACTTCAACAATGGTCATTTGTTCAGACATTCATAATTAGAAATGTATTCAAAGACACACAAAGCATATTGATCTGCAAAATGGTCTCTTTGAACTCTGTATATTTTCAGTTTTTGAGATGCAAAGGCAGAATTGTCCTCTGCAATAAAGAAATCTTCGCATACATCAGAAATGTTGTTATCTGTAAAAACTCAGAGGTTATGTAAGATTTAAGAAACGCTGTTGCTTCTTTGGTTTTTATATTTTTTTAAAGCTCCTGTGAGGAAGAAGAAGGCAACACGATAAACAAAGGGCAACAATGGACGACGTCCAGCAGAGGCTTGCAACTCCAAGGTCGTCCATGGGGCGGTGCTACACGCTGACATTAATTGCAAAAAAACAAAAACACGGGAAGTGACCATTCTTTTCGACCAATCAGGGGACTGCAATGTGTCTAGCTCCAGCCTTTAGGGTCAGATCAGTAGGCTTTAAGGGTAGCAAAGCAGTCGGACGGTACAGATTGGTTATTTTGGTACCATTCCAAACTTTTGACTTTAGAAAGACCAATAAATGTGTATCATACTGAACTGAACCGGACCGCTTGGTGGTAACGGGGATAAACTATTTTTTATGTTTATGTCGGCTCATGTGTGGGAGCAGTGTGGGTGCAGTACTCACAGTAGACAGTGAGGTTGAAGGGGGCACTCTTCTCGATCTCCAGTTTGTTGCCGGCTGTGCAGAAGATGGGACCAACGAGGTCTGACCTGAGAACACCTACGATGGTGAGCTTAGTGGACAGCTCCTCCTAAGAGCAGAGAAAGGACTGATATTGAATCCAACTGAATGTTGCATTTTACATCAAGCACTAATAAATAAGTTCATGCAAATGGAAAATGAATGAATGTATTAAAATCTATATTATGAGTCTTCATTGGATCAAAGCAGAAATTCAATTGAAAAATTAACAAAGACACATAAACTGATAAATGATCAAAACAAAAACAACTGTCAACTGTGGTGATTGAGGTTTTGTAAATACAATTTGGAAAACGTGCAATTACTGACATCTTTTATTGTAATCCGTTTGCCGTCGGCCACGATTTTCGCCGTGCCGTTGAGCCACGTGAACTTGACGAAGGAGCCTTTAGCCGAGCAGGTCAAAACCACAGTGCTGTTGTGCTCTACGGCCTTGGGTACGTCAGACTTGATGACCACAGTGGTCACGGGCTCTGCAGGTGGAGACGAGGAAGGTTAGCTTCAGAGACAAAAGAAATTAAAAGAATGGAAAAGATGCCGACAAGACTTCCCCAAAAACAAACTGAGATCACAGCATAAATGTGTATAAATATGTTGAGCTACACAACAAAGCTTTTAACCTTTATATCGGACCTTGATGAAAGTTGATGCCGAGATAACAGGCCAGTAAGAGAGTTAACCATCAGCATCATATGAATGTTTTTAAATGGTTATAAAAGATTAATATGACATGTTGTCATGCTTTTTAAGCTCGTTTTTTAATTTTGGAATATGTTATATACGTCTTGTCAATGAGACAAGAAGATTTAAAGGTCACATATTAAAGAAAGTCCTCTTCATCATGTTTCTCTAACTCTAATATGTGTCCCTAGTCCGCCTACAAACCCCCTAATAAAGAGAAAAGTCCATCCTCTCCGTCTTCTGCCTGCTCCACTTTTCAGAAAATGTGTGCTCGAACAGGCCGTTTGGAGATTTTCCCTTCATGACATCACAAAGGGCAGTAACCCCTTAAAAAGTAAAGGTACAGACACAGAAACAGCCTGTTCTGAGCAGGGCTGAAATAGAGGGGTTTATAGGCATGATCCAATACAGGATCAGAACAAGAAACTTCATAGACATGTATTGAGAAGCTCTAAGACTTATTTAAACTTCTTAAAAATGTGATCTTTAATTTACTTTAATAATTTTGGAGAGTTTTCAGGCTCATTAAAGTAATCCCAAGAGGTGCTTTGTGAAATCTTACTGTCAATAAGTAGTTAATAGATTTATTATCAAACACAAGGGAAGAGAATTTAATAACCTGCTCTCCTGGGGCCGGTTTTCTCTCACTCTAAATTTGACTTCTTAACGGAGTGAATGAAGGCAGCAGTGAGGATCGGAGCAACTAGACCTGCTAGACTCGTTTTTAATAATCCTGGAGCTCCATTTCTGAATGTGACTGCTTTTTATCCCTGATTAGGCAACTGTATAGGTGTGTGGGAACAATGTGAAGGAGTGGAAACCAGTTCTGACAGCACGGCTCACCCATTAACTTTACGCAGAAGTCATGTTTCTGTGTCTGGCATGCTCAGATTGATTATTTTAAATGTGTGACGACAAGCTGCCAAAATCCATCAGCAAAAACAGTCATTTTAGTCAGGGGAGTTGCTGGTCTACGGCTGCCTCGATCAGTGAGTTTGTTGGTGTAATTGTCTGACTCTGGTGTTTTAAATGGTTAGTCTAGATACAGCACAGAACTCTGTTACACAAACCAACAAACAGCAGAAGGATGAGACAGCAGTGGACCAGCCACTCCTGTGTTCTGCAAGGTAAAATTAATGTTTTTTTCAACGTAGTCTGGTTAAGTGACTCGTTCTACTTCAAGGATCATCAGGGCGGCTGTTGGCTCAGTTGGTAGAGTCGTCGCCTCTCAACCGGAAGGTCGAGGGTTCTTTCCCCAGCTGGGCAACATGTCCTTGGGCAAGACACTTAACCCCGAATTGCTCCTTCTGCTTCGGTGGTGGTGTATGAATGGGATTAGCTGCTGGATGGATGATACTACGCAGCGATCACTATCAGTGTGTGAATGGGTGTGAATGGGTGGGTGTGACATGCATTGTAAAAAGCACTTTGAGTAGTCGGAAGACTAGAAAAGCGCTCAAGTCCATTTACCATTACTCGTCAATAAAAAGGTCCATCTCTGCAACTTTTTTTGGGTCATTTCGATCCCCCCCCCAAAAAAGGCAAAAACATGTCTCAGATTTAAAACTACAAGAATCCCCCTTGAGGTTCGAGGACAAGACAAAACAAATAAAAACATGGACACACTGCCTTCTTTGTTTTATTTGTTAAACGTCGAGCCCTGCATGTGAAGAAGTGAGTGTAACTGTCTGAGTGAGAGTCAAACCGTCTGCTGACTCTCTTGCAAACCATCACACAATAAATAGAGACTCAAACTGACTTCTTGCAGTGGATGTAAGTTCGTAAGGAAACTCTGAGTGCAGCACCAGGACTGATCTGTATACAGTGCAGAGATCTGTATAAGAAGAGCTGCGAAGGTCTGCCAATAAATAAATGAAACATGATATAAAACTTTGGATAACGGATCCATCATTAAATTTGTTCAATAACAAAAAAATGACAAGCCCTTAGCTGCTGGATTTGTAGCCTGACTCGATCACTGATTATCTTTGAGTTTTTACAGCCATAAATGAGAAGTTATTATTATTTTGGGATATGTTTCCGTTAGAAAACATCTTGTAGTGGAGCTTGGGCCAAATATTCGGAACATACGGTCCAATATTCCCATAGCATCCCAATATTCCCATAGCATCCCATTAATCCAGCCATCCAGATATACCTAATAATTCACTTTTTTTTAGTCTACATCTGTACATTTTGTAATTACTGTACATAGCACAGACTCTTGCACTTTCTGCTTATTTGCACTTCTGGTGAGATGCCAAACCTCATTTCGTTACTCTATACTTGTATATGTGTAATGACAATAAACCTGAATCTCATCTCATCTCATATTCAGATGAAAAAACTCCAAAACCATGCAAGAGGTTGAGTCATCAGCCTCTGAATATTCCCAGTCTGTTGAAACAATGAGGTGAAAGCGTTTAAAGAGAGCATATCGATACCTTGACCTAAAAAAAACAAACACGCCTGCAGACACCAGGAAGTGAAGAGCCACACCCTTAAGAAACTCTGAGGAACCTTTTCTACCTGTTGAATAACTGTCACACCTCCTCAGCAGGAGAGAGCCATAATGATAGGCTTTATACATTTGATAAATTACCATCCTGCGCCATGATTTTTACAAGATCAGCTCAGGGATGTCATCGGTCAGATGAAGAAACACATCGTTATCATGTAGAGAAGTGCTTTTATGTTAAGCAAATGCTTAAGCTGTAGGGGGGGGAGGCGTTCCCTCCATGAAGTGGGGCCTAATAATATATAGTTCTCAAGCAGTGCCCGCGCTCTGCGGTTGCTAAGCAACGCCTATAGTGGTGGCGTAGGGATACCAGCCACTCACCCGTAACAGGTGTGGCTCGGCCTCCGACGCGCACCTAACTGCTTCTGAAACTCCACCATGTTTAGTAAAGATGTGTCTGAGCCTTTTTGAAACGTTGCATTTAAAAGCGGATCTCAAAGTCATGGTGAGCTTAAAAAAATCTTTTAAAAAGTGAATCTTTAAAAAGTGCTCGTGTTTGTTAGGCTTTAAAACACTTTTTAAGTTTGCAAAGAAGAAGGAGGCTATCTGCAGTGAAAAGTAGTTCTAACAATCTCACCTTGTTTGAAAGAAGTGGGAGACCGAACAACCTGGTTTGTGACACACTGTTGAATTCGGCCCAACTGCAGCCCCATACATTGATTATTTGATTTTAAAAATAGAAGAACATTTTAAAGACCCCCTTGAGGGGAGCTAGAAGCTGTAGAAAAACTCACCCAGGACTCGGAGCGTGATCTTGTCGGTTTCCGTCGTAGTCGATAGTATGGTGATGGTGTAATCACCGCTGTCCTGCGACTTGACGGATGACAGGGTCAGGTAACCATTGGTCCGGTTAATCGACACCCTTCCCTTGTACGACTCGCTCACTGTCATCGATGTCGGATACAAGGTGAGGATGTTGTCTCCTTCGAAATTCCATACTATCGCATTAAAGCTCGGATTATAGACCAGCGGTTTTAGAGTCACATTTTTCCCCAAAACGGCATCCACCGGCGGTGTCGTCTTTGTCGCACGGCATCCTGCGGGGAAGAAACACGGATGAGAAACGATCAAGTGCTAAAACACAAAGCCTTCAAAGACAGGAACAAGTTCAACTTCTTCCACCACAATCCTACTTTCTTTGGATGAGTTTTTCTATAGTGTAGAACAAGAATTAAAACAAGTTTCACCGCAAACAAAAAAAAAAAAAAACGATGAAAACGCTGCAAGGATTTCAAATAGCCTATATTGAGTAATTAATATGATTGTAGTTCAATCTAAAAAGTACTGTGATACACACTGGGAGAATTAATTTCATCTTACCGATAAAAGAGAGCAGAAAGAGAAGCGATTTATAGGCGAACAGATCCATCCCGGACGGTTCAAGTCTTTCCAACAGAGACAGAGAGACGAAAATGCGGCAGGAGTACCTGCTGCTTTTAGAGGGACACACCCAGATAAGGTGAGGACACAGAGAGAGAGAGAGAGAGAGAGAGAGAGAGAGAGAGAGGGGGGGAGGGAGAGAGAGAGAGAGAGAGAGAGAGAGAGGGGGGGGGGAGGGAGAGAGAGAGAGAGAGGGGGAGGGAGAGAGAGAGAGGGAGAGAGAGAGAGAGAGGGGGGAGAGAGAGAGATTGTAGGATGACAACTTAGTGCGTTTTTTTTTCATTCTCAATGAATCATTTGTTTTTTCATCTGTTTTTTAAACGTATTTTCACTTTATTCGCTGAATACACTCTACAAGTGAATCCAACGACACACTCCATTAAAAAAAAACAATTCCTAATTTAATTAAAACACACAAAGTAGCCTATGTAGGATAATCCTGACAAGACAAATAAAATAAAATTGCGAGTTAATCTTTTTGAGTGTTTTAATCAGAAGTTGCTAACAAACTAATTCTGCTGAATTAAGTTTGTGAAATGGGAAAAGGTGAATCCTCCAGTTTGTGTATCAAGTTTAGTGAGAAGCTGCTGCCACCTGGTGGACATGTGGGAAAGTTATTAAGATAGTTTTAATTCAAAGCGTTTGTACCATCATAAAAAAATACATTTCATATTTTGGTAGTAACTCTTGATACAAATTTCTTTATTTCCGGTGTAGAAACGGTAAATTAGTCTGAATTTCAAAAAAGCTGAAAAAAAAAAAAGATTGAAAGAATTTATGAACGCTTAGAAATCTTTTTAGCACTCAGTACACTCAGTTTACTGCACATTGCACAAGTTTACAGAACTCTGGACTAATAACTCTGAAGCTAACTATTCAAAAGTACACTCAGTTTACTGCACATTGCACATCTTGCACAAGTTTACTTTTTCTTTAAATTTTATTTTATTTTATTTACCATTTTGTACCTTTTGCACAATTTAGAATTTATTACTGTAAATATTATTTATCTTATTTTTACCTAATTTTATTTGATCTATTTTACCTTATCTTATTTTACCTTATTTTGGTTGTATTGCACTGCGGGACGGAGACAAACGCAATTTCGATTCCACTGTATGTCTGGCATATTTTGAAATTGACAATAAAGTTGACTTTGACTTTGACTTTGACTTTGACTAAGGAGAGAAAATGTAAAGCCTACGCCTTTTTCTCTCCAATAGAAAGTCAGTAAAAGAAGCCAAACCTCCAGCATAGTAGGTCTGTTATTTGTTATTCCCCTAAAGTGGGGCGTACACTGTAACTATATGTTATGATTTAACTGTTTGCAACCTTGTGTTTATCGGTGACGCTGAGTGAGAAAGTGTGAGAGAGAGAGAAAGCGTATTTTACAGGTGTGTGTATTTAAGCCGTGAATATGAGACAACTGAAGTAAACACATACACTTGTGAATACTCCGTTCCTATTTATTCAGTGTCATACAGTGTGAGCAAATAAATGCAGTGTGAGCTGACATTGGGCCACACATTTTACACAATCGTAATTTTACTCAATCAACAAGACGATAAAGAAAAGGAAGAATCAAACTCTTATGCGCCAGTAGGTGGCAGTAATAAAACACCGCCAATAAAACCAACAGAAGAAGAATGGTACCCGGAAGTGCTACTAACCGTGGCTAACATTCTAATTTCTAACATTGCTACATACGTGAGATGCATTCGGGCAGAGTTAGCGGACTTCATGTATAAATAAGAAACATTGGTTGGTATTCATGCGTCGATATGGCATTTTCTAACCGTAGTCCCATGTCATGCTATCTCAAAATGCTTCGGTGAGTAAGCATAATGTTAGCTTGCTCGCAGGAAATAGACGGACACAGCGACAGAAAGAGAGTGTTTATGGAGACCGAGGCAATTATATGTGTATTATAGTAAACCTACAGTGTCCCATAAACTGTTAGAATCGATCAGATTGATTTGCCGCTTCTTGAAAATGTTTAATGTGACGTCAGCTCGGCTTGCTCTCTAAAAAAAAACAGACAGACTCATCATCCTCACATTGGAGTGTTTCTGGAGGAAAAAGCTGTTCAAAAAATGTCTAAAGTCCAAATGCTGAGAGACTTTGTGAACCAGAGACTGACTGCAGCTGCTGAGGAGATATTTGAGTTGTTTGAAAAAACGATATCAGAGTACGAGGAGCAGCTCGGTGGATGGAAACAGAACCAGGGACCAGAACAACTCCTGGACTCTGACGTGTTGTCACCCAGAGCAGGTTTGTAAATTTAGTTGTTGTTTTTTTTTACTCTTCAACCAGCTGCCACCCTCTACCTGCTGTTAAATATTCTACAGAAGCTGAAATAAACATGACAATTCTTTAAAGAGGACATATTCTCCTCATGTTCACCTTTCGTGTCGTCAGTCTGTGAAACCTTTTTGAAGAGCTTTGCATGATTTGCAGCTCATTAAACTTCTTATTTGTCTGAGACTGTCGTCAGCAAAAACTCTCTTTTCAGCCTCTGCCTGTCAGGCTCGTTCCAGCTGCCGTCTCCTTTAGGATTATTCATGGAAATAGTTAGGAATACAAAGTCGTAAAATGTGGTTTAAAAGCTTAAGGCAACATATTAATTTGGATGTGTAATGAAATCAGATGGTGTGTGTGAGGCAGAGGAATATAACTTCCCAAAGCTAATGGCTCTGCTCAGGTTAAAAATATAGGCATCACTCAGTCACATCGAATTGTGTGTAAGAAAATAGTTTAATATTAAAAAAAAAAAATGTTGTTTTTTTTACATTAAAAACAACTAGTGTCGCAATTTTCGCTTGCTGCTGCAATTTAATTGCAAAAAAACGTCTAAAAACATCACAACTTGCACTGCAATTTTCTTGAAAAGCTGCCGTGAAATCAGTCATTTTAGGCCGCAACAATCCCCAAAAATGTTAGTGAAATCCTGGAGTTACTGTATTGTTCTCAGGGGTGTGAGGGGTCTGCAGTGATGTTGCCTGCCCCTCTTCTGTCCCTGGTCTGGTACCAGTCCTGGATGGAGGGCACGTCGGCCCTGATCATGTGTAAGGTTTTCAGTAAACTATAATTTCCTAAAATTTGTATTTGTTCTCCACACAGACATCCAGCAGGTGTTGGTGAGAAATGAGGGAGTTCCCCCTGAGCAGCAGGACTGGAGCCCCAGCCTCGACCAGGTGGATCCAACAAAGTCCCAAGTCATTAAAAAGGAAGAGGAGGAGGAACTGTGGATTAGTCAGGATGGAGAGCAGCTTCAAGATCTGAAGGAGGCTTGTATCAACGAGTCCGCGTTCACGTCTGTCAATTTGAAGAACGAAGAAGATGATGAAGAGAAACCGCAGTCCTCACAGCTTCACCCAAACAAAAACAAGACTCTGCAGTCCTCTGAGTCTGATACTGATGACAGTAGTTGGGATTGGGAGGAGATCAGGAACCCTCAGTCTGATCAGAACCCTCTCCAAAACAGTGAAGAACCTGTAACTGACACAGAAGGTAAAAATGGAGAATTAGCAAAGAGCTCCTCTGAAGTCGCTACAAGTTCAGGTCAGAAGGGACATCCTCTGAAACACAACAGGAACAGAACAGGACCGAAACCTTTCAGTTGTTCAGTTTGCGGTAAACGATACCTGCGGAAAAATTCCTTAGCGACTCACATGCGACATCATTCCGAGGGAACGCGTTTCAGCTGCTCGGTTTGTAAGAAGATTTTTCCATGGAAAGGAGATGTGGAGAGGCACATGAGGGTCCACACAGGGGAGAGACCCTTTAGGTGCCCCATCTGTGGCTCCAGGTTCGCCCAAAGCTCGACTCTGACGTTACACTTAAGAACTCACACAGGAGAGAAACCTTTCAGCTGCTCAGTTTGTCAAACAAGTTTCAGTCTGAGAAACAACTTGCTCCTCCACATGAGGAGCCACACAGGAGAGAGGCCGTACAGCTGTTCGTTTTGTGGGAGGACATTTGCACTACGAGGAAACCTGAAACGACACTTGTTTGTCCACACGGGCGAGAAACAATTTACTTGTTCAGTTTGCGGCCAAAAATTTGCACAACGTGGAACTCTGAAGCGACATATGACTGTCCACACAGGTGAAAAACCCTTCAGGTGTTCCGTTTGTGGTAAAAGATTTGCGCAACAAGTTACTCTGACGAGACACATGACAGTTCACACGGAGAAAACCCTGTAGTTACATCATGAAGATTCTCTCCTCTCCAGTGTCATAAAGTATGTTGTAGGGTTGTCGTGGTACCAAATTTTAATCTCCGATAAGATTCTAGTTAAAGTCAAGTGACATCAATATCGTTTTCAATACCACTGCAACAAAAATATAAGTCCTAAGCACCCAGTATTTGGTTATCTGTTGTTTTTTTTTTAACTACAGAAACATTGCAGCGCAAACTCCTGCACACATTCATTCATCGGTCGGGCTCTAGTCTTTCAAGTACCGAGAGCAAAACTACGTCAACACTCTACAGCTACAATCTTTGACAAAGCGGCATCCTCCGGTGTTAAAAAATGAAGCCGACGCTCAAGTGCAAATCCTGCAGTTCCACTAGAGGCTGGCTGCAGAAGCACAGGTCACAGTCACATACACACCCATTCTAAAAAGCCCGTCTTTACAGCAGACATTGTCATGTTTACAGCCTGGTTCAAAAAACCAAACAGGTGTGATTAGCTCAGGACTGTTAGTTATTACCAAGACATGTTACTGACCCAAGCTCAGCAAGTTAACAAAATCAGTGGCATTATTAAGAGAGGTTGACTGCTGGATTAATCATGTAAAGACTCATTTTTTATGTAGTTTGGTAGTTTGATCTATAATCATGCAATATGACAAGCTTTTTGGTTGTTTTGTGGGCAAAATCTCCTTTGCAAATGTAAAAAAAATCCTTCTATGCTGTAACAGAGGGGAACACTGCTACACTCGAAGGACATCTATGTGTCTGTTATTTTTAAATTTAAGATCTTAGGCCCCGTGTCCACCTTGCGTTTTTTTTTCCAGAAAAGCGCTGGCTGTTCGGTCGGGAGTGCTCACATGGAAGCGTTTGTGCGATGAGAAGAAAAGCGCTGCCCGTCCGTCCTGTCTCCATGACAACGGCCGCTGTATGACCGACCCTGCTCCGTTACCTTTCCCTGCATGTTTGATAGTTTGAGATTTTATTTCCCGATCAGACACGGAGCGAGGAGGATGAGAGTGTAAGACACGAACCGTAGGAGACCAAAAATACAGGGAATATCAAACATTTAGAAAAGAGGCTTGGTGACGTCAACAGTGCCTTTCTGAAAAGTTGAAAGATTTGCTACTTCAGCGCTCAGAGCTGCCGCACAAAAGAGGTGGGGCGCTCAGAAGAAAAGACACAGGGCACTGCGCTTTTTCTCCAGGCGGCCGCTTTCTGCTGGGAGCGCTCTCTACTTATTGAAAACAACTGAAAAAAAAAGACGCTGGCGCTGGAAAAAATGCAAGGTGGACACAGGGCCTTCCATCAGCGGCACTCAGAGAAACATTATATTTATTGAACAAGTGACTCAAGCTCGTTTCAGTTTTCAATTCTTTTTCATTTGAAGTTGTTTGGCTTTGATCATTCAAATCCATTTATTACATTTTTCTATCCGCCATCCATAATCCAAAAGTGTAATCTTAACTTTAACTTCATGATAATGAAGGTTGTGTTGGTATTGACTCTTTATAGCAGATTAAAACATGCAATAACATAATACATTTTCAAAATAAAGTTTGCTTTACTGAGACTTGCCTGTCCTTATTGAACTAGTAGAGTTTTTCAGGATCACATACCGTCTACACTTGAGCCTGAGCTCGGGATCAAGAACATCTGCATGCAGGAAAGGAAGGATTTAATCTCTATGAAATACAGAGGAAAACAATCGTATGAAATCTCAGGAGAGGACCTACAGGAATGACCTACACAAACACGACAATGGACATCATGTTCCTCACGGTACACTAGGGGGCGGTAATGCCTCCCGCCACAGCGCAGAATACAAAAGAGGAAGAATGCTACCGGAAACGACTTTTACTAACCGTGTGGCTAACGTGGTTTCTCCCTCTTTGTTACCACGTACGTTACCCTAAAATAAATCCGATGTGGACTACCGGAGGCTGTATGTACTAAACTATTTTGGAGAGTTCCTTTTTTGCACAGATTTGGGATGTTTTCCCTCCAGCCTTAGCTACTGTTAGCTCAGAGTGCTAATGTAAGTTAGCCTAAAGTTAGCTTTCTCGCTGGACAGAGAGCAAACGAGAGAGCAGGATATGTACATATTTGCGGACACAGTAACTTCCAGATCAGCCTGAAAGTCTGAGCGGAATATTTTTCTTTCTTTATCTACATTTTTATAACGATTTACATACAGCGTGGTGCCCTACACTGTCGGATAGATTAGCTTCGTTGGCTAGCTTGAAATAGACGATCTCAGAATTAACAACAACAACAACAACAGCAGCTCTTATCACAGAGTCTGGAGGAAAAGTTAATGTTCTTAACTAAGTAGAAATGGCTAAAGTTCAATTGCTGAAAGATTTTGTCACCCAGAGACTGACTTTAGCTGCTGAAGAGATATTTGAGCTGTTTGAAAAGACGATATCAGAGTACGAGGAGGAAATCTGTCGCTCGAAAGGGAATCAACAGAAACTTCAGGAAACTTCCTACAAGCCGGAAATCCGCTTGGAAATTGCAGGTTTGTACGATTAAACTATCCCCCCCCCCCCTTTGCGTCACCTGTTGTTTCATCGGATGGGGACCAACACGTTTCAATACCTCACAAACAAAATAAGAACTCCGAGGGACCCAGTGGCTAAACTTAATTGTGTCAATTATCATTTAATGCAAGTAAACTCTTACCAAGTGGCCCCGAGCTGCAGGAATAATTCGGCTACATGTGTTTGAATTCACCTTTTGGTAATTAAAACCAGAAATTGTCAAATATTTGGCGCCTAGCCGTGGTGTAGTGCAGCAGGGTTTACAGAGTTAAGTCACTTATTATTCAGTCTCCATCCCAAGACTGTCTGACCTCCTCTGTCAAGAGAGGAAATACATACAATAAAATCGGGCTGCACTTCCAGTTTAGAGTCTCATGCCGTGGTATACCCTGTGGTTTCTCTCCCGTAGGATATACCAATTTCTAAATCTCCTCTGATTCACATATTTTGACAATTTTTAGTAGTATGTTTTTTTTTCAGGATGGTGAAGGGATGCTCCTCCTTACTCTGTCTCCAATTGGCTGAATATGCAAGAGGAGTCTTAACATGTCAGCGTTTATAACAGAGTCCTTTCATACTCTGCTGGACCGGGCAATTCAAATTAAAAACATTTTTGGGGGGAAAGTTAAGAGTCTATCCACTACTTTAGGGAACCCCTACTATCCGTTTTAAAATATGACACTGAGCTTTGGAACGTCTGTGAAGTGTTCTGGTGAATCTGCCTCTTCATCGCTCTAAATAAATGCTCAGTATCAGCCTGTGTTTGAGTAACTATAGCAACAGTGACAAAGTCAAAACTTCCCTTTACAATCAATTTAACTTATATTAAAGTAACATTAGTGTACAGCAATGAGGGGCTTACAGAATATCATACCTTTTGACTGGGATGCAATTAAAGAGAAAATAAAGGGAGAGGGTTAAAATATAGCCTGTGTAAAAAGTTTCCCCGGGTCTGTTTTCCGCAAAGCTCCAGGAAGTGACATTTTATGCACGTTCTCAACGTCCTCCTCATTCCGCTCCGCTTACAGAGATCAACAGTACAAACTCATCACACACTCCCGCTACAGCCAGAGGCCGCCTTCCACACACTTCTATCTAAGAGCTCTCAAAGGCGGACAATCTCATCACGCACTCCTGCTCTCAGCCAGTGCCTGCTGAGACTGAATACAAACACACAGACTCCTTCACAGACTTTCACATGTGTATGACCACTTACCTCCTCTGTAAACATTATGCCGGTAAATATCCAGTGTTCCGCGGCCGATGATGATGCTGGTTTGTGTACGTACGAGCATGCGAGGGAGAGTGAGCAACAGGTTACTGGTGCAGTTCGCCTAACGGCCATGCAGTATCACTACAAACGCAGTATTTTTGAAAGTTACATATAGCCCCTTTAAAAAAACCAGAACATCAGAAGATGGGCCTTTATAGTCTGTTTATCTACTCTGTGGTGCCCTTTGAAAGTATTGTTGGCATAGGGGAACTCTCAGACATCACTTTGTAGGTCTCACACCACTCTGCAAATAAATGTCACTTATTAGCATGGAGTGCCCTGGTGGAGGAGTCCATAATGATTTAAATTACTGAATAATCACAGTCACTTTTTTGGGGCCATATAAATAAGTAGCTCAATGCATTCTGTACTCTGATACCAGATGAGGCTCCATGGTGCATTAAGCATGAGTCTGTGGTCCGCCCCCCCTGAAACAATTCATATTGTTACTGCTATCAATGTAAAAAGTGGGTGAAGGCAAACAGGAGGCCACCTGGACGGGGGCGGCGGGGAACCCTTTCCCTGTCCCGCTTATGGTTAGAAAGCATAAATTAGAATAATAATAAGAGATTATATGTATCAGTTCCAGACGTGCCCACAACATGATCAGTGACGCAAAGTTCAAGTCCGTTTATTTTCTGCTCCGGTGCATCATAGGTTTGAAGTTTGAAAGACTTCTACATAAAGCATAAAGCATTTCTCCCCATGTTTAAGAAAATAGTTAGAAGTTTAAAAGTAAACAGAAAAAACACTTTTCTAAAACTTACATTTTCTATAATTATTCCCTGCAGACGTCGAGCAGCTGTTGGTGTGTGAAGAAGAAGCGCCCTCTGAGCAGCAGGAGTGCAGCCCCAGCCTAGGCCATGAGGACCAATCAGAGTCCTCTATCATTAAAAAGGAAGAGGAGGAACTCTGGAGCAGTCAGGAGGGAGCGCCGCTTCGAGAGCTGGAGGAGGCTGATGTCACCAAGTCCATATTCCTTCCTGTCTCTGTGAAAAGTGAAGAAGAGAATGATGATGATGGAGAGAAACCTCAGTCCTCACATATTCATCAACACCCAGCAGTAGAGGACAGAGACGAATCCTCTGAATCAGATACTGATAACAGTAACTGGAACTGGGAGATCAGGAACTCTCAATCAGCTAGTGAAGAATCTGTCAGTGAAACAGAAAGTATCACTGGAAACACATCACCCAGCTCCTCTGAAGGCGCTACAAGCACCACAAAACACAAAAGAAGCAAAACAGGACAAAAACCGCTGGATTGTAAACTTTGTCATAAGACATATAAATGGAAAGAAGAACTTGAGAGGCGAAAGACAACACACACAGTAGAGAAACCTTTTAGGTGCTCCATCTGCGGCACGCGGTTTACACGGAAAGCGTCTTTGACCTCGCACGCGAGTGTTCATACAGGAGAAAAACCTTTCAACTGTTCCGTTTGTAAAACAAGTTTCAGCCGCAGACACAATCTGGTTTTACACATGAGGGTTCACACTGGAGAGAAACCATTCAGTTGTTCAACATGTGGTAAAAGATTTCCTTCAAAGCGAAATGTGAGACTACACTCGACCGTCCACTCAGGCGAGAAACAATTTAGTTGTTCAGTTTGTGCTCAAAAATTTGCCCTTCATGGAACTCTCAAACGACACATGACAGTCCACACGGGGGAGAAACCATATAGTTGTTCAATATGTGGTCTAAAGTTTGCCCTCCACGGAACGCTCAAACGACATATGATTGTCCACAAGGGGGAGAAACCCTTTAGTTGTTCGATATGTGGCAACAAATTTACACAACGTGGAACTCTGAAACGACACATGACCACGCACCTGGATGAGAAACCCTTCAGCTGCAACGTCTGTGGCAAAACATTTACACAAAACGGAACTCTTAAACGACACATGGTCGTCCACATGGACGAGAAACCATTTGGTTGCTCCATTTGTGGTAAAAGATTTGCAGAGCACGTTAGTCTTAAAGTGCACTTGGCTGCCCACGCAGAGAAAATCTCCAGTGCTCCTCACACATAGACAATACTCGGGACGCCAACCAGTTATATTTGCGGCTGCCCGCGTTTATTAGCCAAACATTTAATCTTTTTCTTTTTTACTGAATTGAATTGCCCTTCCACGAGAGAGAGAAAGAGGGACATCTGGTAGGTCTCTCCTATATAAGCGCCGATCGAGGTGTGACTTCTCATGTTAAAATTGAAGCTAATTATCTTGTCATTTTAGGTTTTTTTCTGCCGCAGCTAGCAGTGGATTATCATTGCAATAGCAGCTGTCAATACTACATCGACAATACGCATCCATAAACACGGTTCACCTGTTGTGATAACAGAATGTGGAGTGACACATTTCAAAGATGAGTAAGGTGAATTGAGCGTCCTCATAAAAACGTGCTGCTGATAAAAGTTGTCAAAAGAGCACAAATGCATAAAATGAACAGACTGTGTGTGACAGAGGAGAGGTGCAGTTGTGTGAAGATAAGAGAATGAAAGGGAAATAAAGATGGCTAGATTTCAGTTGATGGTGACACAGTATATTAATATAGACAAAATCCTAATATTAAGATACAATTTAACTTGATAAAATAGGGTATGATACCTAGATACAGCATTCTTCAGTGGGAAACACTGATCTCTGACTAAAGCTTCCCTCGTGCTCAGTGTGTCAAGTTATGTTTGTGAGGACCCAGGGATGGGAATTTGGATGAAATCATGTACACGTGGAATTAACCTTTTCTGACAACAAAAAACAGGAATCTTTTCTCAGAAAATGTTTTATTTTTTTTATTTTTAATGTTGGCAGGGGGGATAGCCTTGCCTGGTTTCTTACAGGCGTTAAAAATATCTATATAGAAATAATGAGTCTTCTCACTGATCTCTCCCCTTGTTGTTTATATGAAAGCCGTTATTGAAAAATAAATTGTAGAGTTTCCCTGAAGTATGCATGCTAAATGTTGTGGACTGCATGTGAGGTTTTTCTTTTTTTTTTTGTCACCTACTGTGGAAGACGTGCTCTGCTTATTAGGTTTCAGTAATTAAAACTGATGCACTAATCCTGTTTTGTCGTTTTCTTATTGCTCCTTTCGTTCATTTGTTAGTGTGGGCCTGCTCAGCTGTTTAGCATCAACACAAATATTTAATTTATCAAGTAGTTATCTGAACTGGGTGACATGAGTCTCAGAGGGAAACTGTGCTTCTCCAACACAACCTTTGTCATGTCTTGCCTCAGGTGACCGCCACCGCCACCCCCACTCCTGTCTCATAGGGATCGTCTCCCACTGTGAGGTGCATGTGTGAACAACCAGATCAGGAGGATGTCAGGGGCAGTTCTTCTGACATTTTCAGCAGTGCAAATGTGAAAACAGGGCCTAACATTGGGAAAACATCCTTTACCTTTTGTGCTGCTCACGCCTGGAACACATTACAAAACATATTCAAACCCAATACAATGGTTACCATGGTTACCAGGGGTCCATTTTAAAACATGACTAACATACTACAGTGCTCTTGGTTTTTACTGTATTTTTACTACCTCTACATCCTTATGTTGTTACTTATACTTTTTCTTTTTATTACTTGTATTCTCAACATCATTGGAAAATGAGGATGATCTGAGAGACTTCGCAGCAACAGTTAACGAGGCGGGCGGGAGGAGGTCTCAATAATCCGGATTTGTGAATGTTTCCTTCTCATAACCAAAAAACAAACCTTACATCATTACATCTGTAAAACGCCCCGTTCAAAGCCGATATGCATTTGCCTATCAACCAATCAATCTTGATTTTTAAAGCGCCAATTTATAACAAATGTTACCTTGAGACACTTTACAAAAGAGCAGGTAAACTACCTTACTCTTTTATATTAATTACAAAGACTCAACGTTAATCCACCATGAGCACTTGGCAACAGTGGAGATGAAAAAACTTTTAAGAGGCAGAAACCTCGAGCAGAACCAGACTCATGATGAACAGACAATCCTACACACTCGCCCTTTAACATTCAAACCTTTCATCCGTTTTGATAAAAACGTTTTGCCTTGAACGCGCACTTATTCAAGAACGACCCGCGTTAGGGGTTTAGAGACACAACATCGCAGTCTTGGTACAAGCAAAGGAAAGACGTGTTTGTCAAAAGAAGGTTTATTATTGGACCAAAAATATTACATTAAATCTTACAACTAATCACAGAATAAAAGATGCTAGCTTTAAGAATAATTGGGCCATCAACGACTGTATAGAAAAACATGTAATATGTGAGGGCTGTATGAGGACAGAACCGAAACATCTAAACCCATCCTCAGGTTAGCTCAGTGAATCCATTAAACAACTTAAAAATCAAATGTTAAAAACATAATAAGAGATTTGTTGAATGCTAGGAGAGCACATCCACTCCAAATACAGTGTTACTAGGAAATAGTCAGACAACATTTGCTGTTTTAAATCAAATGACTTGTGTACTTTAGATTTAATATCCCATTTATCAAATTATCTTAAGTTTTTACATATTTCTGCTGCCCTTTCTAACACACTTGATTTTTGACATGTGTAAGCTGAGTGAATCGTCTTTCACCAACACTGCAACGACACGGTTTCTCCCCTGTCTGGACAACAGAGTGTGTCCTCAGATTTCCAAAAGAGCAACCATTTTTTTTAAAGATGTGTTCTGGGCCATGTTTGCCTTTCTTGGCGGGACAGCTGAAGAGAGACGGTTGAGAGGAGAGAGTGGGGGGTGACATACAGCAAAGGGCAAAGGTCAGATTCGAACAAACCCTGCAGCAACCCTTTTTACCAAACACTGAACAGCTAAACGGTTTCTCCCCTGTGACGACAATAGTGTCTTTTAAGAGCGCCACTGCGTGTGAATGTTTTGTCACAAAGTGAACAACTAAACGGTTTCTCCCCTGTGTGAACAACAGAGTGTCGTTTAAGCGCTCCACTTTGCGTGAATCTTTGACCACAAACCGAACAACTAAACGGTTTCTCCCCCGTGTGGACAATAAAGTGTCTTTTCAGAGCTGCGTTTCGTGTGAATCTTTGACCACAAACTGAACAACAAAACCGCTTCTCCCCCGTGTGGACAAAATAGTGTCTTTTTAGATCTGCACTATTTGTAAATTTGTGACTACATATTACACAACTAAACGGTTTCTCTCCTGTGTGAACAACCGAGTGCCGTTTAAGGTCTCCGCTTTGTGTGAACCTTTTACCACAAACTGAACAACTGAATGGTTTCTCTCCTGTGTGAACTCTCATGTGCCTCACTATTTCTGCTCTCCAGATAAAACTTCTTTTACAAACTAAGCAGCTGAAAGGTTTCTCTGCTGAATGGCGTGGCATGTGGTTTTGTAAATGTTTCTTTCTCTGGTGTCTTTCAGCACAAACTGAGGAACTAAATGGTTTCTCTCCTGTATGGATTGTTTTGTGTTTTTGCAGTTGTTTCTTTTGCCCAAAGCTTGACGCACATTCAGAGGAGCTACCTGATGTATTTCCAGTATTACAGTTCATATCACTTACAGCTAAGTCTTTGTTTTGCAGAGGGTTCAAACCTTCCTGATGTTCATCTCTCTCCTCCCAATCACCACTCTCATCACTATCAGATCCAAGAAAGTGTGAAGTCTTGTCAGGAGAAACTGTCTGTAAATGATAGTCTGGATTAAAGTCTCTGTCTGGTTCTGATCCTCCACAGTCCTCTCCATCAGATTCTCTTTTCAAATGCTCTATGTCTCTGCTCTTTTCAGATTGGTTTTCATTGAGCTGTGACGACTGAGGTTTCTCTCCATCATCTTCTTCAGTCTTCACAGGGACATGGAAAAAAGTGACCATGCTAATATCAGCCTCCTCTGGCTCTTGAAGCTGCTCTCCCTCCTGACTGCTCCACAGTTCCTCCTGGTCCTCTTTAATGTGTGGTGGCTCTGGTGAATCCTCCTGGTTCAGAGAGAAGCTCCTCTCCTGCTGCTCAGGGGGAATCTCTTCATTTCTCACCATCCGCTGCTCGACGCCTGTGGTGAAAAGAAAACATACAACTTAACAATCACGTATATCTATTCATAAAAAATCCACATAGAGCGAGTTCTGAGGACTCTTTCATCAATTGTTGTAGCTGCAATAATCACAAAGCTCAGAGTGGGTTGTCAAACCCTCCAGCAGTGAGTCTGCACTGATGCTGACTTGCTGAGTATCATACAGATGTCAAAATCTATATCTCATTGGATTTTCTAGTGTTGAAAATTGAATTCTTGCTTATGTCATTATGAAGTTATTCATGTTTAGAGTGACTTAACCATTTCGTAAACTTTCGATTGAAAATGATGAGCTGATGAAATAAAAAGGGATTTTTTTTCACACATGTTTGTTCATCCTGCACCCTCACAGAACGGACGCTACGGCTCAATGCATTCTGTCATACAACCAATATGTCTTTGTGGAGAATAAAGGGGGAAAATGCAATCACACATAGCAGTATCAACACTCTAATCCAAGAGACAGTAATGCTTTTAACAGTTTGCCAAATGATAATAAACAACAAAAGAAGAAGAAGAAGCAGACGCAACAAAATCCAAGACAAGGAAGAGTCACAAAGCAAGAAGACACAGTGGAGCAAGAAGATCAGCATGCTTCTTTCAATCAGTTGAGGAGGGAAAATTCAGGTTCACATTGAGGTATGTCATTGCAAACATGCTGATCATTTGACAAAATGAATTAGAGTAACCTAGAATCATGTACCGCTGCTCTGCTTCTGTTGTGTTGAACTCGTAGCGAGCCATGACCTAAAAACCGAGTTACAGATACCGATATATCATCCGATAGCTTTCATAGATTTATGTCCTAAGTGTAGAGATATATAGATAGACAGTTTTATTGTGTTGATCTCTCAGATGCAGTTTTCAAACACTTGTGGAAAATATTTATAACAAAGACAAGATGGTCACTCAACTGGAAAGTAACTGAGCATGTACATGCATCACTGCTCGACACACTCTGGAGAGTGATGTGTGTTGTAATCCATATAGCGCCCTCTGCTGGTGAAAGACAGGGGTTGACATTAAGTCAAAATTGCCCTCCGGGCCACTAGTTGTCAAATACCGCTGGCCCAGGAACGTTACTTTTGATTCGAAAAGTAACAGTCACCAATTTACTCTTGAACCATTCTGATGCAAAAGTAAATTACAACTTTTATTTCATTAATTGAGCTCTAGTTATAAAAATATTGTGTATTTTTCTTATATTTATGAGCTCATGTTTATTCACCATGCTGGTAACTGTAAGAGTCTACTTAATCTGATATTACTGAGGCTGTGATAGAGCTGGAATTGTTATGATCACCTTTCTCTCCTTCTTTCTTCTCTGTGAGAAACTCTTCATCTTTAGATCTTTACTTTAGGAGCTCAATTAAGGGCTAAGATACTTTGTGAATAACTGCAATCAGCTGGCCCGGACTCTGTCAATCATTCATCCGGGCCAGCGGGCCCTGAAAGAGAACTGCTCGTGTAAGATACTCAAATTAAATTATATTTGAATGGTAAATGAATAAAGTTATATCGGCGCATATCTGCAATAAAATGAGTCGATACCGTTAGTCACTGGATACACTGATATCAGCAGATATTACTGACCAGCCGATTAATCGGTCGGGCTCTGATAAAAAACAGTTATACAAAGTTCCTTTTCCAGGGGGATTTAGAGGAGTTTATCCCAAAGCTTGCTGTCGTATTTATACCCTCCTCCTTCATGAAGGGTTCTTTGGGTGGCCTGGCGATGGCAGAAATGGAATCAAAGTAGAAATCGAAGTGTGAAATTGAAAACGAGCAGTAAAACAATAAGAAACAAAGAGCTGTTTGTTGTTACCATGGTAGCTGTGACAAAAAAAAAAGAAAAAAAAAAGGATGGGATATTCTTTAAGGACTCCCGTGTTGTGGGAAAGTTTATCAGTTAAGCCTGGTTCACACCGCAGGATAATCGGGCCGATTTGAGCTGCAGACTCGAGGCTGCTTGGAACTGATTATCTGCCCAGATTCTCTTGTAGTGTGAGTCTTATTAAAGATCCAATCTTAACGTCCCAGATTTATTTCAAACATGTTTTAATATTTAGATTTTTTTTTTTTTTTTTAAATGTACACCTACATCATGAAGGGGTCTGGCAGAAGTCGTGTGTGATTACACTCATGGAGAGAAACGAGGGAGTAATAAGTGGAGCAGTGGAGACCTGCGGCGCTGTACACCTGTATGCATGTGAAGATCAAACAATCCACGTTGTCCAGCGTCTCCCCAGACATTTCCTCTCCCAAATCTTGTTTTATTCAAACGCATTATAATCCCAAATTTAACAGAAACGGCTCTGTTGTTCAGGGGAGGTTGATGCGTTCCTCCGTCGGGCACGATAATCTTCAGGATATTCTTCAGTATTTGACGTGCAAAGATTTTTCATACATTGTATCGTGAGCACGTTTGAGACTATGGAGGAGAATATCTGTTAGGATTCTCCTTGAAGTGGGTGATGCTGCCCGAATTCACCGGAGTTTACCCGAGGTGTGGATGGTGATCACAGGATGTTTGTCCACGAGACGAAGGGATAAAGCGCTGAAAAAGCATTTGGAGAGGAGGAGGAGGACTACTGCTCCACAAAACGTGAGGAAGAAGGTTTTGGCGACTTTCAATAAAGATGGATTCCTTTGTGGAGATTCAAGGAGTGTGTGCGGCGGGAAGAGTGATCAGAAGAAGGGGAGATGGAGGACATATATTTTTATTAATATTATAGTTTTGGGTTTTTTGATCCTTTAACCACTTGTTTCTATTTCTTTTACTTTTTCTTTCTTTCTTTTTTTTCAGCTCGTGTTGTTGGGTTCTTGTGCTGCCTGGGTTCTTATGATGGTTCTTATGATGGTTCTTGTGATGGTCGGGTTATATATGTCTGGTTGTGTATCGTGCACTTTGGGTTCTTTTCTGTTGGATTGTATTTAATTATACTTAGTATTTTGCATTTGTTTGTTCTTGCTGTTGTTTACGTTCTTCTGTGTTTGGTTTAGTTTGTTCTTGTTTTTGCTGTTTGTCAAAGCACTTTGTAAACCTGTGTTTTTAAAAGTTATTATTATTATTATTACATCACTTTGGCATGTTTGTCGTTTGATAGAAACTTCCGGACAGAGTGTAACTACATTATTTGTGTTACAGGGTGAGGCCTTCTGAGGAAGCTCCCCTCAGATGTTGACTGTGTGGAAGATGTGGGGAAAAAACCCCGACTGTGATGACAATTGTAAAGTACATGGTTTCATTGTAACACTGCACTAACCTGATCCCTGTAAGCGGACTTCAGGGTTAAAAACAGCATCCAGTAGTTTGTGTTGTCGCTCGTTTTCCTCTTTAGATCGACGAAGTTGCTCCTCGTATTCTGCTATGGTTCCTTCAAACAGATCAAATATCTCTTCAGCAGCCGCAGTCAGTCGCTGGTTTACAAAGTCTCTCAGCATATGGACTTTAGACATCTTCAAAAATATCTCTCTGCAGCTTTTCTTTCACACACAAACCAGTTAAAACCACTATTTTACAGTCTATGGTTAAAACTTGTTCGGTCGCGCTAAAGCTACCTGCGTTAGCTTCGTATGACGCCGGGGCTCAACTCAGAAGGTAAAACAAATGTAACAGCGGAAAGAACATCACGTTGTTATAAATTACTCCAAACAAACAGGCCTTTTCAGTTCATAATGATTGCGCCTTAAAATAGCGAGAGTTAGCGTGTTAGCATTGCGTACTGCAGCCTCTTCCGGTTGTTCTCCTTTCAGTTTAAAGGCGCATCACCGCCACCTAGCGTGCTGGAGTGTTAAACAATGACACATTATGTCAATGCCTGATGTGGATAATAATTAAATGTTTTACATTTTGCAAGGTTTAAAGGAACATTTACAAATTAGTAAGGCCAAAAGGGAAAGAGAGACATGTCCTGGTAGTCAGCCGAAGGTTTATTGTAATAATACTGCATCAAATAAATGAAGATGCAAACTTTAGTTATAATTACAGAAATCAAGAACTCTCTAGACAAACATGTAGCATCCGAGAACTGAACTGAACATAGTACACTCATCCTCAGGTAAATCAGTTTTCAATTAATAAATCAAATGTTAAAAATGAAGAGAGAACATCAAGTCATAGTGTTATCAGGAAGCAGGCAAGTCATTAGTGAGTTATAATAAATAACAAATATAACAGATGTGAACTTTACAACAAAGAGAGAAAATATAATCACAGTGAGGTGAAACACCAAGCGGATAAAGCTCGTTCTGAACTACAGACCCTTTCCGAATGGCCACAGTTCAGTATGCAGTACTTTTCAGTATGGAGTTTCAGTATACTGAACTTTCGTGGTCATTCACTATGCATTCTTTGGGTCCACCTCAGTATACTGAACATTTCAGCATGGATACTAACTTCCAGGTTTCATGCAGTATGGATCTGATGCATCCTTTCAGGACATGAATTGTATTTTACCACCCACAATGCTGTGCGAAATTAAACGTAAAACGTCACATCACGTCCAAACAAACAAACGAGCGTGGATTAATTGAATCCATTTTTAATCTAGAGTTAAAGGCCCGACTGAAATCACTACTTTTAATTAACAGAAAATATAATTTTTTATAATAATCTGCATTATTATAAAACCTTTCCCCCTCTATTTAAATAATGATTTCACTATTTAAATGCGTCTTTATTGGTTTATTTTATATTCTGTATATTACTGTCTTTCATTTGTACTTTTCTTTATGTACTGCATGTTATTTAGTTATTTAATCTGCCTTTTACATTGTGATATTGTTTTTTGTTTACCTGACTGTATATGCGCATTACACTTCTTGACTAAAGATAAACAAAACAAAACAAAAAAAAAACAAACAAAAAAAAAAACGGTGAATGCGGCCAGTTCGGGTAACATAAATGACGTCACTTCCATACTGAATGAATCAGAAGAAGTAGGAACAAATATCTGCCTACTGTGTGTGCATACTGAATAGTAGGTACTAACAGTAAACAGCACAGATAGTACGTACTGCATACTGCCTACTGACAGATTGAGTAGGTACTTGGTAATTCGGATACAGCCACTACATCCTGCAGGGGGCGGGGCTTCTGGGGGAGATGAGCCCAGTTTGAATGTTGTGTTTACAAACTACAGCTAAGATTTTTACTGACTCCACCTTTAAGGGCGCCTTTCATGACACTTCAATTCACTTTAAAAATACAACGATGAAAACAGCACGATATCATGGTCCAAGTAAAAAAATATTCTGCAATGAAAGGCAGAAACGATACACAGTAAAAAAGCAGAAAAGGGCACTGTGACAATCAATAAGCCGTTTTAAAAACGTGTTTTGAGAGAGTTAGAGAGGGGGAGCTGCAGGGCTAAAACCTCGAGACCCCACAGAGGTTAAGCCGGCAGCAAGAAGCAAGGAGGAGGAAGAGCGATGTCAGAAAGGTGAGTGTGGACCTGAGCTGCAACTGTCCTTTCCAGTATTTTGGAAATGAAAGGTAAATTAGAAATGCGGTCTGTTTGGATCTGCAAGAGTACTCGCTGGCTTCAAGAGGGTACTAATGTTAGAGAACAGGGTCCTCGTGTCCTCTTCACTATGACCTTATTAGGTTTGCATCATTTACAGTGCTGTGGGTAGAGCATCCTTATAATTACGAATAGGTTTATAATACATATGTAAACGAACAGTAAGGCATGTTTGACGGTAAAGGTTAGTTTTGGACACTGATGCGTTGGCAGTGAAATTCACCAGGTTATTGACGGACGAGATGCAACACAACGAAGAGTGGTAACACCAGAACATCTGATGAGATTGTGCAACTGGCCTTTGGTGCGAGAAGGAAAGTCCCAATAGTTGTAGTCGTACCAAACTGTCAAGGCCTTGTGTGTTTTAGTGTTTTCCATATGCATATTACAATCAGCCAGCAGCATTATGCTAGGGGAAATAGAACATAAGGGGCTTAAAAAAAGAGAGAAAATTCATTTAAAAAAAGTCAATGTTGACCGTGTGTGGACGTCTTCAAACCACAATTCAAAACAGCAAATGTTTAACTTTGCATTTGTACTTTAAGGAAACATTCCTGCAGTTTCTTGATGTTTTGTGTATCTCTGCTGCTCTTACCAACACACTTGGGATTTTTCTTTTTTCTATGGTTATTTTTTGGACTTAGTGCCTTTCTTTGATAGGACAGTGGATAGTCGGTGACGGGGAATGACATGCAGGAAAGGAGCCACAGGTCTGACTTGAAGTCGGGCTGCCCATGTGGAGGACGATAACCTCCATCCATAGTCTGGTCTAACCGCTAGGCCATCTGCGACTCACAATTGTGATTTTTGACACTTTCAAGTTCAGTAAAAGTTCTATCACAAAAAGTGCAAGTAAACGATGTCTCCAAAGTGTGTGAAATAGAGTGTCTTTTTAGAGCCCCACTTTGAGTGAATCTTTTGCCACAAACTGAACAACTGAACGGTTTCTCTCCTGTGTGGACAACAGAGTGTCTGTTCAGATCTCCGCCATGTGTACACCTGTAACCACATATTAAACAGCTGAAAAGCTTCTCCCCTGTGTGGACAACAGAGTGTCGTTGAAGGTCTCCACTTTGTGTGAAGCTTTTACCACAAACTGAGCAACTAAACGGTTTCTCTCCCGTGTGGACAAAAAAGTGTCTTTTAAGACATCCACGGTCTCTGAATCCTTGACCACACACTGAACAGCTGAATGGTTTCTCTCCTGTGTGGATTCTCATGTGTGTCACCAGCTCAGTTTTCCAGTTAAAACTCCTCTGACAAACTGAGCAGCTGAAAGGTTTTTCTTCTGAGTGACGTCGCATGTGTTGATGTAAATTTTTCTTACTTGGGTATCTCTTACCACAAACTGAGCAAGTAAATGGTTTCTCTCCTGTGAGGATTTCTTTGTGTTGCTGCAGATGTTCCTCTTGACCAAAGCTTGTGGCACATTCAGAGGAGTTAACTGATGTATTTCCAGTATTACAGTTCATATCACTTACAGGTGTTTCTCTGTTTTGCAGAGGGTTCAAACCTTCCTGAGGTTCACTGGCATCCCAATCACCACTGTCATCCGTATCAGAGGAATGTAAAGCCTCTTCATCAGAAACAGGCTGTAAATGAATGTCTGGATTAAAGTCTGTAGTTGGGTCTGATCCCTCACTCTCCTCTCCTTTAGCTTCTGCTTTTGAATATTCATCTCTGATCTGATCAGTTTGGTTTGTTGAAACTGTGAGGACTGAGGTTTCTCTTCAACAACATCTTCTTCTTCAGTCTTCACAGGGACAGGAAAGAACGTGAACTTGATGATTTCAGCCTCCTCTGGGTCTTGAAGCTTCTCTCCTTTATTGTGTGGTGGCTCTGTTTGATCCTCGTGGTTCAGACTGGAGCTCCCCTCCTGCTGCTCAGAGGGAACCTCTTCTCTTCTCACCATCAGCTGCTCGACACCTGTGGAGAAAAACAAAACATCTGAAAACTGTAAGTTGCTGTTAATATTTATTGAATGTATTTAAAAAAAAAGGTGCACAGATAGATTGGTGGGTGACCAGAATCTACCAGTATTCAGCCTGCTGGGACCTGACCAGTGACCGGCCGGTCCTCAAAAATGTAACCAATTTTTCACAATCTCAGACACATGTTGATAATAAACAGATACATAAAGAAACAGGCAGATAGGTAAGAGTCTGACTGATCATTTCTTCAGGAGTCAGGGCGAATTCAGCTGAAGAGAGTGAAGCAGTAAACGTCCCCATTTCTATAATTTTCTTTTTTTTTTTAAGATTTATTTTTGGGTTTTTGTGCCTTTAATGCAGAGAGAGGACAGTGGATAGAGTCGGAAACCAGGGAGAGAGAGTGGGGAATGACATGCGGAAGGAGGCCACGGGTGGAGGCGAACCCGGGCCTCCCGCTCGAGACGACAGCCTCAATACATGGGCTGTTAATGACAGTGCTTCACCCTCGCCACATTCGACCTGTGCGGGATCATTTTTCTGCAGTTACCTCAGTTATTAACACAGAATACAAATCGATCCTGACCTCTGACAGTTAAGAAAAGTGTCAGTCTCACTGCTCTCATCTCCAGAGTGAAAGATCTGTAGCGCTAATCCCCTATTTCCACATTCTCCGTGCACACCGCAATCCGTCTGCTGTACACACATCACAGGAGAACTACAAGATCACGCTGGAATAAAGAGAAAAACGGTCAAACATCAGGTTGTTTTGTTTTTCTGAAGTTCCTTGGTTGAACATTTGGTGCCTGTTTTGACGTGATGTTGATAAAGTGAAGGAAGATACGATCAGGAGTCTGTATGTTTTGTTTTATTTTGAAATCGACTGGATGCCCTGTGCGTTTCCTTTTTCGGACTTCCTGTCTGGTTTGTTCTATTCTGCACAGCTTGACACATGCTTGCAGCGTACTCCGTCAAAAATAGACTCGCAGCGTATTTGAAACGGAGCAGAGCGTAGTGGAGCTGGTGGCACGCGCCACAGACGAACCGCTTAAAGATCTTTAAAATTGTGTGGTTTCATGTTGCAGTATCATTTTAAACTGCATATCGATAGTGGTATATTTTTTTGGAAAGATGGGTCGAGGGGCTTGAAAACATTTCGATCTGCCAGAGGAAGAGGCCTGATAGTCAAAGTTTGAGAACACTGCGATGCAGCCAAACACCAGATGCAAATTTCAACAGCACGTAGAGGACAGTTTTGGTATCTTAAAAGTTCAGAGTGAGGTTTAATCAATGATAAACTGTACAAACCTGCTGTGTGTAACCGGACTTCAGAGTTGAAAGCAGCGTCCAGTAGTTTCTGTTGTCGCTCGTTCTCTTCTTTCAAATGGCGAAGTTCCTCCTCGTACTCTGCCACCTTCTTCAACAGCTCAAACGTGTGTTCAGGGGCGACTGAGAGGTCACCGTCACTGTGAAGATAACGGAATTACAGAAAATTGTCAGCATCTGTTTACAGGTGGTTAAGTTTAAATCCTCGGGAAGACGTTCTGGGGAGGATTGTGAAACAGAATCCTTGCCTTCGTCCCCAGAAACACACACCGATATTTACCCACAGTGTGCATACAAATGTAGAACAGCAACCACTGTTACCGCATATATTTATACATATTTTTCCTGATGTAGGCTCTCTCTGTCAAAGAGCATCTTCATGTACGTTAATCAGAGAGAGCAGTGATCTAACCTGTTGTTCATATCAGCTTTAAGTTACACTCACTGGTCAGAGAGAGACTCCGCAGGAACAGCTGACCCAGCGGGGGGAGGAGGTCTCAACAATCCGGGTTTCCACGGAGTCGATGTTCGCTTCTCATAACTACAAAAACAAACAAAAAGCAGTCACGTTTACAGTCAATACGCAAATGTAAACACACAGACGCTCAGAGACACGCTCAAAAGGTAGCTGTAGTGGCAATCTAACAACAAGAAGTGCCACTGGAGGGAATTTTAAGTCATTTCCAACTCATGGTTGGTAAAAAAAAAAAAAAAAGGAATGTCCGCCGTAAATTATGTTTGCAGTATTTGTTTATCAACAATGTTAAAAAACACCAACAAAAAGACGAATGTAGGCCTATTCTGCATCAGACGAAACTAGCTCATAAACATAGATAAAGTCTAAACGCGCCGGACAACATCTTCAACACTTATGGTGGAAAAACTGTGCGGCTTCCACTAATTCCCTATCCTATCCCCATTCACCTGTGTCTCCCCTTTCTCCTACCTGTGATTGCCAAGGTGCGCAGGTGACGTTTGCAGCAGAAAAACGTCCACACAACCAACCACACACACACACACAAACCACAACACACATGAAACAGTAGCTAATGTAATAGCCTGCACAGCCAGAGGAGCTAACGTTAGCATTGGGCTAATGTGGCTTCATAAACATCTACATATTTGATGAAGACAAGCAACCCCCCCCCCCTCACCTGTCCAACAGAAACAGAGCAACCATGGCGTCGCTTCGCAGGCCCTTGAGCTCCCTCAGTTGTCTCCATCGTTGAAAAGCTGTACCGATGTTGACTCTGTTTTGTCCACTGCTTTTAGTTGCAGCCTTCTCGGCCTCCGTCTTTCTTTTCTCGCTGTTTCTAGCAGGACGAGCCGTCACCAGCAACCCCGGCAGGTGTTCATTATCCGCCATCCTCCGGTAAACCTGGGCTGAACCTCTAACTACACAGTCACACAGGTTTTCGGTTCCCGGTGTACCGTGTCGTGTAGAATTAGCACGTTAGCATGACGACGTAAACCACTTCCGGTTTCTTCTTCTTTTAGTTTAATGGCGGGTGGCGACTAGTATTTAAGGCGCAGTACCGCCACCTACTATGCTGGAGCGTGGGCCAGAGTACCTTTTACTATTAGGAGGGGGGGAAACAATAATAAGGATAATTATAAGTAGTTATAAGTCCAGTTTCTAAAACTTCCTCAAAATTTAATAGATTTTTAAAACTCATTATTTCAACCCCACATTTCCTCAGTTCCTCCTTTAGCTTTTCTCTCTGTGTTTTATATGTCTGGCGATGCAAAATAAATTTTTCTACTGTTTCCTGCGATCGTCTACTGTAATTATTAGTGCACAAAGCCTGAGACCCATCTGTTCCTGCAGGGGGCGCTTGAGTCCCCTCGATGGCGGTCTCCAGGCTGGAAATGCTGTCTCCTACCTAAGACCTGAAGCTGAGGCGGGTTTTAAGCCTCCTGACCGTTACACCGCGCCCACCTGTCAGTCAGGTCAGCTACACGCCTTATTGTGAATAACTCTTATCCTTCATCAAATCAAAACGGATGAGTTCCCCCCCCCACAGTGTGTGCAGATCGAGACATGAGCTAATCAGACCTATTTGGTTTTTTGAACCAGGCTGTAAACATGTTCATCTCTGCTGTTAAAACAGGCTTTTTGAATGTGTGTGTATGTTACTTCCTGTGCTTCTGCAGCCAGCCTCTAGTGGACACTCCAGGAACTGCAGGATTTAGCACTTCAGCATCAGCTTCATTTTTCAATTCCAGAAGTTGCAGCTTGAGTCAAACAGACCTGATTGATATTTTCTTATTTGATTTATTGATAAGTGCACTGTTTTATTTAACCCTCTGTGTCCTGTTCTTGGTCTCTTTATGATTGTTTGTTTCTTCCTGTTGTTTTCATTCCTCCGACTTTTTGTTGAATTTGAGCGGGTGACTGCTCGTGTGTTATTCTCATCCCAATCTTTTGTCTGGCGGACATGATTTTCTTTGGTACTACCTGCATACGCCTCAGCTGTACTGAAAGTTTCCATCCCTGATTGAATCTCCTTTTAGGGCATGTTTAGATAGATACTATTCATTTCTCTCTATTGAGCAGGTACCCACATGAACCTGACAACTGTTTGTGATTTTTGTAATCTAAAGAGTGATTCATGTATATCATGAAGTAAACTGTGCTTTGTGATGACACAGACAGTGATGATACCAATGAAGATAATGAATCTGAACACATTATAACTTTTTCTAATTTATTAGTCTCTGTCCACTGCAACTCCTTTCTGATTGCGAACATTTCAACTGTGTATACTGCTACATGATCTGGAGTTATTTCCTTGTAGCTTACGTGACAAAATAAAATCCAGTTTTTCGTTTCTTAAAATCTTTTGAACCATCTGTATTAATAGGGGTAAAGGTTTTATGTGTATTTTCCAGTCTCTTGTCTCCTTCTAATTTCAATTTGCCTTTTTTCGCACTGCATTTTGTTTTGAATATGAAAATCTAAATTTACAGTGGGAAATAACCACTGGTGTCACCGGGTAAGGTACTGCTTTAAACTATTGGCAGTGTTTGGAAATCTTGCACCATGCACTGATTCAAAAACAACCCATGTTAGAAGCTAACAGAGAAAGAAAAAAACAGCAAAAACATAAAAACATGGGAAAGGCAGACAGACATGACTGGTTTGTCAACTCAAGCTTTATTGTTATACAAAAAGTACTACATTAAATCTACAAATTAATCATGGAATAAAGACAACTTCAGGAATAATTACAGAAATCAACGTCTCTACTCACAATCACAATTAAAGACAGCAAATGTTGTATGCGCAATTCAAAGGTTACATTTAATGAGTATCTTAAGGGTATTTCTGCTACTCTATCCAACACACTTGTGTTTTTTGACATTGTCATGCCGGGTGAATTTTCTTTCGCAAACAGAGCAACTAAACGGTTTCTCCCCAGTGTGGATAACAGAGTGTCGCCTCAGATTTCCATGTTGAACAAATCTTTTACCACAAACTGAACAGCCGAACGGTTTCTCCTCTGTGTGGATAGTTGAATGCTTTTTCAGACTTCCACGTTTAGCAAATATTTTTCCACACACTGAACAGCTAAACGGTGTCTCTCCAGTGTGGTCAAAATAGTGTAGTCTCAATTGTTCACGTAGAAAAAAAGATTTACCACAAACCGAACAACTGAATGGTTTCTCTCTTGTGTGGACAACAGAGTGATATTTTAGAGCTCCACTTTCTGTGAATCCTTTACCACAAACTGAACAACTAAACCGTTTCTCCTCTGTGTGGACAAAAGAGTGTTGTCTCAATAGTGCATGTCGAGAAAAACTTTTACCACAAACTGAACAACTGAAGGGTTTCTCTCCTGTGTGGACAACAGAGTGTCTTTTAAAGTCTCCACTTCGTACAAATCTCTTACCACAAACTAAACAGCCAAAAGGTTTCTCCTCTGTGTGAACAAGAGAGTGTGTCCTCAGACAGCCCTGTCGAGAAAACGTTTTACCACAAACTGAACAACTGAATGGTTTCTCTCCAGTGTGAACTCTCATGTGCGTCACCATCTCTCCTCTCCAGATAAAACTCCTCTTACAAACTGAGCAGCTAAAAGGTTTCTCTACAGAATGACGTAGCATGTGTTGATGTAAATTGATTTTCTTTGTGTATGTTTTACCACAAACTGAGCAACTAAATGGTTTCTCTCCTGTATTGATTTCTTTGTTTTCCTGCAGTTGTTCCTTTTGTCCAAAGCTTGTACCACATTCAGAGGAGCTAACTGAAGTATTTCCAGTATTACAGTTCATATCACTTACAGGTACGTCTTTGTTTTGCAGAGGGTTTAAACCTTCCTGAGGTTCTTCTCTCTCCTCCCAATCACCACTGTCATCGGTATCAGATCCAGAAAAGTGTGAAGTCTTGTCAGGAGAAACTGTCTGTAAATGACTGTCTGGATTAAAGTCTCTGTCTGGTTCTGATCCTTCACAGTCCTCTCCATCAGATTCTCTTTTCAAATGCTCTATGTCTCTGCCCTTTTCAGTTTGGTTTTCATTAAGCTGTGAGGTCTGAGGGTTTTCTCCATCATCTTCTTCTTCAGTCTTCACACGGACACGAAAAAAAGTGACCATGCTGATATCAGCCTCCTCTGATCCTTGAAGCTGCTCTCCCTCCTGACTGCTCCAGAATTCCTCCTGTTCCTCTTTAATGTGTGGTGGCTCCTCATTGCTCCTCTCCTGCTGTTCAGAGGGAACCTCTTCTTTTTTCACCATCAGCATCTTGAAGTCTGTGGAGAAAAGGGAAACATGCAATTCTCTGAAAACTGTAGTTTCCTGTATTATACATTATGTAAATGTTTGAAGCCGTTCAAGGTAAATAAAGCTTATTTTGAGATGTGCATTTCAGAATTTATAAAAGAGACTTTGATGTTGAACCATCACTATGTTCCCATCTGTTTTGAGAGATCATTGTTGCAGATATTAGCCCTTTTGGTGAAAGAGGAATGATGATGTGTGAATAATCATGTCCGAGGTTAGACCTGTTCATTGGGTAAATGTTTTACCACGATCTAAGAGCAACAGCTTCGCTTACTTCACCACCAGAGGTGACATTCCGCACGCCAATTAATGACACGACGTTTCCGCATATGATCGTCGGTGCTAATATTAACAGGTGTGCCGTTACCTGATCACACAGAATACTTTTAAGCAATTACAGAATTGACAGTGCTGAATGCCGTGCAATTAACAAAAATATGTTGTTATTTGTGGCAGAAAACCGTAATTTCCCAACAAAATACTGGCTCGTGAAAATGCTGAGTAGCTGGAAACTTTGGAAAACAACTAGCCACGCGGCTTGTGAGGATATGAAGTGAATGTAAAACCTCAGTAAAAGAAGTTTCAAGAAGACTTGACAGTGTTTTGGTCCATGTTCAATGCTGACTCTGTTGTCTGCCAACTCTCTGAGGTAACCAGCTATCCCGGGACTTCCTGCTAACTGCTAAATACAGCTACCTCCACTTACACCTAAAACTTTCCCCACTGACTTCCAGAATGATGTGATCTTCATCAGACACATCATTTTTTTTATCATTTAATCAGCCACTAAAGAGTCTCTAAGTCTAGTAAACATCAGTGATGTTGTTAGCAGGAGCTAGCTGTGGCTAACACTGTGTGTTAGAACAGGTTTGCTAACAAAGGCTCAGCCACCTTCTCGGGGATTTTTTTTTTTTTCGGCGGATCGCAAACAGCTAAAGGTGCACACCGCCACCTACTGTACATGAGTGTGTATTATCATGTCACTTACCTTCCCTTGACTTTAAATTCTGCCTGCCACCCTTGTGTAATGTAAAAAAAACAAAGAAGCGCCTCCCTGGCAGCTCTTATCCCATCTCCTTCTCCCTCTGTGCCCCAGTCTTCCTCTCATATTCCATTCACGCCATTCAAGTCCTAAGTGCTTATCGCCACCTACTGGACAGGAGTGTGTAACTTCAGGGCTGCATGTACTTCAGGTTACACTCTAAAAGTTGTTGATTAATAATAATAACCCCAGCAACCCCATCCCACAGTATGTTCAGTATATTACAGTTCATATCATTTACAGGTACGTCTTTGTTTTGCAGAGGGTTCAAACCTTCCTGAGGATCATCTCTCTCCTCCCAATCACCACTGTCATCACTATCAGATCCAGAAAAGTGTGAAGTCTTGTCAGGAGAAACTGTCTGTAAATGACTGTCTGGATTAAAGTCTCTGTCTGGTTCTGATCCTCCACAGTCCTCTCCATCAGTTTCTGTCTTCAAATGCTCTGTGTCTCTGCTTTCTTCAGTTTGGTTTTCAAGAAGCTGTGGGGACTGAGGTTTCTCTCCATCATTTTCTTCAGTTTTTACAGGGACAGGAAAGAAAGTGATTTTGATGATATGAGCCTCCTCTGGTCCTTGAAGCTGCTCTCCCTCCTGACTGCTCCAGAGTTCCTCCTGGTCCTCTTTAATGTGTGGTGGTTCTGGTGGGTCCTCCTGGTTCAGACTGGAGCCCTCTCCTGCTCAAGGGGAACCTCTTCTTTTCTCACCATCAGCAGCTGGATGTCTGTGGAGAAACAAATAATTGAGCTAGGGTTAGGGGTAATCACGATTAATCGCATTGTTATACGCAAAATCCAATAATGAATTCAAAAGTAGTGTATAACGCACTTTTATTGTAAATGTACTTCTCAAGTTAAACAATGTAATCAAAGCAAATAAATACAAAACTAAAGCTTATTGCCACTGCAAGGGCATAATGTCATTCTCTTTGTTATATTAAAAAAAAACTGCCCAGAAAGGTTTTAGGCTAAGAAGTATAATGAAAAAGTCAGGACGCCATTTTTAAAGTGGGGGAGAGTGTGACAGGTCAATTGAGAACATTGATGTTTATTGTTTGGTTATCAGGGACCCCACAAACACATTTTTGTTGTACTTGTCATTTTGAAATTCTTTAGTTTATAATCCTTTTTGAATTCATCTTCAAAGTTGCTAATGTTAATGTATTTTTCTGAACTGCAACATTATTCAAGCAGTCCATGTTGACATGTTATTAATTAAATGCGCTGCATAATCTACACCACTAGGTGGAGTCTGTGAGTGAGAAACAGTGACATGCAGGAGTTCAGAGAAGAAGAGTGTTGTCGTTGTGATGCTCCGGAGTTAGCAAGAAAGCTGTCGTTATTATTCAGCAGCTGAAGAGACTCTTAGGCAGAGTGAATGAAGGTACTGGATCTTTGTTAAACGCTTAAATAAAGTGAAGACAAGTGAAACGACCTTTCAGCGTCCGCCTGAGTTTCTGGCTGCAACATATTTTGGAGTACTTATCAAGTACTCCGGTAAGAAAATTCAACTTCGCATTTTCCTCTTTCCTGTGAGCGCCTCAGCAGTCATGCGCAGCAGTAAGAAACATACTTTTACAATGAGAAAATCAATAATAAAAACTGCGTTAATGCGAGATAAAATAATTGTCGGCGATAATTGATTAATTAGTTAACGCGAAAATAACGCGTTAACTTGCCCAGCCCTAGTAAAAAGTGAACTAACCTGATCGCTGTAAGCGGACTTCAGGGTTAAAAACAGCATCCAGTAGTTTGTGTTGTCGCTCATTCTCCTCTTTAGATCGACGAAGTTGCTCCTCGTATTCTGCTATCGTTCCTTCAAACAGATCAAATATCTCTTCAGCAGCATCAGTCAGTCTCTGGTTTACAAAAGCTCTCATCATTTGGACTTTAGACATCTTCACAAGATCTCTCTGCAGCTTTTCTTTCACACACAGTCCAGTAAAACGTGTTCGGTCGCGCTAAAGCTAACTGCGTTAGCTTCGTAGGACGCCGGGGCTCAAATCAAAGTTAAAACAATTTAAAACGCGCGTAACAGCGGAGAGACTTTCACGTCAGGATGAACACCGTATGCTCAAGTTCATAAATTAAACCAAACGAACAGGCTTTTTTTAATCTATCTTGATTTGACAGGAAAGAAGCGAGTGTTGACGTGTTAGCATCGCGTGCTGCCACTGTTTCCGGTTTGTTCTCCCTTTATCCCCCTCGCCGCGGATCGCAGGATGGGGCCTCGGCGGATATCAGATGGGCACATAGGATGGGCATGGTCTGACCATAGGGTCTGATGTGAACGGATGTTGCCATAGACAGCACCATCTGCTGGATGAGCGCCAGAACTACAACTATAGCTATAAATAATAATAATGTGTATTTTATTAATCCTGCGAGGGGAAATTCAGTTTTACATTCTGTTATATTGAACATGCTACACACATATAGGCTGAAATACACACATGCACGAACAGGATCCTTTGGACATTCATTAATGGAGAGATGTGTGACGGCCTCAAGCTTGGCCTCTTTGGTTTGATTCCCTTTGCTGGCTGTGTTCTCCATGCAGGTAGATGTGGGTGGAGTCAGGAAGGACTGTAATGCAGCACACCTGAGCTGGCTGGTTGGTGGAGACTACAAAGCAGACCCTGCTCAATCTCCTCGGCCTCTCTTCTCTCCTGCATACTGCGGTTAACCTTTGTTTGTTTGTGCTTGGGTTGGAGTTTGATACTCCTCACAGATCTAACACTGTTTAATTTACTGATTTAATTAAACTCCTTTGAATAATGTAGCCGACTATGTGTGGTCTCCCTCTTTTGTCACTGCTGTGTTGAGCCAGGTTGTGACAGATGTCAGAGGGAGGAGTCTGCACACGGTGAGCTCTCCTGAGCTGGTGGGAAGGGGGTTCGGTGCCTTGCTCAAGGGCGCCTCTGCAGTGCTCAGGAGGTGGACTGGCGCTTCTCCAGCTACCACATCAATTACCAGGCTGAGTACCTTAAGGGACATGAGCCGGCGACCCTCCAGTTCCCAACCCAAGTCCTTACAGACTGAGCTACTGCTGCACCAAATTTAGTTTAATTATTATGACGTCATCACTGTTGTTGTTGTTGTTGTATTTCCTGCAGCTTCAGAAAACCGTATTCAACGCTCATGCTTTGCAGAAGTACAAATATAAACTTAGAATTACATAAATGTGAATAACTTTTACGAGAATATTCATTTCAGCTCTATTGTTTAGTTATTTAGTTCATTACTATTATTATATACTGTCTAATCAGAACACCATTTCCTCACAGCTCATGCTTTATGAGGAAGAGAAATACAAATATTATCCATAATTGCTAAATGAACAATGAAGAGGTGGAGTCAACAGACTGTACGGCCTGATCATCCGAAAATATAACAAGTATGCAAGGTCCATCACCTCTATGTTTGGGTTATTTATACATTTCAGCAAAAATGGAAGCATAGGGTGACCAAGATGTGTAACAATATATATATTTTTTTGGCAAGAGCTCCAAACACTCTCCATGATAACTTAACCTGGGAAGTCCTCTCTTTCTCTCTGCCTTTTTTTTTGGACGGTGATATTATTAACCAACAGAACTCATCACACTTATGGCTCAGGGAAGTTGTCAATCAGTATATGCACCAACATTTCTTTAAATGCCTCATGCCAAACTGCACAAACAAGACAGGCCCACACACGCTCAAATGCCACAAAAATGTTTTTATTCATCACAACGTTTTCGACCAGAGGTCTTCTTCAGGTGATATTTTTTTTAACAAAGGAGGGGGGAGGGGCACACCCATATATAGAGATTTTCACACCAATAGACTGAAAGGCACTTTGATGGCAGGTGTGGTCAAATGTTCAAAATGTCCTAAGGTGAAACACATCTACAGTGATCACCTTTCACTATAGATAGAAGGTTGGATCAGACACCTTCTATTGGCGAGCGTAGTGGTTGAGGTTTCATTCATTCTGGCTGCTCTTACCACCACACTTGTGTTTTCTGACACTCTTTCGCTGAGTGAATCTTTCATCACAAACACTGCTGCTAAATGGTTTCTCCCCCGAGTGTAAAATGAAGTGATCTTTTAGAGACTCACTCCATGTCAATCTGTGGCCACAAATTGAACAACTGAATGGTTTCTCCCCTGTGTGGACCTGAGAGGTCTGCTTAGAGAACCACTTAAGTGTGAATCTTTGACCAACAAACTGAGCAAATAAAAAGTTTCTTCCCTGTGTGGACTGACGAGTGTTGCCTCATGACTTTGCACTCCCCATATACAGATGTTGTAGCCCTCAAAGGGGCCGAGGTTCAAATCTTACCTGTGGCTCCTTTCCTGCATGTCAGTCCACACTCGCTCCATCCCTGACTCTATCCTCTGTCCTGTCTCCACAACAGAGGCATGAAAAGCCAAAAACTGAATCTGAAAACAGCAAATGTTAGACTTTACCTTTAAAGTGACATGTGACGAGTATCTTGAGATTTCATTATTTCTTCCTGCTCTTAGCAACACACTTGTGTGTTCTGAAATTCTGTTTATAAGTGAATCTTCTATCACAAACACTGCAACTAAACGGTTTCTCCCCTGTGTGTATAATAGTGTGTCTTTTTAGATCACCGCTATTTGTAAATCTGTGACCACAAACCTCACAACTAAAAGGTTTCTCCCCAGAGTGTGCAACATAGTGTAGTTTAAGGGTTCCTCTTTGTGTGAATCTCTTGTCACAAAGTGTACAACTAAACGGTTTCTCCCCAGTGTGGACAACAGAGTGTCGTTTAAGGTCTCCATTTTGTGTGAATCTCTTGCCACAAACTGAACAGCTTAATGGTTTCTCTCCCGTGTGGACAAAAGAGTGTCTTCTTAAATCTCCGTTGTCTCTGAAACTTTTACCACAAACTGAGCAACTGAATAGTCTGTCTCCTGTGTGGATTATTTTGTGTTTTCGCAGTTGTTTCTTTTGCCCAAAGCTTGTAGCACATTCAGACGAGCTAACTGATGTATTTCCAGTATTACAGTTCAAATCATTTACAGGTACGTCTTCGTTTTGCAGAGGGTTTAAACCTTCCTGAGGTTTACTGGCCTCCCAATCACAGTTACAGTCATCAGTCACAGTCTCAGGGGAGTGTGAAGTCTCTTCATCAGAAACAGGCTGTACATGACTGTCTATATTAAAGTCTGTAGTTGGGTCTGATCCCTCACTCTCCTCTCCTTTAGCTTCTGTTTTTGAATATTCATCTCTGATCTGATCAGTTAGTGTTGGTTGAAGCTGTGGGGACTGAGGTTTCTCTCCATCATCTTCTTCAGTCTTCACAGGGACAGGATAGAAAGTGATTTTGATTATATCAGCCTCCTCTGGCTCTTGAAGCTGCTCTCCCTCCTGACTGCTCCAGAGTTCCTCCTGGTCCTCTTTAATGTGTGGTGGTTCTGGTGAATCCTCCTGGTTCAGACTGGAGCTCCTCTCCTGCTGCTCAAGGGGAACCTCTTCTTTTCTCACCATCAGCAGCTGGATGTCTGTGGAGAATCAAACACACAGTCTGAAACGAATTTCCCCTCGCGGGATCAATAAAGTATACATTATTATTATTACACATTTTAGTTTAATTTATATACTAATCTCATGTGCGTTTAGTGGAAAAACTAAACAAAGAGGGACGCTTTCCACCTGAAGTCAACAGTTATCAGTGTCACACGTGTGTTGTATGTTTGTTTTTTGAAAGTGGGATAATAAACAACATCACACAAGAAGGAGAGTCGAGATGGAGAGGAGAGATGTGGATGATGGAAGAGGGTCGTGGTTGGCGTCTCGGGGTCGTGTGGACCATTTAACCACGGTGAAAGTGAGAACTTTACCCCTTTTGCAAAAAACAATAGTAAACAAAACATTTGGGACCACATCGACCGGATGACTGAATCATATCTCACCACTCTCATTCCTCTCCAAGACATTAACATAATCAATGAGTCTAATGTGTTGTTATTATAGTTCAACTTATCATTGTGTAAAAAGTGAACTAACCTGATCGCTGTAAGCGGACTTCAGGGTTAAAAACAGCATCCAGTAGTTTGTGTTGTCGCTCATTCTCCTCTTTAGATCGACGAAGTTGCTCCTCGTATTCTGCTATGGTTCCTTCAAACAGATCAAATATCTCTTCAGCAGCCGCAGTCAGTCGCTGGTTTACAAAAGCTCTCATCATTTGGACTTTAGACATCTTCACAAGATCTCTCTGCAGATTCTCTTTCACACACAGTCCGGTAAAACGTGTTCGGTCGCGCTAAAGCTAACTGCGTTAGCTTCGTAGGACGCCGGGGCTCGATTAAAAACACACGTAACAGCGGAGAGACTTTCACGTCAGGATGAACACTGTATGCTCAAATTCATAATCCAAAACGAGCTGGCTGTTTTAGTTCATCTTCATTTTACAGGAAAGTAGCGAGAGTTGAAGTGTTAGCATTGCGTGCTGCCACTGCTTCCGGTTGTTCATCCAGACTTGTAGAAAACATATGACCGCCTTTTCCGAACCGGACACATCCACCCGGTTTTTTGTTTTGTTTAGCTTTATTCAAGAAGAGTAATATACAGTCAGGTAAAAATCACAATGTAAATCAAGTAAAAGACAGATTAAATAACTAAATAACATACAGTACATAACGGAAAGTACAAATGAAAGACAGTAATACAGAATATAAAGTCAAATAAACTAATAAAGACGCATACATAAATAAATAAATCATTATTTAAATAGAGGGGGAAAGGTTTTATAATAATGCAGACATTTGTTTTATTTTGTGTTATATTTTGTTGTTATTTAAAAGTAGTGATTTCAGTCGGGACTTTAACTCCAGATTAAAAATTGATTTAATTAATCCACGCTCGTTTGTTTTGATTTGGAGGCGCACGTGAAGTGACGTCTTACGTTTAACTTCGCACAGCATTGTGGGTGGTAATACACAATTCATTTCCTGAAAACAACAGTTAATAAGTGAAATAAACAAACGATGTCATAAAAAGGATTTATCAATGGAAGAACATGTCAAGCTAAACAGCCTCCAATCCGATTTAGATAACTCGTATTTGGAAAAAACAAAAGGGGCTTTTATACTTTCTAGAACAGGGATGGGCAACTTTGGTCACAGCAAGGATTCATTTAATTCTCACTGCCAGGGGGCCAAATTGTAGGATACAAAAACGATAATAGTCAATTATGTCTCAAATTTAACTCAACATATACCAGTGATCAAATGTTATTATGGAAATATTTCTGGTTTTCATGATTTCATGGCAGATTTTGTCATGTTTCCTTCATGTTTTGATATATAAAATTTACCTGAGGGCCGCATGTGGCTCCCGGGCTGCCAGTTGCCCACCCCTGTTCTAGAATCTAGAGCTCGCTGGTTAAAGGAAGATGAAAAAAAAAAATCTTCATATTTTTTTAATTTGGAAAAGCACAGACAAGCAAAAAAAAAAAAGTCAGAAGTTAACCATCAATGATGTCAACATAGACACTAAAGACCAAGTTGATAAAGAAATAAGAGATTTCTACAGTAACTTGTACAAATCCAACTTTTCAGAGGAAAACTGTGTTACACATTTTAGAAGGATTAATGAATATAAGAGAGTGATGGATGTTGACTTTAAGCTTGCTGTGGAGGAATTAGAATTAGATAATGCAATTTTGCAGATGTCTAAAGGAAAGTCACCAGGTCTTGATAACTAACCGTTGAATTTTTGTTTGTTTTTGTTTTGGAAAGACATCAGAGAGCTGTTGTACAATGCGTTTATAGATTGTATATCAACTGGGCACCTGTCGCCAACTATGAAACAGGGACTTTATCACCCTAATCCCAAAACCTAGTAAGGATAAACTTCTACTGGACAATTGGAGGCCCATAACCTTGTTATGTAATGATTATAAATTATTAGCACATGTGTATTCTAACCGTTTATCTGAGTTTGTTGATGAATGTCAGTCCGCTTTTGTAAAGGGTAGAAATATACATAACCACACCAGACTGATACTCAACATGTTAGATTACAAAGATTTTATTAGTACAGAAAGCTATGTGTTATTTCTACTCTTTACAAGGCTTTTGGCAGTATTGAACGCCCCTTCCTGTTGGGAGCATTACACTTTTTGGGTTTTGGAGATACATTTTGTTGTATTATTAAGATGCTCTATACTGATATAAACAGCTGTGTCTCCCTGAACCCTGGAATAACCCTTAGAGGCATAAGACACGGATGTTCTATCTCTCCTAAGCTTTTCGTTTTGGCAACTCAACTTTTAACTATTCTTTTAAAATATGCTGCTGAAATACAAGGTATTTCAATCTTCAACAAAGAATTTAAAAGAAGTCAATTTGCAGACGACACATCCATCTTCTTAAAAGATAAATCAATGGTCGATAAAACTCTCAATACAATTTCAGATTTTTCCAATGCTTCAGGCTTGTCCCTTAACATTAATCAATGTGAATTACTCCCCATTCATACAAGTTCTGATTCTACCTTTGCTTCTATTAGAGTTGAATCAGAAGTGAAATACTTAGGAATAACATTAACAAATAACCTTCTTCGAAGAGAAGATATTAATGTATCCAACCGTATAACGGATATGACAAATCTCTTAGTCATTGGCTGACCAGAGACCTTATTATTGGTAGAGTTGTTTTATCTAAAGCAGAAGGTATCTCTAAGCTTATTTATCCATGCCACTCCCTTTATATTTCCTCAAACAATATAAATAAAGCTAATTCAGTGATTTTCCAGTTCATATGGAGAAACAAAACTCATTACATTAAAAGGCATGACATGGTGATGTCAATTCTCTTAATTTTCAATCAATGGTTGGCACTTTTAAAATCAATATGATAAAGTCCTTTTTGTCCCAACTAACTTCTATGTGGTTTCATATTCCAAGATCCTTGTTAGAATAAAATAGGAGGTTTAGACTTTCTTTTAAAATGTGATTTTGAGTAATCAAAATTCCAATGAAACTGTCTTAATTTTCACCGTCAGATTCTCCATTTTTGGAAAATGATATTCACTCATAACTTTTCTCCTCATTGTTCAACTCTGTGGAACAATAGAGTGATCACAATCAATAGGAAATCCTTATTTAAGAATGATTGGGTTGAGAAAAATATTATGTTTGTTCCTGATTTATTGGGTTCTAATGGTGACCTAATAGACTATACATCCTTTCTTAACAAATATAACTTTACTTGCGGTTACCGTGAATTTAGTAAGGTTTGTAAAGTGATTCCCTTACCATTAATTCAGTTAATTCAAAACACCTTGATGTATGCAAATGTGAAGGCTGTATTACCAAAATTAGTGATTGATGAGTGTAACTTGTGTGATAGGAAATGTAATAACGAAGGTATTTGTACTATCCTGAAATCTAGGTTGTTCCATGATTACCACAGGGGGCTGCTTACTAAGTTCCCAGAGTTAATTGAGCTTTCTGTTCTGACTAAAGCACATTCCAAATATATTAAGATGCCTGTTTCCCCTAAAGTGAAAGAAATACTGTATATATATTCAGTATACTGAGGCAGACCCAAAAAATGCATACTGAATGACCACAAAAGTTCAGTATAACGAAACTCCCTACTGAAAAGTACGTACTCCATAATGAGCTGTGGCTATTCGGATAGGATCTTTTCAGGAAATGTGTTGTACTTTTACTCCCACAATGTGGTGTCAAAATATGAAAAAACAGGCCTATTTTTTATTTCTGTTTTCTAGTGATTTTATTTTTTGTTAAATGAAATAGAAAATGAAAATCGAACCATTTTTGAAATTTCGCTCATCCCTTTTTGACATTGATAAAGAAAAACGCCTTGTATTTTAATTTTTGTATTCTAAAACGAAAATCAAATAACAACTCTTTTTTTTAATTTTTTTATACCCATATCTGAAAGGAAAAATCGAATGACCAAAATATACACTGACCCATGGCCCTTCCCTGGACAGTTTAAAGTTGATTTCTCTCATATGGAGGAACCGTTGCTGTGTTTTTTTTTAATCTCCTCCTGTTCACTTTTCATGTGACGTCAACTCCTCCTCTCCAAAACTCATGAAGTCCATTTTTAACGTCCGTCTTAACAACTCTTAAGAAAGTTCTTGACATGTGTCTCTGATGTGTGGACAAAAAAAGTGTTGTTTAAGGTCTCCACTATGTTTGAATCTGTGACCACAAACTGAGCAACTAAATGGTTTCTAGCCTGTGTGGACAATAGTGACGTCTCAGATGTTCACTAAGAGCAAATCTTTTACCACAAACTGAACAGCCGAACGGTTTCTCCCCTGTGTGGACAACAGAGTGTCTTTTTAGATTTGCACTCTTTGTGAATTTCTGACCACACACTGAACAACTAAATGATTTTTCCCCTGTGTGGACAAGAGAGTGCCGTTTAAGGTCTCCACTTTGTGTGAATCTTTTACCACAAACTGAACAACTGAATGGTTTCTCTCCTGTGTGGATTCTCATGTGCCTCACCATCTCTGTTCTCCAGATAAAACTTCTTTTACAGACTGAACAGCTGAACGATTTCTCCATCGAGTGGCAAATTGAGTGTCGTTTCAGATTTTCATTCAGAGCAAATCTTTCCCCACAAACTGAGCAGCCAAACGGTTTCTCCCCTGTGTGGACAACAGAGTGTCGTCTCAGTTGTCCATGCTGAGAAAATCTTTTACCACAGACCGAACAGCCAAACAGTTTCTCCTCTGTGTGGACAACATAGTGTCTTTTCAGATTTTCATGTCGTGAAAACATTTTACCACAAACTGAACAACTGAATGGTTTCTCTCCTGAGTGAACTCTCATGTGCGTCACCATCTCTGATTTCCTAATGAAACTCCTCTTACAAATGGAGCAGCTGAGGGGTGTTTCTACTGAATGGCGTATCATGTGGTTATTTAAAGGTTTTTTTCTCTGGTATCTTTTACCACAAACTAAGCAACTAAATGGTTTCTCTCTTGTATGGATTTCTTTGTTTTTCTGCAGTTGTTCCTTTTGTCCAAAGCTTGTAACACATTCAGAGGAGCTAACTGATGTATTTCCAGTATTACAGTTCATATCACTTACAGGTAAGTCTTTGTTTTGCAGAGGGTTTAAACCTTCCTGAGGTTCATTACTCCTCTCCCAATCACCACTGTCATCAGTATCAGATCCAGACAGATGTGAAGTCTCATCAAGATAAACTGTCTGTAAATGACTGTCTGGGTTAAAGTCTCTGTCTGGTCCTGATCCTCCACAGTCCTCTCCATCAGCTCTTGTTTCAATCTGTTCAGTTTGTCTCTGATGAAGCTCTGAGGACTGAGGTTTCTCTTCATCATCTTCACTCTTCACACAGACAGGAGTGAAGGGGAACTTGGTGGTCTCAGCATGACTGATCCAGACTTCCTCCTGCTCCTCTTTAACAAGTGAAGGCTCTGTGTCCTCCTGCTTGGCCCCTCTGTGTACCCCTCCTTGGACTTCCATGTGTTGCCCCAGACCTTCTCTTTGTGTTAACTGGTTCTCACATGAGCCACTGAAAGGTATACCTCCTGTCTGATTATTTTTATGGGTCTTCATCAGGTGATTATTGTAAAGGGTTTGATCAGACTTCCTGTCAGAGTTTCTCAGAGAGTTTAAACCTGACTGATGTTCTCTGGAGTCCTTAAAATCCTCATTAGAGTCTTCAGTCTTGACCTCAGTCTCTGGTCGTAAATGTCTCTCTAGATCTGAGTCCCTCTCTGGTTCTGCTTCTCCCCAGTCCTCTCCATCTGCTCCTGTTTCAATCTGTTCAGTTTGTCTCTGGTGAAGCTGTGAGGACTGAGGTTTCTCTTCATCATCTTCAGTCTGTACAGGGGCAGAAATGAAGGGGAACTTGGTGGTATCAGCCTCCTCCAGTCCTTGAAGTAAATCTCCCTCCTGACCGCTCCAGAGTTCCTCCTGCTCCTCTTTAAAGTGCTTAGTGTCCTCCTGTTCCATACTCGGGCTCCACTCCTGCTGCTCAGGGGGAACCGCTTCTTTTTTCACCATCAGCAGCTGGACGTCTTCAGGAAGCACTGAAACACACGAAGACACAAACGAGTTTATGTTAAAACTAGGGCTGTCAAGATATCGTGTTATTTTTAAGGGAAAAATAACACGTCAAAGAACAAAAAACCTGATTAGTTGCACTTTGATGTAAAGTATTCATTTAAAATATTGATTTGAGGACAGTCGATCATAAAATATGGAAGTTATTGAAGAAAAATTATGAAAATATTGATTTAATGATAATCTAATATCAATTAAAAAAAAGATAAAACCACAAATATTGGACAAAGGTTAGTGTGTCTTATTGCCCCAAGTGAGTATTCATTTAAAATATTGATTTGAGGATAGTCGGTAATACAATATGGAAGTTATTGAAGAAATATGATTAAAATATTGATTTATTTACAATTAAATATTTATAAAAAAGATAAAACCATAAATATTGGACAAAGGTTGGTGTGTCTTATTCCCCCAAGTGAGTATTAGTTATAAATACTGATTGAGGACAGTCGATCATAAAATATGGAAGTTATTGAAGAAAAAATATGAAAATATTGATAATTTAATATCAATTAAAAAAAAAGATAAAAACACAAATATTGGACAAAGGTTAGTGTGTCTTATTCCCCCAAGTGAGTATTCATTTAAAATATCGATTTGAGGATCGTCGGTCATAAAAAAAAATGGAAGTTATTGAAGAAATATCATTAAAATATTGATTTTGCGCCTATTAAACAATAATGTGTTGACGGTCCCTAAAGTCGGTCTCCGTCGGTTAGGGTGAGAGGATGTTACCGTCGTCCTACCACCTCTCATGGGCACGAGTGAGAGCTTTACGTAGCTGGCTCCAGGATGACTGTCTGTCGAATATCCACCTTAAGACCAACTTCACCGCAGTAATAGTTGTTGATTATCGAAAGCTAACCTCAAAAGCTCCTTCATGTCGTCACATTTCTAGCACACTGTGAGCTACATTTATATTGAAATATCAGATGTGTTATGATGATGTGTTGATATCTGTGCTGGATCACTTTGTGCTAAATGGAATCTAATGAATGAAAAGATATTTTGGCAAAAAGTCATTTCCCAACAACAAAACTGTGGCAAGTGAAAATCCTGAGTGGCTGGTAACTTTTGGAAAAGCAATAGTCATAGCGGCGGGTGAGGGAAATACAGTGAATGTCAAGCCCTGATGATCAGTGAATAAAGCTCCAAAGACACCTGACAGTGTTTTGGTCCATGTTCAATGATAACTCTGTTGTCAGTCAACTGTCTGAGATAAAACAGCTATCCCGGGACGTCCTGCTTAACTGCTAAATACAGCTGACCCCTCTCAAACTACTGCACCTTTACCCACCGACTTCCAGAATAATCTGATCGGCATCAGACATAATTTGATCATTTAATCAGCCACTTAAGAGTCTTTAAGTCTAATAAACTCAGTGATCTTGAGCTAGCTGTGGCTAACACTGTGAAGGTTAACTAATAAAGGCTCGGCTACCTAAAACATGAGCAGGAAACACTTAACGAAAACCAACCTGTTCTCTGCAGCTTTATTTCAGGAGTTAAAATCACATCCAGTAGTTTTCTTTGTCGGAGGAGCTCCTCTTCGTATCCACATGTTGTTGTTTGTCCTCTCGGGTCTCTGTGAGCCGCAGCGAGCAGCCGACGTCTGAATAAATCTTTAAGATCCTCAAACCCGGACATTTGACACAGAGAGAAAAGTCAAAGAAGGACAAGAACACTTAACCCTGACGGCCTCTCCTCCATTACTCTGATAACACACAACGTTAGCACTGCCATACATGCTAACTGGGAGACACCCGGAAACGTCTTCTTCTTTGGTTTTTAGCGGATTGCAACCTCAATATTATAAAAAGGTGCACACCGACCCCTACTGTTCCGTTGTATTTAGGAGGGCTCCACTTCCGACCAGAATGATAAACAACCAAGTCAAGTAATAATAACCTATGTCTATAAATCTACATGTGCAAATGTATACATTCACTCTATTATTCTCTTTAAACCCCCGGTTCTTATTCTAAAGTTAAACACTTTTTTCCAAACTTATCACATCTCTGTATTTCTCTTACACAAGCACAGTCAATGTTTTCCCATTTTACATTCATACTTTAAATTAAAAAAACACATTTATACTTTAATTTCCTCTTTTTTTAACTATTGGCATTCTTTTTATATCTTTTAAGACAACCCATGTTAGAAGTTTACAAACAAAGAAACACAACGTTGTGTTCTATGTTCAAAAAAGAGAAAAAAACTTTATCAACTGCAAGTTTTATTTTTTTTAGAAAAATATTGAGTTAAATCTTCAGACTAATCACAGAATATAGATTAGGGGGTCTTGGGGTGATTTGGGGGAACGAGCCCGATCTGAACCGGAGAGGTGCTTTGTTATTGGACTCATGGATTGGCCATACCGAACACGATGTTCGTGTAACAACATGTAGCATCTGAGTACTGTATGAGGACGATCCTGAAAAATGCAAAACCATCCTTAGATAAATCGGTTAATCAGTTTAACAGTTTATAAATTAAATGTTGAACACTAGGAGAGAACATCAACTCCAAAAAAAATGTGTTATGAGGAAACAATTATGGTGTTTTTTTTTAAAATCCCAAATTAAAACTGCAAATGTTGCAGCTCTTTCTAACACACTTTGTGCTTCTTGACATGCTCAACTGAATTCATCTTCCATCTCAAACACGGCAGCTAAACAGTTTCTCTCCTGTGTGGACAACAGAGTGCCTTTTAAGGTCTGTGAACCTTTAAATGGTTTCTCTCCTGTGTAGACTCTCGTGTGCCTCGCCATCTCTGTTCTCCAGACAAAACTTATTTATCAGGCTGAACGATTTCTCCCTCGAGTGGCAAGTAGAGTGTTGTTTCGGATTTTCATTCATAGCCATTTTTTAAATGTATTTCTGCTGCTCTATCTGAAACATTTGTGTTTTTTGACAACATCAAGCCGAGTGAATCTTTGATTACAAACACTGCAACTAAATGGTTTCTCCCCTGTGTGGACAACGGAGTGTCGGCTAAGATAAACACGCTGAGCAAATCTTTTACCGCAAACCGAACAGCCAAACGGTTTCTCCTCTGTGTGGACAATATAGTGTCGTTTCAGATTTTCATGGCGAGAAAACATTTTACCACAAACTGAACAACTGAATGGTTTCTCTCCTGTGTGGACTCTCATATGTGTCACCATCTGTGATTTCCTGTTAAAACTCCTCTTACAGACGGGGCAGCTGAGGGGTGTTTCTATTGAAGGTCGTATCATGTGGTTATGTAAATGTTTCATTGGCTGGTCTCTTTCACCACAAACTGAGGAACTAAATGGTTTCTCTCTTGTATGGATTTCTTTGTTTTTCTGCAGTTGTTCCTTTTGTCCAAAGCTTGTAGCACATTCAGATGAGCTAACTGATGTATTTCCAGTATTACAGTTCATATCACTTACAGGTACACTATCAGATCCAGAAAGGTGTAAAATGTTGTTCTGAGAAACTGTCTGTAAATGACTGTCTGGATTAAAGTCTCTGTCTGGTTCTCCACAGTTCTCTCCATCAGCTCCTGTTTTCAAATGCTCTATGTCTCTACTCTTTCCAGTTTGGTTTTCATTGAGCTGTGAGCACTGAGGTTTCTCTCCATCATCTTCAGTTTTTACAGGGACAGGAAAGAAAGTGATTTTGATGAAATCAGCCTCCTCTGGCCCTTGAAGATGCTCTCCCTCCTGACTACTCCAGAGTTCTTCCTGTTCCTCTTTAATGTGTGGTGGTTCTGGTGGGTCCTCCTGGTCCAGTCTGGAGCTCATCTCCTGCTGCTCAGAGGGAACCTCCTCTTCATTTCTCACCATCAGCTGCTGGATGTCTGTGGAGAATCAAACACACATTTTAGTTAACGTAACCAATAACCAACTAAAGTAAATGTTACGTGCACACAACAGGACAACATGTAACACTATAATACAATAACCTGAGTCCTTCTACACCTCGATTGTGGGGTGATTTGAATGAGTCCGTCAAACGGTATTTATGTAGATTTATTATTTCCGTGACATAAAACCATAGTTACACAAAGTTCCTTTTTCTGGGAGATTGAGGGGAGTTTGTCTCAAAGCTTGCTGCTGTATTCCCTCCACCTTCACGACAACGTAAATACCAGAGTACTGGTGTGGAATACGATCGACCATTAAAACAATTGAGAATATATCCTATAAAAACAAGAGGTATCCAAAGTATCAGACGTTTTGTCAACCTTAATGAGATAACATTTCATATTGGGTCACTTCTGAAATTTCAACAGCAGGTTGCAGTTAGTTTATTAGCAGCAGCTTGTTTGTATCAAGTCTTTTTTTTAATCAGAAAAACACTCACTGTTATTGTGTTGAAAAATAATTTAGCCAGTTTCACTGACTGGAGCTACCAGCATATTTCCCTAATCCAAAAATATATATCTTACTTGTGGCCTCACAAAGTTTGGCTTGATTACAATATGATTATTGGCCACAAATGTGTTCTGTACAATACATTTTTATTGTATTTACATTAGTACTGTACGTTGTTTATTGCAGCGACTCACCTTGTTCTGCATTGTATATCACCTCCTTGATGTAACAATTGTAAGTATCAATGACATCATAGACTGTTATAGTTACTTTGACTACAAAATTGCATCACAGACAGCAAAAAGCTACAATACAAAAAGCTAAAATCAGCAATCATGTAAGGTTTGCTATTTTATGTAATTAGCCTTTGCCAGATAACTTGTTTTATGTTTTTCTGTGTACTCTATGCTGTTTAAAGTAAGAATGACAGAATTAAAACGCAAGCGGTGATGAAGGGCCCTCGCACTTGGTGCATGTCGGGGTATGTTGCGACCGCGGGGAATGCAGCAGCAATGAGGTGTAGCCAAGGAGCAGGCCAACAGATGGATTTGTGCCTGTTGTCGTCGTTGGTTCCAATGTATCCATGCTGTGGATTCCAAGCTGACATGGACCTGGTCATGTAACACAGACTCTCTTCAAGAAGGATGGAAAAGACTATTCTTCCTGAGAAGACTTGGATCATCCAATGTTTGCAACATACTCCAGTAGACTTCAGACTTGACCAACACTGTGATCAAAGTCAAATCCTGGAAAAGGCTGCATGCAGCTCTCAATCTGAAATGTTATTTCATAGTAATGGAAGTTAAGTTGACAAAAATATGTATGAAAGATTGCACAATTTAAGTAATTGTTAATAATACAACTTTCTCTTCAGCAAAAAAAAATTAAACAAGAACATTTGCTATTAATATAATAAAAATATCAAAACTTGACAGCCATGACACAATACAACATGGCCACACAAAATAAGAATTTTGATCACTAATCACTTCCATAGTCAGCGACTTCCCGCAGCAGGTCAGCCAGCGGTCTCCCAGTTGAAGCCGTGCTAGTCTGCTGCTTAATGTCAACAGGAAGTCTCCTAGGAATAGATCTGGCTGGATCGCTCAGTTGACCAATCCTGAATGAGACTGACCTTAGTCCCTCCTACCTCATTAGCATACGGACACAGAAATGTAGAAATAAATACATGTGGAAATAAATAAATGTAGAAATAAATTTAAGACATTTAATTACTTATGTCCCATTTATTTACCAGTTTTTATTTATTTATTCACGCATTTAATTATTTATTTATTTATACTTTTGTCAGGTCTCGTCCTCCATATACTATCACATAGGTCACATTAGCATGTTAGCCGAGGCTTACAGTTCAGCTACAGACAGCCTGCACAGAACTAATGTATTCGCAGCAGCTAAAAAGTTGTTTTCGAACAAATAAAAAAAGACAATAAATGAAGCGTACTTACATGTTGTGGTTGTGAACTTCCAGAAGCATCAGAATCTCCACAGCTGCCACAGAGAGTAGGAGCTGAAATTTAACACCTTAGCACCACTACCGCAGGCTGAGGCATATCGTGGGCATGCAACATGAGCTGCAGGGTTTGCCACAATGAGCCAATGGGCTTAGATCAGTGATCTCACGGACACATTGTTTCGAGGGGGGGGCTAGAACCGAGCATTACATGCAGCTAATGCTGCAGCTAACAGGAGACGTAGGAGAAGCTGCGTTTCCTCGGACTTTGAATTCTTGCACATAGATGTGCCTAAACATGCACAGGACACATGGAAAACACACTAAAAGAGCATAAACAACCAGAAAAGGCACAATATGACCCATTTGATAAATAAATAAACGGTACAAACCTGATACTTGTAACCGGACATCGTGTCTGTGATCGTCCAGCAGGTTGCGTTGCTTCTCTTTTGATAGATGAAGCTGCTCCTCGTATTCTGCTATCGTCCTTTCAAACAGCTCAAATATCTCTTCAGCGGCTGCAGTCAGTCTCTGGTTTACAAAAGCTCTCATCATTTGGACTTTACACATCTTTACAAGATCTCTCTGCATGTTTGCTTTCAGTAAACAACGTAAGTAAATGTGCAAACAGCGAAGACCAAGTCTGGATTTACGTGTAAAATTCACGTTAACAAGTGAATCCAAACAAACGGGCTCCTTTGGTTCGCTTCGATTGTACATGAAAGTAGCGAGTGCTTCCGGTTCTTCTTCTTCTTTCAGTTTAAAGGCGCATTACCGCCACCTACTGTGCTGGAGTGTATCCTGAGCAGCTGTTAGAGGGGAAACAAAGTAATAAACTACACTGTCTAATCCTGTTTCTTTTAAAAACTCACACGGGGATTATGTTTCCTTTCTTCAAGGTTTCATTTATTTCTATGAGTCAATACTTCCATCCTACATTTCCTAAGCTTTCTGTTTGTTTTAAACGATGAAACATGACATATTCAACTGTTTCTTAATCTAGAAATGTTGAATTCTGCAAAAATGTGCCCTCTTATACTGAGTCTTCGACACACATTCAACAACACTCTTTTCACATACATGACTGACATCCCCTCGCTTTTCGTGCACCCAACTACACACTTCATGCTTGTCCAACAAAATTCCAGATCTGTTTGTTCCATTCAGTTTTATTCCAGCTAATTAAGTGGACTTCTCTTTCATTATAGTTTTCTTTACTGCAACTGGAACTTTAATCTCTCTCTCTTTTTCCTTCCTGACTTCTTAGCGTGACTTCTTTCAAACCCATCGTCCATCTTTCCCTCTTCCGCCCTCCTTCTGTGGGGCTTATTGGTGGTTGACATCCGCATGTGTTGCATTACCGGCATCCAAGTCCTGCCCTGAGTGTGCAGTCCTCTTCTGTAACATCCATTATGTCATCAGTCACATAAAAGGTTATCTCATGATGGCTTTCATACACAGTAGGTTCATCATATTCTGTTGCTTTTTACCCCAATTGTGATATTTGACAAAATGTGGTTGGGTGTACCTTTTATTACAAACATGAATAAAGTGTTGTGTCAGAGTTTCATGGCGTGCAAATCTTTTGCCACAAACTGAACATCTGAATAGTCTCTCTTATCTCTGTACAGCCAAAGGTCGCCTCAGACCTCCAATTTATTTTGCAAATCCTGTACTGCAAAGAGAACACTTGAAAGGTTTCTCCTGTTTGGATCCTTATGTGTATCACAACCTCTGCTCTTGTTGGATTTTATTTCTTGAACAACTGAAATGTTTACTAAAGCACCGTGTAAGCAGGTCAGTAAATATCATGACAAATGTGCCTATTTACAAAACACAATTTTAGAAAAATTGCAAACAATATTGTTTATTTTGTTTATAACAAAGTGCTTTTTTATGTACAAAGCAGTAGTGCAAAACAAACTTATGAAACATTTTTGAATGACTGACAAAATGAAGATACATTCTTCTACCTACCTAAAATGACCTTTTTGAGCGGGACAGGGGAACATGTATGGGTGGTTTCTTGAAGGTTTGTTGTTGTATGTAAACAGTCCAAAGGACAAAGATGAGAACTTGCAAACTGATTTAAGCAACAAAAACTCTCTCAGCATTCATTTGACATCTTGGTTCTGCATGCAGAAATAAGTAACTGTGCATGCAAAACAACTATTTTAGACAAAATAAAGCAGAATTACTTTAATCATGTGCCTTTGTCTGCTGAAAAGATAAAACCGAAAGAAGACTCATTTTGGAATCTGACCATCGTTAAGATGTTAGTCTACCTTTTGTGCTTTCCTCCTACAGGAATTCATTGGTATATCAAGCATTTAGATTTTTCCTTCTTTCACACACAAGCCTGTGACGTTTGGCACAATCAAGTCGAGAGAATTTTTTACAACAAACTGAACAACCAAATGTTTTATTCCTTGTGTGAACAACCAAGTGGCGTTTCAGATGTCCATTTTGTGTAAATTGTTTACCACAAACTGAACAACTAAATGGTTTCTCTCCTGTGTGAACAATCAAGTGGAGCCTCAGGTGTCCATTTTGTGCAAATCTTTTACCACAAATTGAACAACTAAATGGTTTCTCTCCTGTGTGCACTGCCAAGTGGCGTTTCAGATCTCCATTCTGTGCAAATTTTTTACCACAAACTGAACAACTAAATGGTTTCTCTTCTGTGTGAACTGCCAAGTGGCGTCTCAGATCTCCATTTCGTGCATATCTTTCACCACAAACTGAACACATAAATGGTTTCTCTCCTGTGTGAACAGCCATGTGGAACTTCAGATGTCCATTTTGTGCAAATCTTTTACCACAAAATGAACACTTGAAGGGTTTCTCCCCTGTGTGAGTCCTCATGTGTTTCACAACAGCTGCTCTTGAAGAAAAACATTTTTTACAAATTGAACAGATGAATTTTTTTCTTGCATGAAGACCTTCCTGAGGATCATCACTCTCCTCCCACTCACCACTGTCATCAGTATCAGATCCAGAAAAGTGTGAAGTCTTGTCAGGAGTAACTGGCTGTAAATGATTGTCTGGATTTAATTCTGGTTCTGCTCCTCCACAGTCCTCTCCATCAGCTTCTATTTTCAAATGCTCTGTGTCTCTGCTTTCTACAGTTTGGTTTTCATGAAGCTGTGAGGACTGAAGTTTCTCTCCATCTTCTTCTTCCCTCTTCACAGGGATATGTTTTAATCTTAACATGCTGATATCAAACTCCTCTTCTACTTGAAGCTCCCCTTCCTGTCTGCCCCAGAGTTCCTTCTGTTCATCTTTAATTTGTGGTGAGTTTGGTGGGTCGTTCTGGTCCAGTCTAGGGCTCAATTCCTGCTGCTCAGGGGAAACCTCGTCTTGACTCACCACCAGCTGCAGGACATCTGTGAAAAAAGTGAAACACATAAAGCTTATAAAACCTGAATTTCCTATTCAGATTAAACAACTGATAGGACTACTTTATAGAGGTACGAGATGTCACAGTGGGCGGAGTCTGTGCACTTCAAGGCAGCGAGTGACAGAAAGCTGGTGTCAGGAATAAGAAGTAAGCAGTATATGGCTTTAAATCAGACAAAAAGTGCAGCCTTTTCTGTACTTAGGGGAGCTAGGGGTTTAACGATCCATCACTCCACATCAATGCATTGATTGGTAGAACAAAGATTCAATTGAATCGGTGTGCAGCGTTTGGACCAGCCATGTGTTGGACAAAGGACTCGGGTCTAAAGCCTGCCTTGAGTATATTTGGAAGGAAAAGGACAAAGAGACCTGAAGGACTCTTACCCCAGCACCCCCTGCAGCACCTCACAACTAGATGTGAGAAAAAGGGGAGTCTGGATTCTCTATCCTCATTGGAGGAGACCTCAGGTAAATCCTCACGGGTCCCCATGATGCAGGCCAGGTTATAAAAGCCTTGGAAACCTGCTCCTGCTTGCTTACACAGTTTAACCTCACAAAAACTGAGGTTGCTCCGAAGGTGCTCTCCATCTCTCTCACATGCTTCCAGCATAAGAGGACCCTTCTGTCTCACCTTTCCTACTCCCAACTTTGGCACATTCAGCATCTGTCTGTTTGAGCACCGAGGGTTTTCTTTCCTTCTTTTATTTCAACTTCATCAAACGCAACCGGACAGATGTTACTGTTTTTGTACTGCGCAATGTCATTTTCCATGTACGTGTCGGAACATACAGTTCTCTTGGCAAATGAATACATCGACACAAGCTGCCAGAAGGCTGGAATCCCAGGCTTCCCGGGATGCGTCGAGCACTCTGCTATGATTTGGGACCAAATTCAGCGTGCAAAGAGAGAGAAGAGCGACCTGCATGTGGTGTGGCTAGACCTCGCCAACGCGTACGGCTCAGTGCCGCATAAGCTGATAGATTTTGCCTTGGAATTCTTCCGCATCCCACATTGTGTCAAGAACATCATCACCAGACACTTCAACAACCTGCACATGGGCTTCACCCTGGAAGGCTACACATGCGGCATTGCCATGGGATGCGCCATCTCCCCAATCTTGTTTGTGATAGCCTTTGAGATAATCCTCATAGGGGCAAGGCAGGTGGTGGGAGGTATCAAGTTACCGTCAGGCGAAAGGCTGTACAAACCTGCTCTGTGTAAACGGACTTCAGGGTTGAAAACAGCATCCAGCAGTTTGTGTTGTCGCTCGTTCTCTTCTCTAAAATGACGAAGTTCCTCCTCGTACTCTGCTATCCTTTTCTCAAATAGCTCAAACGTGTCTTCAGGGGCGACTGAGAGGTCGTCGTCTCTGTGAAAATAACAGAATCCTGTCAGCAATAGTCATGTTATCTTTAAACACAATTTGACAGTTCTCATGAACACAGATTCAAACCAAGTGCTGTGTTTAGATTTTTTTTTCAGAGTAGATTTCAATGCCTTTGTCCCTAGATACACACACAGCACACCAACATGTACCCACAGCGTAGCAAATACATTTAGTAACACAAACACTCATGACAATAATAATATTAGTCATTTAAGATTATTTTATTTTGGAAAAAGTCTGTGACAGGTGAGGAAAAACTTTCAATGGATACTTGTTCCTCATGTCCCTGACTGTAGTCGTGAGAATTCTCAGCAGATTTTACTGTAGAAATGTTGAAATAATTAAAGGTAAAAATCTGCTAAAATTGCACTGTGACGCTTTGATATTTTAGTCATTTTATTTTGAAAAGGTCTGTGACAGGTGAGGAAAAGCTTTCAATGGATTCTTGTTCCTCATGTCTCTGACTGAGCAAGAAATGAGGACGAGCAGTGATCTAAGCTGTTGTTCATATCAGCTTTAAGTTACACTCACTGGTCAGAGAGAGACTCCGCAGGAACAGCTGACCCAGCGGGGGGAGGAGGTCTCAACAATCCGGGTTTCCACGGAGTCGATGTTTGCTTCTCATAACTACAAAAACAAACAAAAAGAGCGTTAGCATTCGGGCTAACACGGCTACATGAAAAGCGACATATTTAATGTAGACAAACAACCCCACACCCCAACGAAACATAAACTCACCTGTCCAACAGAAACAGAGCAACCACGGCGTCGCTTCGCAGGCCCTTGAGCTCCCTCAGTTGTCTCCATCGTTGAAAAGCTGTACCGATGTTGACTCTCGTTTTATCTAATCTCCTTCTCGTCACAGCCTTCTCGGCCTCCGTCTTTCTATTCTTGCCCTCTTTTTTAGGACGAGCCGTCACCAGCAACCGCGGCAGGGGTAATTTATCCGCCATCCTCCGGTGAACCTCGGCTGAAACCTCAGACTACGCAATCGCAAAGGTTTATTCCCGGTGTTTCTATTTAAGCAGGAGTTAGCATGTTAGCGTCACAGAGTAGAACTACTTCCGGGTTCTTCTTCAAGTCAGTTCAACGACGGCAGGAAGTCAACAGCTGAATGGTTTCTCTCCCATGTGGGTTCGTTCGTGTTTCTTCTGTTCCTTTTGGTCACAGTTTACAGACTACTTCAAAATATTCCTTCAGACATCCCAACTGATGTCTGACCAAAGCTGTTAAAGTGTATCAACCAGACCTTTTATGTCTCTTTGGTATTTCTAAAGTACATGCCCCCTGTTCTCCTTCTGTTCTGATTGTTAACAACAAAAACTGATTATTTTTTACTAAAAAAAAACAGGAAATACATCAAATTAATCCCCCCATAGTTAAATTTCTTCATAAGAAAACTGGAGAGTTGCGTAGTCCTCCTTAACTTTTATACTGTTTTAATAAAGTGACATTTCATGCAGGGCTTTAAATCTAGTCATCATGTAGTTATTTTTACTAAAGTCAAATGTATTATTATTCTAAATGCATTCCATCTCTCTTTGTATTTCTCTTACACAAGCACACACAATGAATATTCATATCAGTCCAGCAGTGAACAGATTACAATATTATCCAATTAAGCTTTCAGACTTTAATCTTTTTTTTTTTAAACTATTGGCAGTTTTGTTTTCCCTTTTGGCCTTCACCATACACTTAAACAAAAACTACCCATGTTAGAAGCTTAGAGACCATGAAACAAAACCTTGTCGTCTTGGTACAAGAAAAATACACGTAAGAGCAGACGCCACGTCTTGTTTGATCAAAAAAAATATTACATTAAATCTACAAACTAATCACAGAACAATTACAGAAAACAACAACTCTTGCAGATGATGTATCTGAGTAGCATCTGTTTGAGGACAGGCCTGAACAATCTAAATCCATCCTTAGGTAACTCTGTGAATCAGTTAAACAGTTTATAAATCTAATTTAAAACACAGGAGGAGAGATTTATTGAACAAGAGGTGTAATGTGTAATTAGGAAACAGTCAAGTCATTGTTGTAGAGAATAAAACTAAAAATATGTTTTCTTAAAGGTTCCCCCTCATGGCACTCAAGGCCACCTCGCAAATACAACAATGCAAACAGCACAATAACATGGTACAAGAAAAATAATCAACAATAAAAGAAAGAAGAAGAATCTTAAAGTCAACGCAACATTTGACAGGGTGCCAGTGAAGCTGTTGGAGGACTGGGGTGATGGGCTATATGGAGGGGGTTCTCGTGATGATCGGGGCAGCTGAGTTCTGGACCAGTTTAAGTTTATGGAGAAGCTGAAGAAGACCAGAGAGGAGAGAGTTACAGTAGTAGTAGTAGAGTGGACAAATGTACTTTTTGGGGGCTCATTGGATAGAGCAGATCAATCAGTGTTCTTCTTGATAATGCAGAACGTGATGGTAAAGGTGGGTTTGTTTTGGACACTGATGAGTTGGCATTGAAAGACAGAGGGGTCACACCAGAACAGCTGATGAGATCAAGCATGTGGGAACTAAGCCCCCCTCACTAGCCCGACATCTCTACAATAACGAACGTCCACGGGTCCTGTTTGTGCACGTGTGTGTGAGTAGCATGTCTCTCAATAACAAAATGTGAACTTGAATTTATTTAAAAAGTCAATGTTGATCACAGGGGATTTGTTTAAATCCTAATCTAAAACTGTAAATGTTGCACTTTGCCTGCGTACTATAAGGTAACATTCAATGAGTATAACTAAGTTGTGTATTTCTTCTGCTCTTACCAACATACGGTACTTATGATATTTTTCCTAGAAATAGATAGAATCGGAAATCAGGAGAGATAGTAGGGAATGAGTCCCAGCCGCAGGTCTGACCTAACCGCTAGGCCATCTTAGACCTACACTTGTGATATTTGACACTATGCTTCCGAGTAAATGTTCTATCACAAAAATTGCAACTAAACGGTCTCACCCCCGTGTGGATGAGAGAGTGCATTTTAAGAGATCCACTTTGCGTGAATCTTTTACCACACACTGAACAACTGAATGGTTTCTCTCCTGTGTGGACAACAGAGTGTCTTTTCAAATCTCCATCTTTTATAAAATGTTTTCCACAAACTGAGCAACTAAACGGTTTCTCCCCCGTGTGGACAAAAGAGTGCATTTTAAGAGATCCACTTTGTGTGAATCTTTTACCACATACTGAGCAACTAAATGGTTTCTCTCCAGTGTGGATTGTTTTGTGTTTCTGCAGCGGTTTCATTTGTGCAAAGCTTGTAGCACATCCAGAGGAGCTAACTGATGTGTTACCAGTATTACAGTTCATATCACTTATGGAAATGACTTTCTTTTGCAGAGGGTTCAAACCTTCCTGAGGTTCATATCTCTCCTCCCAATCACCACTCTCATCAGTGTCAGATCCAGTAGTAAGGAGTGAAGTGTCTTCAAGAGAAACTGTCTGTAAATGACTGTCTGGATTAAAGTCTCTGTCTGGTTCTGATCCTCCACAGTCCTCTCCATCAGCTTCTGTGTTCAAATCCTTTACATCTCTGCTCTCTTCCGGTTTGTTTTCATTAAGCTGTGAGGTCCGAGGTGTCTCTCCATCGTCGTCTTCAGTCTTCACAGGAACACGAAAAAAAGTGACCATGCTGGTATGAGCCTCCTCTGGTCCTTGAAGCTGCTCTCCCTCCTGACTGCTCCAGAGCTCTTCCCGGTCCTCTTTAATGTGTGGTGGCTCTGGTGGGTCCTCCTGGTCCAGTCTGGAGCTCCTCTCCTGCTGCTCAGGGTGAACCTCTTCTTTTCTCACCATCAGCTGCTGGATATCTGTGGAAAAAAAATTAAACATACAACTCTTTGTTGATTTGTGCTTACAGCAAACTACAGTTTTCAGTGACTTTGACATCAGTTATAATGTAAAAAAATACAGTAATCACATATGTGCAATGAAAAACTGAAGAAATAGTTATTTGAGAGAAATCTTTTAACAGGTGTTGTTGCTGCAACATCCAGAAACCTCTGATTGTGGTTTGTCAAACCCTCCAATAATCAACTGATGCAGCTATTGTTTGAAACACGTCAATCATTAGACTAAATCAATGAGAGCAACCAGGAAGAATTACGCTTTGTTGCTGTTTTCCTGTTGTGTTGAACTGAAAGCACAAAGAACTGAATCCCCTGACAAAACAAGGAGAGCGGTTGTTGTTTTTGGTAACGTATTTTATGTTATGTAAACAGTGTGTGAGAGTTTGCTTTGCAACTTTGAAATGGATTAATTGTTCTGTCTGAACACCGGTCTTCTGAAAAAAAATGATGTTGTTGATAATGAACCTATCAACAACATATAGAAGCAGCTCAAAGTGATATCAATAAAACATAAATAAACAATACAAACCTGAAACGTGTAAGCGGACATCATGTTTCTGACAGGAGTCCAGCAGGTTGAGCTGCTCCTCGTATTCTGCTATCGTCCTTTCAAACAGATCAAATATCTCTTCAGCGGCCGCAGTCAGTCTCTGGTTTACAAAAGATCTCAGCATTCGGACTTTAGACATCTTCACAGGATCTCTCTGCAAGTTTGCTTTTTGTTAAAAACGTGTTTGGTCGCGCTGAAGCTAACTGCATTAGCTTCGCGTTGCCCCAGGATTCACATCAAAACGTTGAACAATTTCAAGTAAATGTAACAGCGAAGAAAGAAACCAAGTCGGGGTTAAAGTGTACAGTTGACGTTAACAAGTTAGTCCAAACAAACAGGCTTCTTTGGTTCACTTTGATTATACGTGAAAGTAGCGAGAATTAGTGTGTTAGCATCGCGCAACTGCTTCCGGTTCTTCTTCTTCTTCTTTTTTTAGAGACCAACGAATTGGTGCATTTCCGCCACCTACTGGTAAGGAGTGTGATCCTGGGTAGCTGTTAGAGGAAAACAAACAAACAAAGGTAAATCTAAAAATAAACTTCACACTCTTCTCTTTGAAATCCTTCTGACAGCAGAGGGGAAGAAACTGTTCTTGTGGCGAGACCGCAGCCTCTTACTGGACGGGAGGGTCTCCAACGGTCCATGTCCCGAGTGAGAGGGGTCGGCCACAATCTTACCTGCACGCCTCAGGGTCCTGGAGAGATGGCAGGTTGCAGCCTGCATCTGTCCTTTGCTGTGGCTGCAGCGTACCAGACTGATGGAGGAGGAAGAGGATGGACTCTGTGATGACACTGCACCATCATGGTCTTTGGCTGGTGGGATTTCTTCTGCTGCCTCAGGAAGTACATCCTCTGCTGTCCTTTCTTGATGAGGGAGGTGATGATTGAACATCACCCCCCTCATCAAGAAAGGACTTGTGATTTATTCAGAATGGAATCTGAAGTACATCAGACACCCAAGACAAGACAGAGACAGAGCGCTACCGCAGGTCGTTCATCCCATCTGCCATCAGACTGTTTAATCAGACTGTTTAATCAGACTGTTTAACAGCATCCCCACCTCATGACTCATTTCAATAATGCTTTTTAATAACAATAACTCTTTCCATTGTAGTTACTGTGTCATTTTCCATTATTGTATTTTTATTTAACTGGTGTAAATATGTTTGATTTTTAACTTCTATTTCTATTTGTAATAATTATATTCCCGTCCCCTGTTTTCTTGAGCTGCTGTAAATGCACAAATTTGCACATTTTCTACAATAAAGTTGATCTCCTTATCTTCACCTCTGATGCTTGTACACTCCGGGGCAGGAGGTGGCGGTGTTTCATCTTCATACATCGTTTGCGATCCGCCGTGAAACGAGAGAGGAGGAAGAAAATGCCAACTGTTTCCGTTCCTCCACACCTTGACTGAAACAGTCTGCAGTTAACGATCTTAACCCACAGGTTACTAAAGCAAACTCCGTTTAGTGGACTGCATGTAGAGTTTAAAGGTTAGGGGACTCGGTGTCTCCCTGATTGCAGACTCTCTCTCTCCTGTGAACAAACAACGCTGGATGTGTTAGCCCAGCGTTAGCCTGCAATCAGGAAATAGACGGAGACGGCTAAACAGAGATAACAACAACACACCGATTTAAAGAAAACATGCCTGCATGTATTAATAGATTCTTTTCTATTCAGTTTGTCTGAAGTATCTAACATCTAAAGTTTCTCCTGGTGACTTCCCTATCTCTAAATAGACGGACAGATACTGTCTTAAAGGAAGTGTTTCAGGAGAACAAAGTGATTGTGCGAAGATGTCTAAAGTCAGGATACTGAGATCTTTTGTCAACCAGAGACTGACTGCGGCTGCTGACGAGATATTTGAGCTGTTTGAAAGAACCATAGCAGAGTACGAGGAGCAGCTCAGTCGATTAAAGGAAGATCAACACAAACCACAGGATCATGTTTACGAGCCTGAAGTCCTGGCACACAGATCAGGTTTGTACAGATGTATTCTTGTTCTCACTTTAAACTGTTGATCAGCCAGCTGACATCTTCTTGCCTCCTGTGGGAATATCGGAAATAACCGAGTATGACATTACTGCCGTCGTTGTTGGAGCCAAAATGTGTGATCGATGTGAATATTTAGAGAGCAGTTCTGACACTGAACACGGGGGGAGCCTTGGCTTGTGTTGTGCATAAAGTTAGGCTACAGGTAACTGCGTTCAGAGCCTGTGTGTCAACATTATTTGGGTATTTTGTGGCAAGATGAAATGTGTGGCAGTAAAAACCAAAGTGTAATCGGTATGGGAGACAACATGAGGAGTGGAGGGCATCATGTTTAAAGAGGTTGAGGTCCAAGACGAGGCAAATTCAGATGATTCCTATGTTTTCTTGTGCAAAATTTCATCGGTGCGCTTTGGGATTCCTAACCTCCGTTTACATGGACGCTGAATAAAGTGATCCGTACATGCATCAAATATTGAATCAGAATAAAACCATTTTGACATGCACAGAGCCGTCCTGTCACTCTTATCTTCTGAAATAGCACCAAACAAACTGTTGCCCTGTTTACATGAATAAAAGATGTTCTCTTACTTGTGATGAATAGATCTGTGTTTGTCAGGTACGTGTTTCTGTCAGTGAAGTTTTCGCCGGAGTGAGATCATTTTCTTGCAGAGCTCAAGCCCCGCTGTGTGTTTATTTCCAGTTATTATTTTTTTTCCAATCTATTTTTCGGTAAACTCACCAGAGTCGCCGATGTTGTTCCTCCACTCTGGCTCTCTCTGTGTGGTCGAAGATTTCATTCTTCTCCTTTCTCACATTTGTTACTTTGGACGTCTTTATTTTGTTTCACCATTTTCGACCTTTTTTTTTTCTTCTCCCTGTCCGAATTAAGCTGCGAGGCTATCAGGCTATCCGGCACCCCAGGAAAAGAAGTGTGACCAAGCTTTTTAATCACTTTTACGTTCTGTAGCCAAGATGTGAGGGCGCTGAAGAATAACTAAATATATAGCACCGCACTATCCATATCAATGCCAAACGAAAAGGGGGCATTTGATCATGAAGCCTGTTGCTCTGTTTAACTCTGAGGTCAGTCAGTGAAGGTTGTGAAATCCATTGTGTTGTGGAGTCTCCGTTCACATAGACAAACAATGAGAGTGATCTACTGAGAACTTCCCCTCTGCAGGATTAATTTGCATTTGGAGATAAGCGTAGTATTTTTTAAGGAGTGAAATTGGTAGGAAAAAAGGCTGCACACTGTTCAAATCCCAGTGGGCAATTTCAATGAACCAGGACAACTACAAGATCTGCCTCAGGCTCTTTACCTTTTTCTTGAATTTCCTACATTTCTTTTCTATTCAGGAAAACTCTGTACTTGTGTTTTGGTGGAAAAGTACAAATATGTTGAGAAGAAAATGAAGCGTCTCTCCATGATGTCAAATTATACAAATTGAAAACAAGACACGTAAAAGCTTCCTGCCTCAAGGCTCACCCAAGAGCACGTTGATATCCGAGGTGCTACAAGAGGTATTGACATTAACAGAAAGTAACAGTTCTCTGCAATTATGATTTATCTTCACAGATTTCAAGCAAAAATTTGTGAGTGAAGACGTTCCCCCAAAGCAGCAGGAGTGCAGCCACAGTCTGGTCCAGGAGGAACCACCAGAACCACCACACATCAAAAAGGAACAAGTGGACGCCTGGAGCAGTCAGGAAGGAGAGCAGCTGCAAGAGCCAGAGGAGGCTGATATCATCAAGTTCACTTTTTTTCCTGTGAAGAGTGAAGAAGAAGATGAAGAGAAACATCAGTCCCCTCAGTTTCAACAAACCCAAACTGATCAGATCAGAGATGAATATTCAAAAACAGAAGCTGATGGAGAGGACTGTGGAGGATCAGAACCGACTAGAGAGTTAAGTCCAGACTGTCATTTACAGCCTGTTACTCATGAAGAGACCTCCCACTCCTCTGAGACTGTGACTGACGATAGTAACTGTGATTGGGAGACCAGTGAGCCTCAGGAAGGTTTGAACCCTCTTCAAAACAGTGAAGTTCCTGTAAGTGACAAGGAGTTTAATACTGAAAATACGTCCGTTAGCTTATCTGGATGTGCTACAAGCTTTGCCCAAAAGAAACAGAAGAAACACAAACGAATCCAAAAAGGAGAGAAACCATTTAGTTGCTCAGTTTGTGGTAACAGATACTACATAAAAACCTCATTAACAACTCATATGAAACTTCACTCAGAGGGGAAACGTTTCAGCTGCTCATTTTGTCACAAGACTTTTCTAGCAAGAGCAGAGATGGTAACACACATGAGAGTTCACACAGGAGAGAAACCCTTCGGTTGCTCCATCTGTGGCATAAGGTTTGCACAAAGCTCAAACTTGACCTCACATTTAAGAGTTCACACTGGAGAGAAACCCTTCAGTTGCTCAGTTTGTCAAACAAGTTTTAGTCTTAGAAACAACTTACTTTTACACATGAGAATCCACACTGGAGAGAAACCGTTCAGTTGTTCAGTTTGTGGTAAAAGATTTGCTTTACATGGGAATTTAAGGCGACACTCGACTGTGCACACAGGAGAGAAACAATACAGTTGTTCCATTTGTGGTCAAAGTTTCACACAACATGGAACTCTGAAAAGACACATGACTGTTCACACAGGAGAGAAACCATTTAGTTGCAATATTTGTGACAAAAAATTTGCTCGACAAGAATATGTCAAAAAACACAAGTGTGTTGGCGAGAGCAGTGGAATTTCAAAATAAGACTCCAAAATTAAGTTGTGCTTCATCTCATGTTCAGCTAACAGGAAGCCACAAAATCATTTCACTTCTGTTTTTTTTTATTTTATTTGTGTGTCTGTTATTTTGTTTTACATTAACTGTGTCACAGTTCTTATTTTTAAAAATGTGTTCAAACAGTCTTAATATATTTAGAAGAAGATACTTCCTGCAAGGGAAAAAAAAAATTGTACACTCTGTTGTTGAACATGCTACACACACATGCACAAACAGGATCCTATGGATATGCACTAAGGGGGCTGCCCACAGCGAGCGCTCCTGAGGTGGGTCCGGTGCCTTGCTCCAGGGCAACTCAGCAGTGCTCAGGAAGTGAACTGGCACCTCTCAAGCCACCAGACCAATTTCCAGATTTAGTCTGCTCTGGGACTTGAACCGGCGACCAACCAGTTCTCAACTTATGTCCCTACAGACTGAGCTATGGCTTCTGTCACCTGATCCCTCTGTGTTGAAACAGATTCTGAATTATGCGTACAATAACTTGATTTTATTCACATCAATATGATTTATCTTGAATTGAAGGAGCTCTTCTGCACTTAAATTAATCTCATAAATCTGTCTAACATTATACGTAATCATTTTTATATTATTTAATGTCCACACATGGTCGGGAAACGCATATAAGCTTTTGTTACAGCATGGGGGGAACATTCAACATACATGCATATTTACAAATAATACATTTGAATATTAAGGACTGCAGATTCCTAAATTAATCTCAATGCTTTTCTTTGTATCCAAAATAAAATAAAAAAGTGACATACGTTGATTTCACCCTCTTTGGATAATTTGGGTTCATGTGCTTGATTTAACTTGAGAAGGAGTTTGCGTGGGTAAAAAGTTAACTCAAACAAATATGTAAGAAAACAACTTTCCTTAAAAAAAAAAAAAAAGGTGGTGGGTGAGCTGCCTTCCAAAATGCATTTTAATTTTAACAGAAATTCAACAGATTCCACAGACTGAAGGTGCAGGCATTTAGATGTATCCTTTAGTATAAAATAATCAGTAAATATAATTTAGTTTATTTTTTAGTCAATTTGAGTTTTTCTTTTTTCTTAGAATCAATGAATTGATGCTTCAGCCTACACTCCAGCATGATAGGCGGCGCTATGGAACTGCCCCAATTAAACTGACAGAAGAAGAAACCGGAAGCAGTTCTACTTGACGCTAACATGCTAACTCTACTCGACAGGAAACACCGGGAAATACCTGTGGGACGGTGTAGTTTCATGTTTCAGACGAGGTTCACCGGAGGATGGCGGATAAATTACCCCTGCCGCGGTTGCTGGTGACGGCTCGCCCTAATAAACAGGGCAAGAAAAGAAAGACGGAGGCCGAGAAGGCTGTGACGAGAAGGAGATTAGATAAAGCGAGAGGACAAACACGAGTCAACATCGGTACAGCTTTTCCACGATGGAGACATCTGAAGGAGGCTAAGGGCCTTCAAAGTGATGCCATGGTTGCTCTCTTTCTGTTGGACAGGTGCGTTTTGTTGGGGGGTGTTGTTTGTCTTATGTCTTAACTTTTTATGTAGTCGTATTAGCCCAATGCTAACGTTAGCTCCTCTGTCTGTGCAGCCTGCAGGCTAGCACAGTAGCTACCTTTGAGCGTCTCTCTGTATCGTTTAACTGCATATGGACTGTAAACGTGACTGCTTTTTGTTTGTTTTTGTAGTTATGAGAAGCAAACATCGACTCCGTGGAAACCCGGATTGTTGAGACCTCCTCCCCCCGCTGGGTCAGCTGTTCCTGCGGAGTCTCTCTCTGACCAGTGAGTGTAACTTAAAGCTGATATGAACAACAGGTTAGATCACTGCTCTCTCTGATTAACGTACATGAAGATGCTCTTTGACAGAGAGAGCCTACATCAGAATAAAAATGTTATAGCTGCACATTCAATAAGTGTTCGTGAGCACTGTCAAATGCTGTTTAAATTTAACATGATTATTGCTGAGGTGTTCCTCAGACTGGCCACAATAAAAGCCCACTTTTGCAGTTTAATCACACAGCTCAACGCCACGTTTTAAGGGAGCGTGTAAATGGCATTCTGACTGCAGGAATGCATAACAGAGCGGTTGCCTTTGAAGTAAATATTAATTTCTCGACTATAAGCCGCCTTCAAAGTCATTTCAGAGAACTTGGCAGTACATCCATCCAAAACGGCCTCACAACCGCAGACTATGTGTAACCATGCCAGCCCCGGACCTCCACATCACAAGATCGCCTGAGACCCGTCACCCAGACAGCTGATGAAATAGTTGGCTTGCAAAGCCAAAGAATCGCCGCATGAACTTTCAGAAACTGTCTCAGGGAAACTCATCTCACCGGGGTCTTGATCTGACAGCTGTTTGTTGTCTTAACTGATTTGCTCCCCTTCGAGGGCGTCTGGCACGTTTGAGAAACCCCCCCCCCCCCCGGTGTAACTGTGAAATCAGTAGTTCAGTGTGTAATAAATGTTTTTTGTTTTTTTTCAAGATACAACTGCACATTTTGTTGAGTGGCCTAATTGTGACCTGTGTTGGCTGTCGGTGTTAGTCCTTGATCATGTCACAGGCTCTCCTAAGGACTCTCCGGTGGTAGATGTCCTGTAGACACGATGGGGTCAACCTAAGGGTCTTCTCCACAGTTTGAATCACTCACTGTGCAGGCGTCTGTAGTCCATCAAGAGGATTCTCGTTAACTGGAAAATGCTAGACTTCTATTTCTGTGCAGTAGCAACACTCCAGTTTTGCATCCTTGATAGAAAATGAAGACCACTTTACCACCTGTAAACTGATGCTGACAACATTCTGTAATTCCGTTATCTTCACAGAGACGATGACCTCTCCGTCGCCCCTGAAGACACGTTTGAGCTGTTTGAGAAAAGGATAGCAGAGTACGAGGAGGAACTTCGTCATTTGAAAGAAGAGAACGAGCGGAAACAGATACTACTGGACACAGCTTTCAACTCTGAAGTCCGGTTACACAGAGCAGGTTTGAAACTTTAAGAACCCCAAAACCATCCTCTGTCGGGGTGTCAAACTCTGCCAACTTGGTTGGGGGAGCAGGATTTGTTAAAATAAGACCTCCTGTGGGCCTGGCTATTTTTTGCCTGACCAACTGATCACATGGGTATAAATGCAATTCTATGATTCATTCATTTTGCATAATTTAAATTAAGACACTGAGAGGACTGCATGTTAACACATAAAAATGTAAAATCACACAGAGGTAAACGGCAACAAACCTGAACGAGTTGGAAATCATTTTGCTATCCTTGCAACATTATTAAAGGGTAACTAAACCCCATATTTTCAGTTGAACTGCTCGACCATGGAATTTCCAAAAATGCATTTAGAATGTCAATGTATAAACTTGGAGAGGGAGGGGGGGCACGGGGGTAATATTTACAGTCTATGGGGTAAGACTCCTTACCCCACTCACTCCTTTACGCCGTTGTCAGCCGCAGCATGATGCAATGTTTGCCCCACACACACAAATACACTTGACTCCCCACAGTTCGCAGAGTCGGGTGACGAGGCTTTTATAGGTTTGGTGACGTACTACTCCACACAGCCGTTAGAGTTTCTCAAACGGAAGGGCAGACACTATGTACATTTCTAACACAATATTTCAATACTTTGTACTCAAATGTCGAGATTGGGACTTGGATTGATCCATAACACTACTTAATACTCAAATACAGAGGTTTAGAGTTGAAAAAAGTGGTTTTAGTTACTCTTTAAAAGATCAGTTTCATATTTGAATGTTTTTACTAAAGATGAATTTATAGACAGCAGGTTACAGCTTTTAAACACAACATCTGTCATTGCAAAACTGCCACTTTCAAAACACCTATCACTTTTTGGTATTTACCAGTCTGGCCCCGTCAGATACTGATTTGCTGTTAAATGTTGACATCAAACTACAGTTTTGTGTGTTTCATTTTTCTCCACAGATGTCCAGCAGCTGATGGTGAGAAAAGAAGAGGTTCACCCTGAGCAGCAGGAGAGGAGCTCCAGTCTAAACCACGAGGACCCACCAGAACCACCACACATTAAAGAGGAAGAGGAAGAGGAGGAACTCTGGAGCAGTCAGGAAGGAGAGCAGCTTCAAGAGCCAGTGGAGGCTGATATCATCAAGTTCACGTTCTTTCCTGTCCCTGTGAAGACTGAAGAAGAAGATGATGTTGAAGAGAAACCTCAGTCCTCACAGCTTCAACAAACGCAAACTGATCAGATCAGAGATGAATATTCAAAAGCAGAAGCTAAAGGAGAGGAGAGTGAGGGATCAGACCCAACTACAGACTTTAATCCAGACATTCATTTACAGCCTGTTTCTGATGAAGAGGCTTCACTCTCATCAGAGATTGGGTCGGAGACAGACGATAGTAACTGTGATTGGGAGACCAGTGAACCTCAGGAAGGTTTAAACCCTCTGCAAAACAAAGACACACCAGTAAGTGATATGAACTGTAATACTGGAAATACATCAGTTAGCTCCTCTGAATGTGCTACAAGCTCGGGACAAGAGGAACATCTGCAGAAAGACAACCAAATCCACACAGGAGTGAAACCATTTAGTTGCTCAATTTGTGGTAAAGTATACCCACGTAAGAAAAATTTACATCAACACATGCTACGCCATTCAGTAGAAAAGCCTTTCAGTTGCTCAGTTTGTATGAGGAGTTTTAACTGGAAGACAGAGATGGTAATGCACATGAGAGTTCACACAGGGGAGAAACCATTCAGCTGTTCAGTATGTGGTCAAGGATTCAGAGACAGCGCAGATCTAAAAAGACACTCTTTTGTCCACACAGGAGAGAAACCGTTTAGTTGTTCAGTTTGTGGTAAAAGCTTCACACAAAGCGGAGACCTTAGACGCCACTCAATTGTCCACACAGGGGAGAAACCATTTAGCTGTGTGCTATGCGGTAACAGATATACAAATAGCGGGGATCTTAAAAGACACTCTGTTGTCCACACAGGAGGGACACCATTCAGCTGTTCAATTTGTGGTAAAAATTTTACAAAAGATGGCGATTTAAAAAGACACTCTGTTGTGCACACGGGAGAGAAACCATTCAGTTGTTCAGTGTGTGGTAAAAGATTCACACAAAGTGGAGCTCTAAAAAGGCACTCTATTTCACATACAGGGGAGAAACCGTTTACTTGCAATCTTTGTGAGAGAACATTTACTCGGCTTGAAAGTCTCAAAAATCACAAGTGTGAGTCGCAGATGGCCTAGCAGTTAGGCGAGACCTGCGGCCCCGTGTCATTCCTTACTGTCTCTCCTGATTTCCTATCCATGATTCTAAAGAAAAAAGTATCTCAAGTATGTTGGTAAGAGGAGCAAAAGTACCTGAAACCTTGTAATACTCGTTGAATGTTACCTTAAAGTACACAGGCAAAGTCCAACATTTGCTGTTTAAGATTATGATTTAAACAAATCCACTGTCATCAACATTGACTTTTTAACTTAATCTTCTGGCTTTTTAACCCTCTTTTGATCTAAATCTCCTCATATAATTCTGCTTGGTGATTTAAATGAGCCTTTTTTTGTTCAAGGTCACGATCTGTTATTGAGAGGCATGCTACTCACACACACGTGCACAAACAGGACCCATGGACATTCATTATTGGAGAGATGTCGGGCTAGTGAGGGGGGGCTTCCCCCATGCTTCATCTCATCTGCTGTTCTGGTGTGACCCCTCTGCATTGTGTCGCATCTGTATATTTTCGACCTTTTAGCTGTTGTCTTTCAATGCCAACCTGGGAGGTGAATCCAGATAGTCGCACAGGGTGATTGCCACCATCGTTACTTGTTCCAATCTTCTCTCAAAATTATCCACCCAGTCCAAAAGAGCAGGGCCAGCATTCACAAACATTCTGAGAGGTCCTAACTTATCGTAAAATTCCTATTAAGGAATTTTTTGCCTAGGAGTGATTTAGGAACATTCTCAGAGGGACTCTGAGCGAGGAAGAGACACAAAGCCTGTTGCTAGGTATGACACATTTTTTCAGAAGCTGTGATTGGTTAATCAAAAAAAGAAAGAAGAAAAAAAAAAAGTAAATCATAGAATCTAGTCAGACATTGTGTAATTATAAACACTATGACATTAGCGCCTGTGTGATAATATGAGTCTACGAAATGTTTGAAATCACATGCCCACTTGTGCAGTGGCTTCTTCACATGCTGAGAGTTACATCAGCAGATTCTCCTTACATTAAAGGATATCCTATCACCTCCTCTCTCTGATCTTCCTCCTCTCTCTGACAAGCTATCCGTATCACCGACTTGCTCTACCTTAAAAACCCTTCTAAAACACCCTCACCTTTTTAGAAGAGCTTATTCGTTATCCCCACGCCTTTTTTTTCCCTGCTTTCCCCCCCTGTGTATTGTTTCTGCCTTTCATTGTATATTTTGGTCTTTTATTGCAGATTCTTTTTTCTTGGGCCATGTTATTGTACTGTTCATATTGTTGTATTTGTGAGGCCTCTCCTCCTGTTTTTAAATTTGATTTATAAACTGATTCACAGAGTTACCTAAGGATGGGTTTAGATTGTTCAGATACATCATCTTCAAGAGTTGTTGTTTTCTGTAATTATTATTAAAGTTGGCATCTTAAGTCGCTTTTTGTAGATTTAATGTAATATTTGTTGATCTATCAATAAACCTTCACCTAACTAGACATGGTCTGTCTGCCCTTCCCAATTTTCTTTTTCTTGTACCAAGACGTCACATCGTGTTGTTTCTTCAAGATCAGCACATCCACATAGTCTTCACAGAAGGAGCATTTTTTTAACAGCACCATACATGATACATTTAACATGATCGAAATGGAAAGAGTAAGATCTGGCCAGAGGTCTCCTGGAAAAGATGACGTGTTGTGTAATGTTAAAGCATTGAGGTGTTTTCACATCCACAGAGCTGCTTGGATGCTATAATGAACTACAGGAAGTGGGAACATTCCCGTCTGTTGGTATGTGTTGGATTTACTGTGTTTCATTGCTTGAAATGCTGCAAGTGAGTCGCTTCAGATAACCGCAGACTGAGGTCTTTTCTTTTCAGTCAACTTGACGGCACAGAGGATGGCAAACATTTCTGATGTAAACACAGATATCTGATCAGGAAGCCTCCACCCAGTCCCTTTTTTGAGTTCCCATACAAACAGTCTGAAAGCTGCTCTCCTTGTATTGGGGTCTCTGGAACCATCAGTATAAATGTGCATGCTCAACACAGGCCACTGAGGAGTGGGATGCGAGCAGATAGTTGGCTCTCTTCTTCTTTTTGCCTCATGGAGTTCACAAAGCTGAACGTCCCTGTTTGTTCCCAGTGCTGCTCTGTAAGACATTTAGTTTGAGGTCCTTTTTTTTTTTTTTTTTTATTCTGGTCGGAATTGTAAAACTGGATCCTTCTTAAATACTCCGGTTCAGTAGGTGACAGTATGCACCTTTTAAATTAGGATTGCAATGCACAGTTTAGGTATGCAACCAAATGGAGGATGTAAATATTATATTCAGATAGAAACAGTCGAACGTGTACTCGGCCTACATCATTTTAGGAAATATACCATGAGAGATCTCCTCTTTCAGTATTTAAAGAAGGCGACTTTTCATCGTCAGGATCATTGGAGATTTGGTAAAAGGGATTGAGAAGGCCTCTGTTTTTTTATTTTATTTATTCTCCTATCTCCTGCTTTATACTCCTGTACAGTTGGTGGCGTTAATGCTCCTCTAAGCGACAGGATGTAGTGATGTAGTTTCCAGCTCTCTCCCAGTTAGCATGTTTGGCAAAGGCTAATATCGTTGTGTGAGTAATGTCAGGAGAGGCCATCAGGGTTGAGTGTTCTTGTCCTTCTTTGACTTTTCTCTCTGTGTCAAATGTCCGGGTTTGAGGATCTTAAAGATTTATTCAGACGTCGGCTGCTCGATGCGGCTCACAGAGACCCGAGAGGACAAACAACAACATGTGGATACGAAGAGGAGCTCCTCCGACAAAGACAACTACTGGATGTGATTTTAACTCCTGAAATAAAGCTGCAGAGAACAGGTTGGTTTCTTGTTTGCTTCCTGCTCATACTCTTTAAGTGACTCTTTAACCTACAGTCTCCCATGAGTGGGTCAAAAATGAGCCGCATTAGTGTTTGTCATTTTGGTTGACAATATTATAGTGTTTCTACTCAATGACGTTAGGTGACGTTATTCAGCTTGCATGGGGGTTTATTTCCAAACTTCAAACAGGCTACTGTAGGCCGTAGCCAACGCCAAAAATAACAAACCTACAGCCTCTCTCCTAGTCACAACCATAGGTCACAACAGACACAGACCCCGCAGTCCCACCTTTCCTCCAGCTCTCGACCAATCAACCCACTTGAACAACCTGCATAGACTCTGTGAATACAAATGAGATGTATTTTTCTTAGCATTTGAGGTGCAAGTAAGATTGATTATTATGTATCGAAGCAGTCAGAATTAAATCGGTTCTGACCATCATCGGATATTTTTAAAAGCTTATCAACAAGCGGCATAATTAGGTTTATAATGAACCCGGAAAATCACACTTCAAACACTCCTTCACACACAGATGGCTTCTATGTAAAGTCACTATCAGAAGTATTCACAAACATTCATACACCGCTGACGAAGCAGCAGGAGCAACTTGGTGTTAAGTGTCTTGCCTAGCTGGGACTTGAACCCTCGACCTTCCGGTTGAGAAATGGCCGACTCTACCAACTGCTTAGAAAGCTAATGTGGCTAATGGGGGCGACCCAGTCAAGGATGATCAGTCCTGTACTTGTGTCCAAGTGCCTCCGTACTCCATGGGTCCCCCCTCTGGATCCATAACTACTGGGGTGTACTTTGTGTCTCTTCTACTCTACAGTCCTTTCACTCTAAGACGTTTTGGAGTTCCCAGTAGCGAATGGGCAACTTAAAACAGTTATATCAAGTATCACCATTTTCAGTTTGGTGTGGTAAACTCAAGCCTTCATTTGTGTCGTTGTGTGTTTCAGTGTTTCCTGCAGTTGTCCAGCTGCTGATGGTGAAAAAAGAAGAGGTCCCCCCTGAGCAGCAGGAGTGTAGCCCCAGTCTGGACCAGGAGGACACTAAGCACTTTAAAGAGGGGCAGGAGGAACTCTCAAGAAGTCAGGTAGGAGAGCAACTACAAGGACGGGAGGATGCTGATACCAACAAGTTCCCCTTCACTCCTGTCCCTGTGAAGAGTGAAGATGATGAAGAGAAACCTCAGTCCTCACAACTTAATCAGAGACAAATTAAACAGATGGAAACAGGTGCGGATAGCGAGGACTGTGTAGGAGCAGAACCAGAGACGGACTCAGATCGAGAAAGACATTTACAACCAGAGATCGAGGTCAAGACCGAAGACTCTACTGAGCCTGAGACATTTGAATGCAATTATTTGAGTCAGGCCAGAGAACATCCCTCAGGTTTGAACTCTGTGGAAAGAAATGAAGATAAAGGACAAAAAACTGATAAGACATCCCACGAATGCTCTGAGTGTGGTAAAACATTCAAAATGAAATGTATCCTGAACAAACACATGAAAGTTCACACAGGAGAGAAACCCTTTAGCTGTTTAAAGTGTGGTAAAAGATTTACTCGAAAACATGGTCTGACAACACACATGATTAGTCACACAGGAGAGAAACCCTTTAGTTGTTCTGAATGTGGGAAAAGATTTAACAGAAATGGTAGTCTGAAACTTCACATGGTGCATCACACAGGAGAGAAGGTCTTCAGTTGCTCGGAGTGTGGGAAAATATTTAATAATAAGAATTGTCTGACCAGACACATTTTAGTGCACACAGGAGAGAAACCCTTCAGTTGCTCTTTTTGCAGTAAGAGATTTACCCAAAAGGGGCACCTGATATCACACATGTTGGTTCATACTGGAGAGAAACTGTTCAGGTGCTCCGAGTGTGGTAAAAGATTTAAGCGTAATTATAATCTGACAGTTCATATGACCTGTCATACAGGAGAGAAAAGCTACACCTGTAGTGTTTGTGACCAAAGATTCTTTTGGCACAGTCAGTTAAAAAGACATGCTTGTGCTGGTGTTCAGGTATTCGATCTTTATCAAAACCAAACTGAGGAGAAAAGAGAGAGAGAAACAGGAGCTGATGAAGAGGACTGTGGAGGAGCAGAACCAGAGAGGGTCTCAGATCCAGAGAGAAAATTAAAACCAGAGACTAAGGTCAAGACTGAAGACCTTAAAGGTGACTGTAAGAAGACCAGAGAACATCATTCAGGTTTAAACTTGCTGAGACACTATGACGTCTCCAAGAGTTCAGCAATGTTTGAATCTGACAGGAAACAACTTTTCTGCTTGGAGTCTGATCAACTTTTCAGTGGATCATGTGAGAACCAGTTAACACAAAGAGAATGTCTTTGCCAACACATAATAGTCCAAAGAGGGGAAAACAGAGGGTCAAGCAGGAGGACACAGAGCCTCCACTTGTTAAAGAGGAGCAGGAGGAAGTCTGGATCAGTCATGCTGAGACCACCAAGTTCCCCTTCACTCCTGTCCGTGTGAAGAGTGAAGATGATGAAGAGAAACCTCAGTCCTCAGAGCTTCATCAGAGACAAATTGAACAGATTGAAACAAGAGCTGATGGAGAGGACTGTGGAGGATCAGAACCAGACAGAGACTTTAATCCAGACAGTCATTTACAGACAGTTTCTATTGATGAGACTCCACATCTGTCTGGATCTGATACTGATGACAGTGGTGATTGGGAGAGGAGTAATGAACCCCAGGAAGGTTTAAACCCTCTGCAAAACAAAGACTTACCTGTAAGTGATATGAACTGTAATACTCAAAATACATCAGTTAGCTCCTCTGAATGTGCTAGAAGCTTTGGACAAAAGAAACAACTGCAGAAAAACAAAGAAATCAATACAGGAGAGAAACCATTCAGTTGCTCGGTTTGTGGTAAAAGATTCACACAAAGTGGAACCCTTAAACGACACACTGTTGTCCACACAGGGGAGAAACCGTTTAGTTGTACACTTTGTGGTAAAAGATTCACTCGAAGAGGAACCCTTAAACACCACTCTGTTGTCCACACTGGGGAGAAACCTTTTAGTTGTGTATTATGTGGTCACAGATTTGCAAGTAGTGGAGATCTTAAAAGACACACAATTGTCCACACAAGAGAGAAACCGTTTAGTTGTCTAGTTTGTGGTCACCGATTCACTGACAGTGGATCTCTCAAAAGTCACTCTTTTTTACACACAGGAGAGAAACCATTCAGTTGCTCAATTTGTGGTAGAAGATTCACACAAAGAGGAGTTCTAAAAAGACACTCTATTTTACACTCAGGGGAGAAACAGTTTAGTTGTTCAGTTTGTGGTAAAAGATTCACACGAAGAGGAACCCTTAAACATCACTCTTGTATCCACACAGGGGAGACATCTTTTTAGTTGTGTAGTAAGTGGTCACAGATTTACAAGTAGTGGAGATCTAAAAGGACACTCTTTGTTGTTCAGTTTGTAGTGTGAAATTCTCAAGCAACGTAGATCCAAAAAGTCACATTTTTGAGAGAAACCAGACAGGAAACAAATACCCTGTAGTCTAAGAGAGTGAGAAAAACCATTAACAAAATAAAAGCACAGCAAAGAACCGTTTGCAGAAATTTTCTCTTTATTGTTAACTTTAACTGGGTTAGGTCTAAAAGCTGTCAAACTGAGCTTTACTATTATTTGAGGTGAGGATGCATACTAACAATAGATCTTATTTTACATTCATGTCTTACATTTTATTGCTTGAGTATGAATATTGTGGAACAATGGGTGTATTTAGGGGGCTGCTGCTGAGTCACGTTTGGCCGAATGTTAGGGGTCAGTGTTGGCCATAAGAGCCAGCCATAGCCCTGGCAATAAGTGAGTAGCCGGATATTGATCTCAATATTGATTAAAAATATTCATGATTATCATTTTGATCAATATTTTGTTTTTTTGTTGCTGATAGATGCCTGTATGTCTGAGCACTTTAACCTGAAGCATTTCAAATGTTGTTGTATAATTGTATAATAGTAGAAAGAATAGTCCGCACACCAGAAGCTGCTCCAATTAAGTTAAATTTAATGGAAAAAATGTAATGCAAAAATTACCAACAACCCTTACCCTACTGGTGGTAATTTTTCCATTAAATTAAATTTAATTGGGGCACCTTCTGGTGTGCAGACTATTCGTTCTAATTTTTGACTTTTTTCTGTTCAGAACACAGTACTTTAATTTTCAGATGTGCGTGCTTTTTGATCCAATTCCATAATAACAATAAATGGTTTCTTCTTCTTTGCTCTAAATTTTGCCCCAACCCGAGGCTCCTTTCCTGCATGTCATTCCTACTATTCTCCGATATCCGACGCTATCCACTGACCTATCACAGTAAAACAAAAAGCCCAAAAATAAATATAAAAGAAAATCCCATGTGTCTCGTTAAGAGCAGCAGAAATGCAGGAAACCTTAAGATGCTTGTTGAATGTTAGATTTAAGCACACAGGTGATCCATTCATCTCTCCATTCTCTTGTTTTCAACTTCCAACAGTCACTGAAATATGTGTTTTCATTTGAAAATCCAATTCTTCCTGTCCGCTCGATCCTCTACCTACTCACCTGTTAAAAGCCTGTCTACCCTCCCTGTGCTCTCTTATCATCCACTCCGATTACTCGTTGATTTCAAAACATCTGCCTCACATGCCTTTATCAAACTTAAACACTCTGGAAACGTTAACAAGCTGATAACACACAAACAAGAAATACTTAAATAAAAATATAGATACATTAAAACATAAATGAACTACTTCTTGAGACGATGATGGTGATGAACTCTTGACGCTAAAATACAATAACAAACACTTTGAAACATTTACAACATGTGACAGAAACTATGCAATGGTTTAATCTCGATTAATTAGTTTGAATGATTGTGGAAAAACCAAATCATTATTGAAACTCAAAACTCAATTAGTTTCCCAGCCCTAACGGCAGCAGTAACTCAGATCCTTAAGAAATGGTCAATTAGAAATTGACCAGAGTCCCTTTGCACCTTTAAGAGAAAGCTTAAGACCCAGCTCTCTCATGACCTACCTACCTGCTGATTAAACTCTCAAGACCAGCTGTTAATGTTGTGCTCTAGCTCTGGTCCTCTCCTGTCAGCACCTGTGTGTCCGATCAGACTTAAAGCTGTTTGTTTTCACTTCCTGACGTTGTTTGCTCCTCTCTAGATCCTCCTTTGTGTTGTACTGACTCGCTGACGTTTGTCTGTTGAATGAATTGTAGATTCGTAGAAATCTGATGCAGATCCCAACAACCAGGACAACATTTGACTCTTTTCTAATTTAACATTTATTTCCAAATGACTGTGAAGAACAGTCCCAGCTCTGGTCCACACACTCACCTTTCTGACATTGATCTTCCTCCTTCCCGCTTTATGATGACACTTTAGGGTCACACTTTAGATGCTACAGCTTATGCTACAGCTTATCTGTACTTATTATGTGTCACAGCTTGTTTAGCTCATTATTTTTTATTATTTCATCCATTCCAGACGATTCAGTGTTCTGCAAATAAATCTCACAGCTGTTTCAACATGAAGGTGTTTTATTTATTTAATAAAGAATATCTGACCAGGGTCAGGTAATGGAGGGCTTTGTAGGCGATGGGGAGCCAGTGGGGGTTATTATTATGAAGGACAGTGATGTAGTCATGGGTGTGGGAGTCTGTGGTAAGAAGGCGAGCAAGTTACCGCCGCAAGATGGCAGCAGTGCAACAACAATGAACCTGACGTTACAATTAGTAGAAGAAGAAGAAGGCCTGTAGCCGATAGCCCTTGTCTTAACGTTTGTTAACCGAGAGATCAGTCAGAAAAGACACCTTAACGAGAAGTGTACGCCTGTTTCTGAGGATCACCGTGTTAGAGAAGACTCAACGCAAACTGTGTCGATGTTTAAAACAAAAATAAAATCCTGTTTGACCAGAATTTTACACGAAGTTAGCGTCAAGTGTTAGCTCTTGTGAAGACGCTGAAGGAGGCCTTGAGGGAGCGCCTTTTGGAAAGAGACCAAAATAAAGGATTCACGGAGTGTGTCTGCAGCTAACGTGGATTTGGGTTTTTTATTTATTTATTTATTTTTTCGTAAAAGATGTCTAAAGTCCAAATACTGAGATCTTTTGTGAACCAGAGACTGACTGCGGCTGCTGAGGAGATATTTGAGCTGTTTGAAAGGACGATAGCAGACTACGAGGAGCAGCTCAGTCGATCGAAAGAGAATCAACACAAACGACTAAATGCTGCCATCGACCCCGAAGACGAGTTACACAGAGCAGGTGTGTACAGTAAGTTTCTTTAGTAGTGTCACCTGCAGAGAGAGCAGCTGACTCCATCTGCCTCCTGTTTAAATGATCACAGTGACCGAGGATGAAATGAAATGAGGGCCTTTATTGTCAGGGGAGGATTCAGGATTTCACACATTCCCCCCCTCCCAAAAAAAAAATATATATTTCCTTTCCTCAATCAATCAGTCAAACTGTATTTATATAACACCTTTCATACAATCATGCAAATTTAAATGCAATTCTCAAAGTGCTTTACAGCGACTGAAAAAGAAGAACAAAAATAAAATACTGACATGACATGGTACAAACAAAAGTTAAGAGTAGAGACTTCCCTGAAAATAATTATCACCATGGGGCCTGCGGTGGTCTAGTGCAGTGATTCTCAACTGGTCAAGCCTAAGGACCCTCCACCAACTCCTTCATGAAAAATCGGGACCCAAATTTCTCAACAAAAAAAAAAAATTCAGATTTATTGAATAAAAAAAATAAAAAAAATAAAAAAGAAAAGTGCAGTCTAGACCTCAGATGGTACGAAACATGTGAAGGAAACAAAACCAAAAGCGCTTTTTTTTTTAAGAGCACTTCAAAGACTTTTTGACACACTTGTTGTCCCGGTCACATTTTCACGACGCACTGAAAACAGCTCCGCGACCCACCAGTTGAGAACCACTGGTCTAGCGCATGTCATTCCCCACTCTCTCCAAAGCAGCCATAACAAGCCACAACTTAAAAAAAAAAAATAAAAAAAATTGTTAATAGATAACCGTTAAGATTGGGTGTAACATACCAGTACTCCTAGTATTTCCTTTTTTTCCCCCGTTATGTTCTCTATTGAGTAGTAAGTCCATCATATATTGTTGTCTGCTGATTCTGTTTAGGGATAAAAATCATAGCTTATATTTTGTTTTCTAGTATTTTTGATTTTTGTTTTCATGAGATAACAAAGAAGTGCTTTGACACGTGCAGAAGCAAACATAACAACAAAGCATAAGAACTCCAAAAACACCAATGTGAATGTAATTGCCTGTTTATGTCCTGCTTTGTGTTTTGTTGTTTTATTTTCCTGGACATTTCCAGCAGATTATCTTAATTTAAATTCACAATTAACAATCTTTTTTTTTTTTTTATCAATTTTAATTTGTTTGATAAAGAGTATAAACCCTTCTTCAGCCTGTTCCACGCGTATCTATAACCTTGTCCACACTTGCACAAAACGTCCCGAAGTTTTCGAAGTGAGCTGCATGTGTGCACACAACCAGCCGAATTTTTCATTTTGAATATATCCGGCTCCCCTAGTATTTTGTCCCCAGCAAGTCAGAGTGAGCTGATGTGAGAACGCAGCAGGATATAATGAGGAGAATTCACCTGGAGCCAGTGGGAGGGGTGGTGACGTTTATTCTCTGTGATCGCTGCACGACCATAGACTGTCTGCACGCCACCTCTACGATCTCCGTGCTCTAATGAACCTGCTCCATTATGTTTCCTGTTCTCCAGTATGTTCTTCTCCTCTCTTTTGATGATGTTGATCGGGTCAAACTACACGTAGCACTGACATAAAGTTAAATATTCTCTCTTTAGCGTCCCTCAGTGGACTCTGTTGCTTCATCCGCAAGTACAGCGTCGTTCTTTTGAAGTCAATTCACCCCCCCCCCTCCCGCTGACAGGGTTAGTCTCCCCCTTGAAGTGCATGTGTGTGCGAGAAACTCAGGAGGATTTCCGGGGCAGTCATCCTGAATCTCTCTCTCTCAATGTGCAGGAGTGCTTCTGGTAGGTAAAAAGACAAGAAAGATGGACCTTTGTTGGCACCGGCTGCACTTTTAAGCCATCACTTCATTCACCTAAATGAAACCATATCTTTAGGGATCAACTTATAAATCTATCATTCATTCAGTCATTGTTTGTATATGTAGCCACACATCATAACAAAGTCATCACATGACAATGGAGAAGCCTCACACCGCACTCTTTGTTTTATTATCTACAGAGACCCGACATTAATTCACCATGAGTAAGCGTTTGGCAACAGTGGCAAGGAAGAAAAGCAGCCATCTGCTGTGACCAGCTGGGACAAACAGTGGGCTAGAAGGAGTGGCAGAGAGAGAGAGAGAGAGAGAGGGAGAGATATGGACAGACAGGGAGGTGTACACGTCACACTGCAACATAAAAAAAAAAAAAAAAAAAGCAGATGATGCAGATTTATTGTAAAAGGACCCCAGACTATAATCCTCACTTAACTAACTAATGTAACTGGAGGCTAAAAGGGAGCACGGCGTTACAGCAGCTCTGAAGATATTTAAAATGCAGCAGTGATATTTCTAAAAAAAACAGACCTGGTGGGACTTCAGGTAGTCTTGAAGCACACAAAAAGGACAACATTGGGCTATGTGCTCCTTTAAAGTAATGGATGATGCTAAGAGTGGAGAAAGGTGGCTCACCAGGCAAGTTCAACCAACTCGATGATACAAAGATTGATCCTCCCTGATTGTGTCACAAACCTCTGCCTTCTCTCTGCTCCTAACCCAGCCCCAAAAAAAACCCCACCCTGGCACCTCCTGATACATTCATAAAACCGGCTACGAATTGCCAGCACTCCTCCCCAGCACCCCTCCCCTAGGTCTTAAGAACAAGCCTCACATCAATGAGACAGACTAGGGACTCATTTCCCTGTTGTAAAATGTAAATGTAAATTTAGACAAGCTGTCTACTCTAAAGGCAGGAAAACACTCAGATTTTTTTTAGGGGCATCGGATAGCTGAGTGTTTATGTGGCTCACGTGCTTTAGTCCTTGTTGCAGCGTCTGTGAGTTCAAACAGACCTCGGCCCTTTGCTGCATGTCATCCCTCACTCTCTTCTCGCTTTGTTAGGGTTAACCGCCATAATTACAAGGGTTAACCTCCTCGTGATTATGTTACAGACTTAGGAGGATGGTAGGGTTTGGGTTAATCATTTAGTCGATTTAGGGCGCGCATCCCTATGGCAGATCACCAAGAAATTACCCACGACTGCATTATGGTCTCCACTTGGATGCACAGGAAGGATGTGTCACCTCACTGAATGTCTCCCTGGTCCTTGACCCAACCATGGACACCTGAGACCTTTACGATACACACCACAAAGAAGGGCTGAGGATATCAGCGGTTATTTGTTTATTTGAGGCTATTCAGTTAAATACCCTTGAAGACATAGACCAGGGATGGAGGCCTTCCCAAACCTCCTCCTCCGCTGTTTTGGTCTATTGTTGCGTTTCACACACGACAGGAATACAATTCTTTTTTTTTTCTTTTTTTTAAATCCTTTCGGGTGAACCCGGCTTTAGACAGACATAAAGACATGAAAAACATGACAAAATAAATAAGGACAAATGCCAAAGCCAATCCAAAAATAAACTTGCTTCAAACAATGCACTTCATTGTCAGCTTAATAACAAAACTTCAATGTATGCAGGTCTTTGTAAAATGGCTTCCTCACCATCATTAGCAGGGAAACACTTTGATTTCCTCTGTGGGAAAACTTCTTTTTGGGCTCAGCACTGGTGGCTTAATTTACATTCAACAAGATCAAACCTTTGTCTTTTTAATTTGAGTGTTCGACTTTTCTCCCAACGTCTATAAAAGCAGTGCTGTCAGCACTTGAAATATCAGAACGAAAAGACAGTTGTTCTTTGGCTTAATTGACTTTCATTACTCTCCACAGACGCCCAGCAGCTGATGGTGAGTAAAGAAGAGGTTTCCCCTGGGCAGCAGGAGAGGGGCCCAAGTCCAGACCAGGAGGACCCACCAGAGCCGCCAAACATTAAAGAGGAATGGGAGGAACTCTGGACTCGTGAGGAGGAAGAACAGCTTCAAGGGCCAGAGCAGGCTGATATCATCAAGTTCACATTCGCTCCTGTCTCTGTGAAGACTGAAGAAGAAGAAGAAGAAGATGATGAAGAAGAAGAGGAACCTCAGTCCTCACAGATCCATCAGAGACAAACTAAACAGATGGAAACAGGTGCGGATAGAGAGGACTGTGTAGGAGCAGAAGAAGCCAAACACTTCCCTCCAGATAGTCATTTGCATCATGAAACTCATGACAAGACTTTGCAGTCCTTTGAATCTGAGACTGATGACAGTAACTGTGATTGGGAAGAGACCAGTGAACCTCAGTCTGGTTTCAACGCTCTGCAAAACAAAGAAGTGTCTGTGAGTGATCCAGAATATAACTCTGGAAATACATCATTTAGCTTCTCTGAAAATGAACAACTGCAGAAACACAAAGGAATCCAGACGGAAGTCAAACCATTTAGTTGCTCAGTTTGTGGTAAGAGATTTCTCCGGAAGGCCTCCTTAACAAATCATATGAGACTTCATTCTGAGGGGAAACGTTTCAGCTGCCCAGTTTGTAAGAAGACTTTTCAGTGGCGAGGAGATGTTGTGGCACACATGAGAATCCACACAGGAGAGAAACCCTACAGCTGCTCTGTCTGTGGTATAAAGTTTGCACAGAGCTCAACTTTGTCCTCACACTTAAGAATTCATACGGGAGAAAAACCCTTCAGCTGCGTATACTGCAAAGCCAGCTACAGATTCAGAAGAAGCTTGATTATTCACATGAGAAGCCATACAGGAGAGAAACCATTTTGTTGCACAGTTTGTGGTAAAGCGTTTGGAGAAAGAGGACATATGAGGCGTCACATGAGTGTCCACACAGGGGAGAAACCGTTCAGTTGTTCAGTGTGTGGTAAAACCTTCACACTACATGGAAACCTGAGGCGCCACTTGGCGGTCCACACGGGGGAGAAACCATTTAGTTGCTCAGTTTGTGGTCAAAGCTTTGCACAACACGTAACTCTGAGCCGACACATGACGATCCACACAGGGGAGAAACCATTCAGTTGTGATATTTGTCAGAAAAGTTTCTCTCGACTTGACTATGTCAAAAATCACAAGTGTGTTGGTGAAAGCAGCAAAAGTACATGATGCTTGTTATGCAGATTATTCCCAACAAAGTTGAAGAACAGAAGCTAAAAATAATGACTCAACAATGGATTGTCAATACTGAAATACAGACTCGTAAATGAGTCTTCATTTAATCTTTTTAGCCGAGACAAAGCCATATTAATCTGATTGAATTTGTCTTGTTCATTAAGTCATTTAACATGCACTCTCTTTAAGCCGTGTGTTTAGTTTACAAAGTCTCTTTTGAAGGATAGGTTCAGATTTTTCTCACGTCTTTATTCATGTCAAACTATGACTTTAAATGTTTGTTAAGAGAGTTGTTTGTTGGTTCGATGAGTTATATATGCGCTGAGACTGTTTTGATACATCATCGGACCTACAAGTGACCGTCGAGACATTTTCCTTATTATACTCTGACAGTGCCGGATAAAGACAGATGGAGAGCACATGCATACGGACAGAAGTGCAGACACAGAAACAATAACAGCACATTTCATGAAGCCTTTTGTTACTCTGTGTGACTATCAGTGAAGTTCTGCTGCAGCCTGGAGTCTCTAACGGTCTCAGCTGTCTCAAATGAACGATGCAGGATGAATGTGCATTCAGAGATCCTTGTAGATGTTTTTAATTGTTGTTAAGTTGTTTGGCAGAGCGTTTTCTGGTTCACTGGATTAATTACAGTACAGCCCTAATTCCAGTCAAGAAATGACGAACTCACCAGGTGCTATACTTGGAAAATTGTCCTCCATGAATGGACCCTTCAGACTCTGAGAAGGGTTGGTGGAGGTACAAAATTAGGCAGAATCAGCCACCGCCAAGTTTTGAACGCAGGAAAAACCCTGGTTATGCACTTGCGCTTTGTAAATACACAATAATGGGCACTTGTTCTAGAAATGTGTTTTGCAAATGTACAGATTGCTTTGCAATTGCTCTTTAAATGTGCTTTCTTAATGTGTCAATTTATTTTGTACTTGTTCTTAAATTGCATTTTGTAAATAGGCAAGTTTCCCTTTATAACTGGCCGACCCCGCTACGGTTGAATAAGAGATGAAGGCATCTCCTTGTTCTACTTTGTACTTATAATGAGCTTCTTTTTCAAGCCGGACAAATCTCTTTATTTGAGAGCATGTGTATATAGGATGTAAGTGGCTTCATGATAACCAGCTCTGTTTACAACACGTAAAGCTTTCTACAGTTCTACTGTAACCTTAAACAGGATTTTGTGGTTGTATGTTGTATTCCTGAGGAGAAGGGATGATTTAAAGAACAGTTGAACCAACAGGAAAATCTCCGTGTGCGCAGCCCTCAGTGTGGACACTCTTCTTCTTCTCCCTCTCCCATTTGCATCCCTCCAGCAGAGTCACTGGTTAACTTGTGGTAAATCTGTTGTGGCCTGTTAGCTTCATGTGCTGTTTTGATAAAGAGAACATTTAAATAGCCACCTATATGCACAGGTTATGCTTATGTGTCACTTTTCATTGAGCAAATAACGATTGTGAACAGATTCCCAAAGTCTGACCCCACACCCTCAGTAAGTTGTTGAGGGGAGAGACATCCCTGTGACCTAAGATCCTCGGTTTTACTGTCTTTCCCTTCCTTTTATATGTGCATACATGCATACCAATAAACTGTATATGTACATATGTGTGAATCAATTCAATCCAAAACTTAATTACAGAGTCAGGGTCCAGTTAAAAAGTTGTCTCAAAGTCATTCTGACCGACATAAGGTTAAACTTTGAGTAAGAGTCTTTAAAGGCTGGTTATGACCAGTGGTGTAGTGCAGGGTATACGCAGGTATACCCACTTATTTTTCAGTTTTCATAGAGTATACCCACTTCTAAATCTCTTCTGATTCAGACCATTGATATTGACAATATCCATGGTATGCTGCATTTTTTCTCCTAGGATGGGGAAGGATGACTCTCCCTATTCTGTCTCTAATTGGCTCAAATGCACTAACTAAATGTACAAAAGGAGCCTAAGGAGCCATTAGGTGTATCTAAAGAGCAAGTAAGATTGATGTTTTCATTGATTCGATTGAATCTTTGTTCAACCAATGAATGCATCGATAAAGATAAACTTTATTGATCCCCCGTGGGGGAAATTTGTGCATTACAGCAGCTCAAGAAAACAGGGGACTGGAATATAATTATTAAAAATAAAAATAGAAGTTAAAATCAAATCAAATATGTTTACATCAGTTAAATAAAAAAAAATACAATAATGGAAAATGACACAGTAACTACACTGGAAAGAGTTATTGTTATTAAAAAAACACAGTGTGTAGCATTATTGAAATGAGTCATGAGGTGGGGATGCTGTTAAAGAGTCTGATTAAACAGTCTGATTAAACAGTCTGACGGCAGATGGGATGAACGACCTGCGGTAGCGCTCTGTCTTGCAGGGTGGGTGTCTCAGTCTGCTGCTGAAGGAGATGCTCAGAGCCCCCACAGTGTCATGCAGGGGGTGAGAGGGGTTGTCCATGATGGATGTCAGCTTCACTAACATCCTCCTCTCACCCACCTCCTCTAGACAGAACTGGCCCTCCTAACCAGTCTGTTCAGTCTCTTCCTGTCTCTCTCTGTGCTCCCTCCTCCTCAGCAGACCACTGCATAGAAAAGTGCAGACGCCACCACAGTGTCATAAAAAGTCTGTAGCAGAGTCCTGCACACTCCAAAGGACCTCAGTCGCCTCAGCAGGTGAAGTCGACATTGGCCCTTCTTGTACAGGATGTCAGTGTTGTGTGACCAGTCCAGTCTATTATTGAGGTGAACACCCAGGTATTTGTACGTCCTGCGGAAGTCAATCACCATCTCCTTTGTCTTGCTGGCGTTGAGCTGAAGGTTTGTTGAGCTCACTCCAGTCGACGAAGTCCACGATGACCTGCCTGTACTCCTGTTCGCTCCCCTTAGACACAACACCCCACGATGGCTGTGTCATTGGAGAACTTCTGCAGGTGGCAGCTCCCAGAGTTGTAGCTGAAGTCCGAGGTGTACAGGGTGAAGAGAAAAGGGGAGAGAACTGTCCCCTGCGGGGCCCCTGTGCTGCAGACCACCATGTCAGACTCACAGTCCTGAAGCCTCACGTACTGTGGTCTGTTGGTGAGGTAGTCCGTTGTCCATGCATAGTTCCATGATGATCTGTATGCATCCTTGGTGTTTGCATACAGTAAGTCCAAAGTTTTATTGTCCCTGGTATGGCAGTCAACATACTGAGTGAAAGTGCTGTTCTTTAACGGTGATGTGCCCAGGGTTACACCACCTCTCATTCACATACATCACTATACATTCCCCATAATTAAAGACGGCACGGATGGTTTGTACCGTCTTTTCTTTTCCCGACACTTCACTCCGGCTCTGCTTCCCCTCTCTCTTCCTCCATAGTTCTGCGGGGATGTCCGCTCTTTCTCTGCTGGATGTATCCGAGGGTTGGCACAGCGCAATCAGCTGTTCGCGGGTGTAAACAATGGAGCCATGACTGAATGGGTCTCCCGAGGACGTTTGAAAGAGTCCACAGAGAAAGAAAGAAATGTGGAGTGATGGATCGTTAAACCCCTAGGTCCCCTAATTACAGGAAAGGCTGCACTTTTCATCTGGTTTAAAGCCATGCTGCTTACTCATTCCCTACACCAGTACGAGCTTTCTGCCACTCGCTGCCTTGAAGTGCACAGACTCCGCCCACTGTGACATCTCATGCTCTATAAAGTAATCCTATCAGTTGTTTAATCTGAATAGGAAACTCAGGTTTTATAAGCTTTATGTGTTTCACTTTTTTCACAGATGTCCTGCAGCTGGTGGTGAGTCAAGACGAGGTTTCCCCTGAGCAGCAGGAATTGAGCCCTAGACTGGACCAGAACAACCCACCAAACTCACAAATTAAAGATGAACAGAAGGAACTCTGGGGCAGACAGGAAGGGGAGCTTCAAGTAGAAGAGGAGTTTGATATCAGCATGTTAAGATTAAAACATATCCCTGTGAAGAGGGAAGAAGAAGATGGAGAGAAACTTCAGTCCTCACAGCTTCATGAAAACCAAACTGTAGAAAGCAGAGACACAGAGCATTTGAAAATAGAAGCTGATGGAGAGGACTGTGGAGGAGCAGAACCAGACTTAAATCCAGACAATCATTTACAGCCAGTTACTTCTTACAATACTTCACATTCTGAATCAAAGAATGGTGACACAAGGTGTGATTTGGAGGGGGCCAGGGATCCTCAGGAAGGTTTAAACCCTCTACAAAACAAAGACGTACCTGTGAGTGATATGGTATGTAATACTGGTAAAATATCTCTGAATGTGCTACAAGCTTTGGACAAAAGAAATTGCAAAAACAAAAACGAATCCAAAAAGGAGTGAAACCTTTGAATTGCAAAGAATTCGGCTGTTCACTTTCTGAAAAAATATTTTCTTCAAGAGCAGCCCTTGTGATGCACATGAGGACCCACACAAGAGAGAAACCATTTAGTTGTTCAGTTTGTAGTAAAAGATTTGCGCGGAACAGAGATCTGAGACGCCAAAATCAAAATGCTTGATATGCAAATGAATTCCTGTAGGAGGAAAGCACAAAAGGTAGACTAACATCTTAACGATGGTCAGATTCCAAAATGAGTCTTCTTTTGGTTTTACCTTTTCAGCAGACAAAGCCACATGAATTCTGCTTTATTTTGTCAATAATGGTTGTTCTGCATGCACAGTTGACCTGAGCTGTTTGGCTTACACAGACTTCTTTGGGGTTCAGATTCCAGATGTGGAAACAGTCATTCAAAAATGTTTCAGAAGTTTGTTTTGCACTACTGCTTTGTACAGAAAAAACACTTTGTTCTTAACATAAAATAAAAGATCTTGTTTTCAATATTTCTGTAATTGTGTTTTGTAAATAGGCACATTTGTCATGATATTAACTGACCCACTTATATGGTACTTCAGTAAACATTTTAGCCATTTGTTACGTTCCCCGTAGTTCTAGAGGATGCGGGGAACAACAAATTTATATTTACCCGGAATGACGGTGGAGACCAGAGTTCGTTTTCAAAGTAATAATCGCTGTATTTAATTGGACAGGAAATACACAAGCAAGTCACCAGCTTTAGTTGCACCCAACAAGGTACACAAATTAGATAAACTGAAACGGAGACGATCTGGCACTCCAGCAGCCTGAGTCCCAGCACACGGATATGAACTCTTTTTCTCTCCCTCACCAGCCTGCACCCAGTGCCTTTTATTCATCGGCTGCATGCGGACACAGGTGATTGCACTTCTCCATCAGTCTCCCCCAGAAATGGGCGGAGCACCAACCTGTCCAGGAACTCAGAGAGGGAGGGGACACAGAAAACACAACCCATAACACCTCCCCCCACAAGATCAAAACTAAGTTTTGAACCTAGCATATAACAAATTAGTCACTAAGCCACATTATCATCTACACCATACAACAGGCTGGAAGTTATCAACAAAAATGTTTTTTTTTAATTTTTATTTTCTCACCCACGGGACAGAGCCACCACGTTGTCAGCCCCCTTCTTGTGTTTAATTTCCAAGTTGAACCCCTGACCAGCAGCGCCCAGCGCATCAAACGCTGG